AGTAAGCTCATTCTTTCTTTTTCCCTTTAAAGCTCACAGAGAGCAGTTGCGATACAAAATATATTTATATGCTTTCAAACAAGTTTTTAAAAATTAGCATTCACTTCACTTTTCTTCTTATTTGACCCTTACCGGACTTATGGGGAGAGAAGGTATTTCAAGTATAACCAATACAGTACCATGGTTTGGATTATTGCTTTTTTGCCCAAACTTAAACTCAATTGTCCACATCAGTTAGATTAATTAATTTCATAATGGAATTGGCCCTGACAGATGAGAACTCATCTGTTAAAGGAAATAATCTAAGAGCTCAGCTTGTTAAAAGCAACCAAACCTTGGCAGAAACTTCAATGTTTATTGACATTTTTCCTGTCTTGGGGGTAAATAATAGCCAAATCGATGAACGCAGAATGAAATATTATTTCTATTATTGATGCCTCTCAGTTGATTATAATAAAGAATAATGAAAGTGGTTGACGGGAAAAAAGGAACTTTCCCTCCATCCTTTAACAAATGAAAAAGCAGAAATGTTAAATAGTTGAACACAGCACAGTCTATAGTGAGACAGTGTAATTTGAAGCAATTTTTAAAAAGAATTTTTTATTTAGTTGTCATAAATGCACTGCTGCCATAACAAATATATAGGCTATCAATGTCACGGAGTAAAATGAAAAACATCGCTTTGTGGTCAAATTTCTGCTTAGCCAAGAAATGAATTATAATTATGAATTATAACCAATCTCTGAGCGGTAAAGGTTAAGACAATCTCCTCGCCCTCAGGAGACTGAGAGTTCAATCCTAGGCAGCGGCAGATGTTTTCTCTAGTAGGCCACAAAAAGAAAATATCTGCTGTGAACTCGGCATAGGCATCAAGAAGGGCATTCGGCTAGTAAACGCTCAACTCCGTTCAGTATCCCTGATTCTACTCTGATGCAAGGGATTAAAACTGTTTTTAAAAGAAAAAAATATATAACCAATCTCTATATCTGAACCAAGACCCCTGGAAGGGTGGTTGTGAAGATGAAATGAGAGGATTTTAAAACAACTTCAAAAACATTACACTGCCTCAAGCTATAGGGTCATTCAACCATTACTTTTGTTCCTTTTTCTTCTTTTTCTTCCATGTCCATTTTTCCTAAATTCAGTCTTATCCAGACCTGGGCATTTTACATCCTGCTCTTTGGCTGGATGTCCCTATTGGGCCTGCGTTAGATCAACTAAAAGTTGAAAATAAAATGTAAAATCAGCGGGGGGGGGGGGGGGAGAAGCCAAATGCCCTCCTTTAGTCAACTGGCAAGAAAAAGAGCTTTTCTGCACCTCTGGCAGTTGGGCTAAAAACAGTCCCAGTTTCTCATGTGACCCTCTGGGAAAATTAATTGCTCAGCCTTATTCTTGACCCTATCAAATAATATGATCCACATTCTATACCTCTTACCATTCTTGTACAGATAGTCCTCGAGTTACGAATGTAACCTGCCCATTCCATTCGTAACCATAAACGGATTTGTAATCCATTCGAGGATTTGTGGGGGTGAATCTCGTACTTTGAATGGGATCACTCCCTCCTTTCGCCCATGCATTTGCTAATCGAATGTGCCATTCGTTAAGTGCACATGAGGTATTTTAGGGTGGGGGAGGCCATGTGGGGTGGCCTAGTGATGGAACAGGCCACTTGCTTAAGACCACCCAAGGCCTCCCCGACCCACTGAAATGCCTCATGCTCCCCACAGTTGCTTGCTCCCCCCCCCAACCTGCCACGCAAACTTACCATGCAAAGATCTAGCAAGCTGTCTCCCCTCTGGACTTTCAACCACATGCTCCCCTCTGCAGCTCCGTTTTGGTGTGCGTAGGCCTCGCTTGCCACTTTGCCGGCCAAAATGAAGCTCCGTTTAAGCCTCTCCTGGCACTGTGCAGGCTTAAACAGAATGTTGGAGGGGCGGGGGCAGGCCCACCCCTCTGATGCTCCATTTAGGCCTGCGAAGTGCAGGACGAATGTTGCAAAGCCTCTGCGGTTGTTCGTAAGGGCAAACAACTGCCGTGGTGCTGCAAGATTCGTAGTTTTGGGACTTGTTCTTAAACACTAGGGAGCGCTGATCGCGTAACTTCAAACGTTCGCTAAGGGAACGCTCGTAACCGGGGGATTACCTGTATCTGTCACCAGTTCTCTCAATGATGTTCCCTCCGGGGGGGGGGGGGCGGGAAGCAGGTCCAAGGTCTGCCAGGAATCCAAGGAGTGGGAAACATAGCACAGGGTTCTTCAGAGGGCAGGTCCAGGGCAGATGGACTTCAGACTACAGTAGGCCTCCTAGGGCCTTTCCTACCCCTTGAGGCACCCTCTGCTCTCTTAACAACTGTATCGGGGAGAGGGAGGCGATCACATGGTTGTCTCACTTAATGACTGCCGCAACTTGCAACCATAATAGGCAAGCTCCATTATGGTCATCATCAGTCAAGAACTACCTATGAAGAAGTCTTTATCCATTCTGAATCTCCTCACGTATAGATTCAATGGCTAATCCAAAATTGTAACCTTTCTAAGTTAATTTTTATTGAAGCAAAATTACAAAATAAAATATTTAAACGGGAGGGGGGGAATCCAAGGGGAAAGTGGTGAGGGAAAAAAAAAAGAAATGAAAGAATAAGGAGAGAAAGAGAAGAGAAACAGGATGAATTTTGAAAAAAATGCCTTCCAATCTTCTTTCAAGCAGGTATAAATGCATTAAAATGTTATATTCTAAAATGTTGCACCATAACCCCCTTCTTTTAATAATCTCTCAAAGTTTTAACATTGTGAAAGCAAAATGGCTATGAACATTTGGGCTCCTCTGGATACTGGACCGAAAGGGATGCGGTGGCTCAGTGGCTAAGACGCTGAGCTTGTCGATCAGAAGGTCAGCAGTTCAGCGGTTCGAATCCCTAGTGCCATTTAACGGAGTGAGCTCCCGTTCTTTGTCCCATCTTCTGCCAACCTAGCAGTTTGAAAGCACGTTAAATATGCAAGTAGAAAAATAGGGACCACTTTGGTGGTAAGGTAACAGTGCTCCGTGCGCCTTTGGCGTTTAGTCATGCTGGCCACATGATCACGGAGACGTCTTCCGACAGCGCTGGCTCTTCGGCTTAAAAACGGTGATGAGCACTGCCCCCTAGATTAGCATGCGTGTGGGGGAACCTTTACCTTTACTAGATACTGGACCAGTAAAGCTCTTTGCTGCCATCTACTAGCTGCATGAGTTTATGCAGTCCAGATATTGTATCCTCATAGAAGTTGAATGGAGTAGGTACCCTTCACTTCTTAGAAGTATGCATAAAAATAATTTCACACTCATCTAGGTAAGTGACATTTGCTGTTGCCATAGAGTTTGAATTTCTTCTTAACTAGGTCTTTTTTTAATCTCCCTCAAGGCACAAACGTCCAGGCTCAAATTAACTTACTTTGGACACATAAGCCAAATCCAACATTATAGACTTCCTCTAGGGAAGTCTATAATGTTGAAAAAGGTGGAAGGCAAGAGAAGGGGATTGCCAGCAGCAAGGTGTATGGTGTCAATTACCGCGACAATGAGGACACTGTTGGAAGACTTGAGGGATCAGGTTGGGGACAGATCCTCCCGGAAAAAAAAAACCTCATCAATATGATGGCTAAGAATGGATCTACATAATCCCTCAAAAATGGGTCCTCTAATTTAAGTAGCCTGCCAGCCCAGCAAAACATACTGCCGAGTGCATTAATTCAACAACTTCTAACAGCTGCAAGCACAGTGCATGGAGAGTTAATTGACCTATTTATTGCATATAATTGGGCCCATTATTATAATTAAAGAAGCATTCTTTTTTTTTATGGTTGCTATGCAGTTTTCCAGCCTTTAAGGTGGCTGTTGGGGAAGAACGGGCAAACACGGTTAGAGAAGGAAACAATTAGCTTTTGCTAGCCGATTGGCCTCCAGAAACTGAGAATATTTATACGGTTTGTCTGTTTATTTCCACAAAACTCTTAATGCTGTAATAAAAAGAAAAAGGTAGCAGATTAATTTGAGGACCCTAAAATGGGAAGGTTTCTTTATACGCTTAATGAATCTCTTTTTATGTTTTAAAGTATGTTATTATTCTTAGCTGCGCTAACAGCCATTTGGGATGGAGGGAGAGAGACTATAAAAGTAATATATTTTTTTATTTTGTATTTTTTAACAAAATGCCTATCAGAAGGAGTTCAGGGTGCTTTACATAATAGAAAACCTGCGTGGGAGTTCAGGCTGAAAGAACAACTGTCCCAAAGTAGGAACAGAAACCCTAGGCAGCTAAGAATACCAGTAACAGAGTTGGCAGGGACCTTGGAGGTCATTTAGTCCAACTCCCTGCTCACGCAGGAGACCTGTGCTAGGGATTCAAACCGCCGAACTGCCGACCTTTTTGATCGATAAGCTCAGTGTCTTAGCCACTGAGCCACCATTCCCATCCTAACCACTATCCCAATCCTGAAAACGGAATCAAAACCAATCCATCCAAACTTGGTAGTGTGGTGGCTAAATATCAGCGGTGTGATTTGGCATTTAAAAACTCCAAACTAAAGAGGAAGAGCACAAGCTTCTTGTTAAACGTCATCGACAGATTTGAAGTAAAACGTCTGCGCCACGCAGCATTGCTTGATGTAAATCACGACGGGCCTTAACAGATTGTTTCTCCAATTCAGCGACTTTTAAGATGTATGGACTTCAACTCCCAGAATTCCCCGGTCTGCTGTAAACTCCAATTCCCAGAATTCTCGTCTATAGCGTACTAGCTGAGGAATTCTGGGAGTTGAAGTCCACCCATCTTAAAGTGGCCAAGTTGGAAAAACACCGCCTTAGCAAAAGGCAAAAGGCTTGTTCAAGAAATTGCTTAATGCAATAATACACTATTCCCAACTGTTGACAGTGCTAACAGAATAGGCAAGGATTGCCAAGTTACCTATGCCTGTGCTGGTGTTTTGACCCAGCTCTCCAAATAGGACAAACCCTCTGGAGTTAAATCAATGATTCCTTTATTAGGAGTGCCAGCAGCCCCGGCAAAAAGTTTCTCTCTCACCTCAGGCTACCAAGCCTGTCCAGCAGGGAGATGAATAGTTGTCTGCCACATCTATTCATCTCCGCCCTCTGCCTTTTATCCCCAGAATTAGGGTGGGGCTTCGCTAGCAGCGGTGGCTCTTCCATCCCAAGGATCGGCCCATGGATTTCCACTGCTCTCCTCTCCTCTGCTTTCTGCACATCCGTGCATCAGGCACTGGACCCAGCTGTTCCTCCTCTTCCTCATCAGCCACCTCCAAACCTGCGGGCTGTTGACTCTCCATTTGAGGGCTGACGGACGACCCAGGCTCCGCCTCTGTCTCTATCTCTGACAGCTCCATTCCCTCTTCCCCCTCGGAGCTCTCAGGTTGCCCTTACACTCACTCTGACTCCCACGCCTCCTCCTCTGATTCAGCTGCTGGAGGGGCCTGCGGTCGGCAGGCCACAACAGCTGGCTAAGAAACCTGGGAGTTGTGGTCTAGCATGCCCTGATAGCATCCAGGTTTAAAAACTCTGCCCTACGTAATCACAGAGCGCAAAATTTGTGCGGCTAATATGCACTCTCTGCTTGGCGGCTTGAAGAGCTGATCTTTGTGGACAGCAGCATGCCAGATGGACCAATGATAAGACTCATTAGTGAGCTATTTTTTAATGTAAGGTGCTGTTGAGATCAAGCATTCAGTCGCTTCCCTTGGTCCCTTTATATGTTATAAAATAACATCTTGTGCAGTAGTTTTTTTCCCCCCCAAATCACAGTAACATCCTTGCAAAAGCCTCATCTTGCACAATTTAGATATTTGAGTTTTAAAATGCACAGGAATTCTCGCTCAAGGCATAAAAACCATAAGGAAGCTTATGATTTAGAAGTCGAACATGCAGCTTTATAGACCCACTGAATACAGGTAGTCCTCCATGGTTCGCTTAGTGACTGCTCAAAGTCACAACGGTACTGAAAAATGTGACTTACGACCGTTTTTCATAGGTGCAACCTTTGCAACTTCCCCATGATCACGTGATTAAAATTTGGATCCTTGACAACTGACTCGTACTTATGATGATGGCAATGTCCCAGGGTCATACGATCCAATTTTGCGACCTTCTGACGAACAAAGTCAACGGGGAAGCCAGATTCACTTAACAACTGGGTGGCAAAAAAAGTCTTAAAATGGGGCAAAACTCACTTCACAAATGATTTGCTTAACAACAGAAATTTTGGGCTCGATTGTGGTCGTAAATCGAGGACTGCCTGTACTCACCACTATGAGTAGTGACCACCTAAGGCAGAAAGCTGAGCAGAAGCCTATCAACCAGCCAATATTTTTTTTTTTGCAATGTTACCCAATATTATTTCTACTGGCTTGAGGGATCCTTGGTGCCCTCTTTGCTCAGTTGCTTTCTTGCAGACGTTCCGTCATCGAAACTAAATAACCTTCTAATTGCACTGATGATGTTACCTAGTATGGGTAATAAAACGTCTAAAAGGAAACAACCAACCCCGGAGAGCACCAAGGACCCCTCATTTCAACTCTGAGCTACAAACATTCTCCTTTATCACTACCCACAGTTTGCAATTAATTTTCCAACACTTCCCTTTTTGGACTATAAGACGCACCTTTTTCCTCCCAAAAAGAGGGTGAAAATCTGGGTGCGTTTTAGACTCTGAATGTAGCCCCGCCCAGCTTCTCAAACAGAGGTTTCAGAGAAAAAAGCATCAGAAAGGAAGCTTCAGAAAAGAAGCCCCCAAACAGAGCTTCAGAAGCTTTTTTTCGGAAGCTCTGTTTCAGAAGCTTTCAGAGCCCAGAAAAAAAGTTTTTTCTGAAACAGAGTTTCAGAAGTTTCAGAGGTAGAAAAAAAAGCAAAAAAAAAAAAAAGCGCAAGGCACAGAGCTCATAACCAAGGAACCTGTTGCTAAAATTCACCTCTGGGAACAGCTGACTGGGGGTATTCCGGAGGCCGATCCACCTGCCAATCAGCTTTTTTCTTATTTTCCTCCCCAGAAACTAAGGTGTGTCTTATACTCCGGTACATCTTATACTCCGAAAAATATGGTAATTGGCAGGCATTGTCACAATTCTAGTTCTGTGCACATATTTGAAAAAATGTATGCCAGAAGTGCTTCAGACCTCCTTGTTTAAAAGCAAGCAGCATGAAAAATAGGTGCTAGTGCTTTAAAATTTCCTAAAGCAACAGCAGTACCTTTTTTTAAAAAAAAAGCAATGTAAGAAAAAGCAATGTAAGAACTTATCAAAATTAATTTGCAGACATGCAAGCATTTGGTTCAAAACATTTTTCACATCCTAATCTACAACAAAGCTACACGGCAACCTTTCCAACATCCAAAATGGCCGCCGCTGAAGCCTCCACAACAGGATACGCGACAGTGTTTTACTAAAGAGCTACACACAGACTTGGGAGCGGGCTCTTTACAAGCATGCAAATACAACCACATCAACTACGTTCCACGGTTATATCATGTGAACAAAGCCACCAGGTTCATGGTCGGTGGCTAGGTTTAAGTGGCTCTTGTAGTCATCCTTGGACTATATTGAAAAGAAGGACTAGGGGTGACATGATAGCAGTTTTCCAGTATTTGAGGGGCTGCCACAAAGAAGAGGTGGGGGGGGTCAACTTATTTTCTAAGCACCAGAAAGCCAGACAAAAAACAATGAATGGGAAACTAATCAGGGAGAGAAGCAATCTGGAATTAAGGAGAAACTTCCTAACAGTGAGGACAATTAACCAGTGGAACAGATTGCCTTCGGAAATTGTGGGTGCTTCATCACTGGAGGTTTTTAAGAAGAGACTGGACAGCCACTTGTCTGAAATGGTATAGGGCCGTGATGGCGAACCACAGGTGGCACACGTAGCCATAACAGCGGGCACGTGAGCTCAGCTCCGGTGCATATGCATGCGCTGGCCAGCTGATTTTCGGGCCTTCTGGGCCCACTAGAAGTAGGGAAACAGGCTGTTTCCTGCCTCCGGAGGGCCTGGGGGGTGGTGGGGAAGGCCTGTTTTTCTCTCTCAGCTGGCTCCAGAGCCTCTCTAGGAGTCTCTGGAGGCTGGGGACAGCAAAAAAGTCAGTTCCTGCCAACTGGAAGTTGGGAAACGGGCAGTTTCTGGCCTCCGGAAGGCCTCCGGACGGGGTGGGGAAGGCTGTTTTTGCCCTCCCCAGACTCACAGAGGCGCTCTGGAGCCAGGTGAGAGAGAAAAACGGACCTACCAGGCCATCGCGTGCCGGGAGCGGGGGAGAGAGGGGGAAGGCGCGCATAGAATTATGGGTGTGGGCACGCGCGCGTAACCCCCCCGCTGCCCCTCCTCCTGGCATGCGATGGCAAAAAGGTTAGGGTCTCCAGTTTGAGCAGGCGGTTGGACGAAGACCTCCATGGTCCCTTCCAGCTCTATTCTGATTGATTACTTCTTATACAAAACCATTATTCTGAAATAGCGGCTCAGTTTAATTAAAGTGAAACTTTAATTTATGGTACTTGCTCCCACCGCAAAGCTCTGGTCTATTTAACATACCTAGCTAATTCCCTCGAATATGTGCCCAATTAATACGTTCTCTGCAACCAGAGGTTCCATAAAAGCAGCCTTGAGCAAGGTCTGTCAAAAGCAATTTTTCCTAGCCCTCTTCCATAAATGCCACGGCTGCAGCTCCAGATGTCCCAGTCAGCATGGTCTCTTCTTGGGAATTCCGAGACTTGTCATTCCAACACACATGGAAAACACCATATATGGAGAAACCTGGATTACAGATAGAAGTTCTTCTAGCAATAGCAATAGCAATAGCCCTTAGAATTACATACCACCCTGTAATGCTTTATAGCATTCTCCGGGTGGTTTACAATGTAGAAGCATTATTTGCATATGGCCCTCAACAAGGTGGGTCCTCATTTTGCAGCCCTTGGAAGGATGGAAGGCTGAGTCAACCTCGAGACCTGTCAGGATCGAACTCCAGGCTGTGGGCAGAGTTAACCTGCAATACCGCATTCCAACTACTGGCGCCACCAGGGCTCCTAATGTTACTTAAATCATGGGTGTCAAACTCAACGGTGTCACAGCGGTGTCACATGATGTATCGGGACTTTTCCTCCATTTTGCTAAACCGGATGTGGGCATGGCCAGCGCATGATGCATCCGGCCCGTGGGCCCGGGAGTTTGACAGCTCTGCCTGAAATGAAAAGTAGGGAACTTATACGGTGCTCCAGTTATTGCCTAATCAATTCTCACTGATATCCCTACTATTGACCAGGCTGGATGGGGCAGCCGAGAGACATAATATAACAGTGCTTCAGGGTCCATGGATTATCCATTCCTGCTTAGACTTCTCCTTTTCCTCAGCAGTTCATGACATATCTTCATGAGATATAAACATGTTCCCTAGAGGTAAAAAATACATGTCTAACTAGCCAAACTAGAAAAGCTGTAGCCTCCTCATGTCATATTCTGCTGTTCAATTTGGACAACCAGATGCAACTGTCTTTTTGCAATGGCAGTATTGAGGTCCCATAGGAACTCCATTAGTAATCCCTTCAGCAGGTTCTCCATCGGTACAAATCGTAAGACCTGCTGTGGGGACTTTGAGTCGAGCAGGGTTCTCATAATTTCATTTAGCTGTTGCAGGTACTGGAAAACTGAGTCTGGAAGACCTTGATATCCAACACAGAGCAAGACGGCATTGGTTCTCAGAGGCTGAGATGATGTGGGGCAAGCGAAGGAAATACGCTGGAAACAGCTCTGCAATATGAAGACTAAGCCAGCCATAAAGCGGGTGAAGCAAGAAAGAATAGGCAAAGCCAACGCATCTCCTTTTTCAAGCTGAGGAAATGCACCCAAGAGGCATTCTAGGAAATGCAGTTGATATTTTGGTTCTCCGTCATGCAGTAAAGTACAGCTAAAAGCCAAGAGACGGGCTGACTCCACGTTTTTAATTTCCAAGCCAGACCGGCTTTCATCATCGTAAAACAGCGGGAAACCTAAAACCAAGCACTTTCTTTGGCTTGCGCTATCTTTATCTGGAGCAGGTTCACGATGTTCCATAAGTTCTGATAATTCAGACAGCACCGATGAGGCGGTAAGAACACAGCAAAATTGGCATTCTGCGTACGTCGTCCGGATAAGGTCACCATGAATAGTTTGGCCAACCAAAGATTTTTCAATGGCCTCGTTGAGGCTCTTCAATACCTCACCGCCACAGAAGGGAGAAAATTTAACTCTGGGCAATTGCTGGCCTTCTAAGATATACCATAAATGACAGTCGAGGTTGCCAGGTGCTCCTTCTAAAACACAGCCCTTCCCAACATTACTGAGAACGTGTTCATCAATCCACTGGTTAAGGCATCCTTTTACCACCTTATCTTCCCAGGAGAGGGATTCCAGAAGTTTCCTCTCATTGTAGGTGCAGAAATACCTGTTCCTCTGTCCAAACCATTTGGAGTTCATGCTGTAGCCAGCGTGAGGCTTCTTCACCAGCCAGTTGTTTCGGGTCAGGGGTTTCAATTGGAACCTCTGCAGGAAATATTTGACGCAGCAGTCCCGCAAAGCGTTTAACCTGGCCTGCTCCGCCTCGTCCATATGGTCAAAGAGCCGGAGGTTCTCTGAAATGGTCTCGGTTTGCTGCCTGTGAAAGAATAAACAGCATTCTTCGTGGATCTTGAGGAATGACTCTGGAATCAAGTGCTGGGGAAACAGGGCTTTGGCCACCAGTTCTGACCCAAAGTTCTGCAGCATCTTAGATAAGACAGAGTGAATGGCCTCCTGGCCCAAATAGCGCAGGCAAACCACGTAGGCCTCAGAATTCCCTGCTTTACTCGTCGCAGGTTTAAAAACGTGAACCTCCTCGAAGGAACAGTTGAGGAGAAACAGCAAATTCACCGAACTATGTTCAAACAAGGTGAACATCTTCAGGACAAAAGAGCCCCCAGGACTCAACGTCATGAGAGCAGTGACCGTTTCACAGTAGTGCAACGGGGAAACCAGCGTCTCTTGCTCGCCTGGGTTGCCTTGGCAATCGAAACTCCCGTCGGAGGTGACCAAATGAACGGTGGCCATGTTGCTTATGAAATGCTGCAGTCCTGTGAGGTGATTCAGGCTCATGACATCTCCGGTGTTCTCCGGACCAAAATACCACCAGGGCAAAGTATTGGCAATAAGTCGGTCATCCATAATCATCATGAGGGTGTCATTCGCTTCGTGATACGGATTCAAGGTGTTGGCCACCCAGTTCCAATCGCAAGGGATGCGGTGAGACTTCAGATAGTGGTTGAGGCTGGCGATAAAAGCGCCGGGGGCCTCGCACAGATGAACCGAGTTGAGTTCGCCGTTCTGAAGAGCATCGCTCGGGAGAAGAGGAAAACTGCAAACGATCTCGTGGAATTTGCACCACGCCTGAGTGCACAATTCAGCATTGACCGATTTCTTGACATGGGCAATAACTTTCCCGGCTTTGTTGGTGAAGGAAGTGTGCTGGTGCCACTCATCCAGTTGCTTATCGCTGAGTTTATTCTTGACTTCGTTCAAGGAATCCTTGAGCGCTTCAAGAGAACCGAACACTTTGTGAGGGGAGGTGAAAACCTGGTTGGGATCAGGCAGCTGCCATTCATTGTTGGCTGGTTTGCTGTACGAAAAGGTCTTCTGGAACAGTTTTTCAACTTCAGCAAGAATATCTGGGCCAAACTGGTCAAAGTTTACAACCTGCTCATCGGACATGGCCTTTTGTTTGTTCATTTTCAGATCCAGGAATATCTACAAAGAAAAGGGAGAGTCTAAAAAGCAAAGAAATGAAGTAATGGTTTAAGAACTTAATAAAACACTTCCTTAACTTTTCATTTGGCATAGAAAGAAAAAGAGATTTCCCTTATGCTGAGCATTTCATCTTGCAAGAAAAGATGAAACAAATGTGAAAACAACTTAAAAACCCTGCCAGTTATCAGGCAGAGGAGGTGTTATTGCCGTACTCTTCCTATTCAAAACACCTTTTTCCAATCTGTGTATTGAGGTTAACAAATCCCGATATTTTAAGTACTGTGATTCAAGAACAGCAAAGAATGCTGGGGGATGTAGTTGTAGTACACAGAGTATATACTTAAATGGGAAGGCTGACTCTGAATGAAAAGTATGTTAAGCACCAGAAAAGACTGAAACCCTCTAATGAGAATTTAGCATTTATTCTCAATGTAAAGAAAACTTATGAGATCTCTATTTTTCTTTTCCAAAAATGGAATAAAAAATGGAGGATAAAAGGAAATCATATCAACATTGCAGAAAGTTATTGCAATTTTTATTTATTATTTAATTACCATCTTTATTATTTTGATAAATAACTCAAGACGATGAACATATATAATACTTCTTCCTCCTCCTATATTCTCCACAAAAACCCTGTGAGGTAGATTGGACCAAGAGAGAGTGACTGGCCCAAAATCAGCGAGCTGGCTATCATGCCTAGGGTAGGACTAGAATTCATAGTCTCCTGATTTTTAAATAATACATTTTATAGAATAGAATAGAATAGAATAGAATTTTTTATTGGCCAAGTGTGATTGGACACACAAGGAATTTGTCTTTGGTGTATATGCTCTCAGTGTACATAAAAGAAAACATACGTTTATCAAAAATTATAAGATACAACACTTAATGATAGTCATAGGGTACAAATAAGCACAATAAGTAAAACATTAAAACAATCTCCATGGTGGACAATTACTCTAAAAGTATTTTGAAGTTACCTCATGATTTAAAAGCATTTAAATTTGTCCACTGAAATAATGGGATTCCCAAGTGATTAAATTTATTGGATTTTGCAAATGCCACATTGGGATAAAAACTAACTAACCAGCCAACGTCCATTTCTTCAAGAGATTTCAACTTCAAAGAATTTAAAACAAAAATATTGCCAGCTGGGATGACATGGAAATATGAAATATTTTTGAGCAAAGGTAGTTTTAAATTAAATATGCTAAATGACAAAAAAAAAACCCCCAACAAAGGTCAGTTTTAAAAGACACAGAGTACTGCTCTTAACTCATTGTTTAGGAAACTTTTCCAGCATTTTTACACATGACAAAAAAGGTACCAAATCTCATCCTTTCAGCTATTTAAAATAATATTGTATTTGAAATCAATGGGAAATTCATTTAGGAAAGTGATGCTCTATAATTGGTATATATCTATATATATTCTGTTATAACTACCCTGTTTCCCCCAAAATAAGACATCCCCTGATAATAAGCCCAATTGGGCTTTTGAGTGCATGGCAATAAGGCCAAGAGCTTATTTCAGGATTAAAAAAAATATAAGACAGGTTCTTATTTTTGGGAAAACACGGTATTCTAATGTATCTCGAAATGACATTCAGAAATCATTTATAGCGCACTAATTTAAAACTTCTGTAGCTCCCATTATGCCTCACATTTAAAATAGCAAGGCTTATACCTCACATTTAAAATAGCTTTCCATTTACTTCTAGAATAATTTCAAAATAAGGATGCAAATATGAAAGAAACTGGAAAGCCATTTTGGTCTAGTGGTGAAGGCATCAAGGTATAAACCAGGAGACTGAATTCTAATTCTGCTTTAGACATGAAAACTGGCTGGGTGACTTTAGGCCACTTACTTTCTCTCAGCCCAATTCATCTCACAGGATTGTTTTTGTGTGAAAAATAGGATGAAGGAGTATTAGATATGTTCACCACCTTAGATTATTAATAAAAATAAGAAAGGCAAAATAAAAATAAAACCAAACCTTACCAGGTCATAGATACCACTGAACTCAATGAACTTTATATGCAGACATCGAGTAGACAGTATGGCTGTAAAATGCTATGTGTATCTAATTAAAAATAAGCTTTCAGAAAGTACAATGATTTACTCACAGATACATGAATTTTGGTTTACTGCAAAAGAAGAAGTTTTTTTCTTTAAGTACCTACCTGTTAGAAGGAATGCATTGATTACTCTTCGGAACCTGGCTGCAAATGCTGTAGGTAGGTCCAAGTTCTACCTATTATGGAGAAAAATTCCACAATTTCTGCAAGAAATAATCAAGACAGTTTTTATTTTTATAATGTATTTTCAATGTATGACACTAACTTTGCTGTAGTGGACTTTTTTTTACCACTGTTTTATTGATTGGCGGCACCAAACCTACCCTCTCTGATCTCAAAAAGATAAGCAGGGTGACACCTGGTTTAATACGATGAGATACTAACAGGAAATACCAAGTCTATAAACTATATTGGGAAGTTTAAATACAAATCAGAAGGCAGATCAATTTATCTTGTTGCCCACGAAATCACAACATGAAGTTGTCCACAGTGACGAGAAGTTCAGCTCAATTCAAAGAAACTGACTTTTACTGATTCCTTTCAACTGAAGGTTCTTAAGGCAGCTAACCCAAATTGTATCATACTACAAAAGCCATCAAAAAAGCTATATTTTATAATAAAAAGCACTCTACAGAGAGAGTGCTAACTACGGATGACTGCAAGGGATATAAATCCTTCCTTTCTACACCATTCAAGTCAGAACTGAAGAAGCTTCTTAGATGAGAAGCGAAACATCTTCAAGGAAAAAAACCAAAAAAGTACAGTTGCTTCTTGAAAAAAGCACTTTTGGAACAACCATGACCTGGATGACTGAGAATCCTCACAGACTTGAAAAAAAAAATTGACAGAGGCACAGCAAATTCAGAAAATATATCAGTGTCATTGCAAAGAGCAGAATATGTGAAGAAAAAGAAACATGCATGGCACAGTCCTCAAGTCACAAGACCAAAATCAGCCAACATGGAAGAGATAAGAAAGAAGGCGCAAGAGGCATTTCAGCAAATATCAAAATTATTATAATTAAGAATGATCCTATCATGATTAAGAAGGTGGCTGCCACATTGATGCAGGAGAACAGCATGATACCCACTTCCTAATTTCAGACAAAAACAGCACAGGAAGCAGAAAAATAACTAACAATTGTTTGACTAAGAGATTTTTGTCTTTTAGATTTTACCCTCAGGCATACCAACAAAGGGGGAAAAATTAAGCATATTCTGGTTGTGGATTATGGGAACTATATCAGCATGGGGAATTTATCTATGGCCTAGAAAATGACAAGATCAAATATCTTCAGGGCCTCCTGATGCTCTAATCCAGGGGTAGTCAACCTTGGCGACTTTAAGACTTGTGGACTTCAACTCCCAGAATTCCCCAGGCAGCATGGCTGGCTGGGGAATTCTGGGAGTTGAAGTCCATCAAATCTTAAAGATGTCAAGATTGGACAGCCCTGCTCTAATGCTTTGGGATCTCACAGCATCTGATCACATCTCAGCAGCCTGTTGATGAAAAGAGAGCATCTCCTAAAGGATGTTTAAAGTTTAAAAAATATATACGAAACATCCTACAAGTATGAGCTTTTCGACATGTCTTAACCCACCACCCGTTAACCGAATCCTTCTTCAGCTTTTCTAAACCTGCCAACTTTCAAAACTCCTCAACTTCGTCTCCCACCATTCCCCGTCAACAGACTCCCTCTCCTAGGGGAGAAAATAAAATTAAAAAAAAAAACCACCTTATTTTACAACTTCACCTTTTTTAAAAAAAAAACCCAATTCCTAGATTGAAACATCGTCCAACTGCTACGCAGGCGCACTTCCGCCCTGTCCAGTTCCCGAAGTTCTTCAGAGGGCTTTGAGCGCAGGCGCGCCTCAAGGGGAGGCTGTCGCTGCGCGTGCGTTATCCGCAGCCTGGTGTTGGGGCGTGAAAACAAAACTCTAGGTTTTTAAACAGAATGCACATGCGCAGAAGGACGATCTCCGCGAGAGTCCCTTCCGCCCCTTCTCCCCGCGTCCCCCGCCGCTTCTAATTGGACGAGAGACTAAGCGAGGCGGGAGGGCGCGCGTTATGAGCTGGCAGTTGATGGAGCGGATGTGACGCAGCCGGAAGCGGCTTTCCAAGAAGCTGTTGGAAGAGAGAGAGAGAGAGAGATGACCCTGACGGGGAAGGGAGAGTGTGGTTCTTGGTGCGTACGTGGGTCTGTCGTCTTTTGCGGGGTTGTGGAGCTGGGGAACCAGGGACCGTGTCTGAGGCCTGCTTGAGAGGCGATGCTCCCTTCGATGGAAGCTGGGGCGGTCACATTCTCTTGAGTGTGGACTACACTGCAGGGTTGTTGTGACAAAATCGGAGGAGGGTGTAGGACAGAGGTCTTCAAACCTGGCAGCTTTAAGACTTGTGGACTTCAACTCCCAGAATTCTCCAGCCTGCTATGCTGGTTGGAGAGTTCTGGGAGTTGAAGTCCACAAGTCTTAAAGCTGCCAAGTTTTAAGAGCTCTGGTGTAAGTTTCCTCTTAAGCTCCTTTTGGGCAAAAAGTGGGGGGGAGGTAAATGAAAGCAATAATTGTTGGAAGAAAAATCCGGTCTGCTTCCAAGCCGGGGGGAAAAAGACACTGGAAATAAAACGGGAGCTGATTGGAAAGATCAATTATAATATGAAAAATTATAATTAAGAATTATATTATCATAATAAGTCCCCGTTTATTGATGAGCAGAACCAACAACAACTTGTAGTTTTGGGGACAGCTGATCAATTGGCATGGATTTTGATACAGGTTCTGAGATGCTGCAGGGGGTTGTGCAATGTGAGCCAGCCTGGTGCCTGTTGTTGTTCTAATGGTGGTGGGTTAATCCTAACCTAAAGGATCATGTTATGAAAGAGTGCAGAGAAGAGCAACAAAGATGATTAGGGGAACTGGAGGCTAAAACATGAAGAACGTTTGCAAGAACTGGGTATGTAGTTTAATGAAAAGAAGGACTAGGGGAGACATGATAGCAGTCTTCCAATATCTCAGGGGCTGCCACAAAGAAGAGGGAGTCAAGCTATTCTCCAAAGCCCCTGAGGGCAGGACAAGAAGCAATGGATGGAAACTGATCAAGGAGAGAAGCAACTTAGAACTAAGGAAAAATTAATCAGTGGAACAACTTGCCGCCAGAAGTTGTGAATGGTCCAACACTGGAAGTTTTTAAGAAGAGATTGGTATAACCATTTGTTTGAAGTGGTGCAGGGTTTCCTGCCTAAATGGGGTTGGACTAGAAGATCTCCAAGGTCCCTTCCAACTTTGTTATTCTATTCTATTCTATCTATATTAATATAGATAATAAAGATAATCTTTATTATCTTTTCCATGTTGGCTGATTTTGGTCTTGTGACTTCAGAACTGCGCCATTCATGTCCTGTTCTTAGAATTTGGGTGGAGGGGGATGTAAATTCTTAATCCCATCAACTGGAGCTGAAGGTGTTTTGTTTGTGAATAGGTTGGCCCAGATTTCTTAATGGGCACAAAATATCAATCTCTTAAAAGACTTCAGGCATGTGCTGGAGGCTGTTGGGTCTGCTTTCTGCCTTCCTTAAGATTTTTTTTTCCTTTGGGGAAATATAATATTCTGCCTCTTTTAACATTCCCCAAAATATTTCATTCTCTTGGTGGGGGGTGAGCTTCCTACATAACCAATGCTGGTTTTACAATATTGTGAGATCCACACTGATTTACCATGAACTGGGTTGTGTGCGACACCAAGAAATGGAGTAAAATCTTATAAAAACTGTATAAAATTACAGCGAAGGTGAAGAGCTACAGGGAGTCCTCAACTTATGACTACAATGGAGCCCAAAATTTCTGTAGTTAAGTGAGACATCTGTTAAGTCAGTTTTGCTTCATTTTATGACTTCTTTGCCACAGTTGTTAAGCAAATCATTGCCGCGGATAAATTAGTAATCCAGTTGTTAAGTGAATCTGGTTTCCCCATTGACTTTGCTTGTCAGAAGGTCGAAAAAAGGGATCACGTGATCTTGGGACACAGCAACGGTCATAAGTATGAGTCAGTTGCCAAGCATCTGAGTTTTGATCACGTTATGGGGATGCTGCAAAGATCATAACTGAAAAACAGTCATAAGTCACATTTTCCAGTGCCGTTACTTTGAATGGTCACTAAACAAACTATTGTGAGTTGAGGACTACCTGTATGGCCCCTTTATGGTTTGTGAACTTCAACTCCCAGAATCCCAGCATGGCTGGCTCAGGAATTTTGGGAGTTGAAATCCACAAGTCGTAAAGGGGGCCATAGTTCCCCATCCCTGGTTTACAGCGAAGTGAAAGAAAAAGGAGATTTTATTGAAACTCTGTTAACTTTAGTCAAAACTAATAATAGCCATTTGTAGTCAAGTATGTTGCAGTGTTGTCATGGAGACCCAAGGTGTAGTTTCACCATCAACCATGGAAGTTTTCCTGGAAGATTATAGGCTGCTCATTTTCTCAGTTTAATTTACCTCACAGGGTTTTTATTGGGAAAAATGGGAGTTGTGTATCCTCCTTTGACCTCTTGGAAGAAAGGTGAAATATAAATCTAATAAAACAGTATATACGGAGTTTCTTAAAACTAAACAATACAAATGCCCATTATCAAGTTTGGCTTTATAATATACTTTTTTGTTGTTGAAAGGGTATCCCTTTAAATCAGTTGCAGAAATGAAATTTGTGGCGTTACTAAGGCTAATAAATCTCAAATGCAACATTTAATAATCCAATTGAGGCTTGAGTTGTGTGCATGCAGGCATTTTTAAGATGGTAAGGGCAACAGCACACTTATAATTTTCTTCAGTACAAAATGGTAATCTGGATACAGTTTATACTGGATATGTTTGAGTGAAATAACATCTTTTGTTTCTATCAACAGTACAGAGAAAAAGTAATATCTTTAAAGCTAGCAATCTTCTACAAGAGAATCTAAATGCATGACATGGTCATTTCATGGAACTAGCAAAAAACTATAGAATTGTTGAACGGATAATGTCCCAGCCAATATAGATCACTCTCTTCATGCTTTTGTTTGGAATTGGTGAATAATCAATGGATTCTGCAGGAAACCTTATTTGATCTGGGAAAGGGTGATTTGGAACACATGTTGGTTCACACATTCCATCTTTAGTATTAAATCAAGATGTAGCTTTTTAAAATAATTGCTTTCAGGTGTGATGTGCCAAATCACCTTTTCTAATTTAAATTTGGGTTGCTGGATAGTACTAATAGCATCTGCCAAATGCACATTGGAAGCAGAGAAAGGAAGAAATTTGTATAGAATGAAGTGGAAGCAAAGTCTCTTAGAAATTGAGCTTAGCTCCTGGTTACCATTTTCTGGGTAACAGTATAGAAATGGCTTCTTTTTCCCCACTTGCATTATGGTTTTAGGACTGTGAAATCTAGTCTTCACAAGGTTTTGCTTGTGATATTGTATCCATTCCAACTCTGTTTAGCCTTTTCAAGACAATGGGAAGGATACTATAAAATCGCCATTCCCACCCCACTCCAGTGGAAGGATACTGTAAAATCTCCATTCCCTCCCCACTCCAGGGGAAGGTTATTGCAAAATCCCCATTTCCTCCCGATCAGCTGGGACTCAGGAGGCAGAGAATAGATGGGGGCGGAGCCAGTCAGAAGTGGTATTTACCAGTTCTCCAAACTACTCAAAATTTCCGTGACCGGTTCTCCAGAACCGGTCAGAACCTGCTGAATATCACCTCTGATGCAGTCTCATGATATCACATTTTACAACTGTATTGCTCAGTTACCACAATCCCCGTTTCAACTGCCATTGTAACCTGAGGACTACCTGCATTTGCATTTGTGGGGATATTTTTCAGGATAATTTCCTAAGGTGATAAATATGCTGTTTTCTCTGAAAGGGAATTTAACTCATCTCTTAACTATATGGTAGTATTGCGTTACAAAATAATAGATAATCAAAATTGTAGAAAATAATGTTTTTGAAAGATCCAACTATATTTGTAATATCAAGGAATATATCTGCGGGTTTTTTTTAGACAATCAGATGAGGCTAGGAAGCTGCTTAGGCACTCTTGTTGGAGTGCTCGGAATGCCTCAAGGATTAATTAAACAAGATCTCGAGAAGTTTATTGATTAAAGTTTTTTTTTTAAATTATATCCATTAGTGCCCTCTTCAGAAGCTCTTTTCCTTTGAAACTGTTGTTGAAGCACTTTTTCTTTTCAACTACATATTAAATTATCCTGGGCCCATTTGTCCATAAGAGTTATCTGTAGCAGTGTGCTGAAGTTGTGGGGAACGTATTCTTTTAAAATCCACATGTCCTTGAGATGCTTTTAAATTGTGTCTATTTGCCACCCTCAAAACTCTGTTTTTCAGAACAGCATTTCTGTGCCTTTTACTTGAACTGAGAAATTTGAAAACACGAGAAGTCTGGCTGAAAACAGAATGGAAAAACACTATCTAATTCAATACCCCCATTCCTTATGTTTTCATTTTTGTGCATTTTGAATATCTTTAAAAGCATTTTGTATGAAAGGTCGGAAGCCTTCTTGCCTTTCTCCCAGATTGCCTTTTATAATGAAGTAAAATGGACTGCTATGTTTTCAGTGTATTTTTCCTTGGATACAGGTGTTCATATACAGCACTGAAGTGGTTGAAAGGTTGCTGATGAGAAACAAAACAACCTCTACGATCCATGAAATAAATTCTAAGAGAAAAGCTACAAAGCCAATAGCTTTTTTAAAAAACTTGCATAATCATTCTGTATACCAGAGGTTAGCAAGCTGTGTCTCTGGAGCCGCATGTGGCTCTTTCACCCCTCTGCTGTGGCTCCCTGTCACTCAAAATATGCATCACACCCGCCAGCATGTGGTTTATTGAGCTTTTCAACCCTTGGTAGGCCAATCATAGATAAATCCAAGAAAAGAAAAATTTCAGAAGAAAACAGAACGTTTAATTCAACTACACATGCTAGTTTTGTGGCCGCTCAAGAAATAGTCAGGCACGGGAAGGGTTTTGTGGCTCCTGGTGTTTTCTTTTCTGTGGGAAACGGGTCCAAATGGCTCTTTGAGTGTTTAAGGTTGCAGACCCCTGCTATATACCATTAAAGATAACCTTTTCCCCTTTACTATAACGTGTATATACAGTATAATATAATTATACATATACTGCATATACTACTAACTATTACTTTTTGACTGAGATATATATTGATACTAAGCATGTTTCCTTTGTCTTTGGAAATGCAGCCTTGAATAGTAATTATAACCAACAATGAGAAGAAAAGTGGCAGGAAGACTTAGACTTAGTCCTAACGAAGAAGCTCAGCTATTGAAAGAAGAACATGAAAGAAGAAGAAAATTAAGGCTGCAACAGGTGTGTTTGCATTGGCCGGAGTCATTTGTTTTTGAGCAATTTAAAAAACGGATATTATATTCAGCTTTTAAATGAGTATATGGTGACAGGGCATTCTATGGAGTGGGGCAAGATCTAAACTTCCCTAAGAGCTGCAGAGGTGTTTGGGAATAACCCTATATGTTTTGCAGTGATCTTTAACCTCTTCCTGGCTCGACATGTAGGAAGATGGTTGGGATTTTCTGTTCACTGTTTCCATGCCAGCTAAATTGATAAAATGTACTAGATCATAATCAGCCAGTCCAAACTTCCAGCTCTGAGAAAGGAATAATGTATTTTTTGGAATATAAGACGCACCTTTTCCCCCCCCTAAAGGGGTGAAAATTTAGGTGCGCCTTATACACTGAATGTAGCCCCGCCCACCCACTGGCCCCCACCCTTTGGCCTCTGCCTCGCAGCAGTTACCTCCTTGCAAGCAAACAGCAAGAAAAAACAGCTCCTTTCAGCTTCAGCACAGCCTAATTAGCACAAGTTGATTGGATCGGCCTCCCGACTCTCAGCTGATTTGCTCTCAGCTGTTTTGCACAGGGCTCTGCTGCTTGCTGCAAAGAGGTACATTGCTGGAGCAGATTTTTTTTTTTCCTTGTGCTAATCAAGCTATGCTGAAAACAAAAATGAAATTAAAGCAGGCTGTTTGCTGTAACGAGGCAAAATTGCTCAGAGGCAGAGGGAGATTTCTTTTTCTTCTTTTCCTCACCAAAAAAAAGGTAGGTGCGTTTTATACTCCGAAAAATACGGTATATGACACTGATTTCTTTATTGCTAAGATTCCTGCACAGGCTTAAATTGGCAAATCCAATTGAGACATGAAGATAGGATTAGAAAGCAGGGAATTGCTTTTCACCAAAATAAAGGGATGACATAACTCAGTTATTTATTTAATTTATATACTGCCTGACTCAACCCCTTTGTGGTTCATAAATTAAAAAAAAAAATTAAAACAGTGAAAAAGAAATACCTCAGTACCTCAATACTCGACTGCTTCAAAACTCATCAAATTTGGTCCTTGATGCATTTTGATGTGAAAATTGTGTCCTGGTACTCATTGTTTGGTACTTGACACGTTGCAATAGGAAGTGGGGGACAGCCATGGAGAATGGGCAGGAAGTTGGCCATGTCGGAAAGGAAGCGGGAGATGGCTGCAGAGGGCAGACAGGAAGTCAGCCATGCTGGGAAAATCGTTGACATAGAAAAAGGGCCAGACAGGAAGTCCTTCCCGGCCGAAACAAAGGGTCATGTGGTAAATCATGTAGGTTTTTTTTTTGCTACTCGTTTTTAATACTTGTCGTGCCTTTCATAACCAATTAACGAGTACTGAGGTACCACTCAGGACAAGAATGAGGAGTTAAAAAAGTTTTAAAAACCAGACAGGCATGAAAAAAGAGACCTTACCTTCAAGATGTTTCAAAACACCTTCATGGTGCATGCAGGTGCTGCTACAGATATAACATGGGTCCTAGTTAATGTTGGTGTTTAATCAAATGAGGCCAACATGCTCCAACTCTGCTTAGATTGCATCAGCCAGATATACTATGGTAAATAGGTGTTCCATCATGTACGCAGACTGTTTACAGTCAATTGAAGTAAAATAACAACTGGAAATCAGGATATAGCAGCTGGGTTGTATGGTAAAACCTTCTATGGCAGTGGTCACCAACTGGTGGTCCATGGACCATTGGTGGTCTGTAAGAAAATGTTGGTGGTCTGCAGAAAGATTATTTGCATTTTTTATATTGCACTAAATCAGGGGTCCTCAAACTACGGCCCCTGGAATGGATACATGCAATGAACGTTTGTGTTGTTGCGGAGAGTCTCCCTCTTCGGGGTCTTTTTGTGCGGGTCGGAGGGGGCCAGAAATTCTGACTTGGGGTCTGCTTTGGCCTCCTGGTGCGGGGCTTTGGGCAAAGACTAGAGGGAAGTGCAGCTGGTGGCGAAGAGCCGGAGGGCCTTGTTCCAGTGGGACTGCATCATGGCCTAGAATGGCTGACCATCAGCCCACTGAGCCTCCAGGCGCTGCTACCTGGAGTTGCACTCCTGCAGGTCTTCCCTCTGCTTGGAAAGCCTATGCTCGTAGTCCTCAGTGAGGTGCTTCTGCTGAGCCTTCTTCTCCGTCAGATCCAATTTTAACTGAGTCAGCTGTTTTGCCAACTCTTTCTCATGATGGCTGCTTATCTCCAACAACTGCTTCCTGTTGGGGCCCTAAGGAGCCCGGGTGGGCAGGCGAGGAGTGGGTGGGAGGGGATGGGTGAGTGGAGGCTGGTGTGAGTGACATTGAGTTGGCCACACCCACCCAGTCACATGACCACCTAGCCATGCCCACCCAGCTGGTCATTGGGCAGATCATATTAGTGGTCCGTGGGATTTAAAATTATGAAGTTAGTAGTCCCTGAGGTCCGAAAGGTTGGTGAGCCCTGTTCTATGGAATTGCTGACCATCAATGTTTTTTTTTTCCCCAGGTCAGGGAACAGGAGCGGAATATTGCTTTGCAGATAAGACAAGATGTTAAGCAGCGAAGAGATGAGCACCTGAAGCAGTTGGCTGAAGAACTGGAGGCAGAATGGCAGAAAACCCAGGATGAGAAGATTAAAGCTCTGGAAAATCTCTACCTGTCAAGTTTAAGAGCTGTAGGAGAAGGGCATAAAGAAGCAAAGGAAAATGTAGGTAAATGATCTCGGGTCATTGAATGCTTTTGCAGAGAAAGAAAACATACTAGCCACTTTTAAAAAGCAGTTCTTAAAATTATTTTTCTTATTTAAATTAATGCAGTGCCTAACATGGTACCCCTGTCTGCTTGTTTGTCATTTCAAAGGAGCCTGATTTGGAGGCACTGGCAAAGCAAGCAGAAGAAAGGAAAGAAGCAGCCAAAAAGAGATATAAAGAAGCCCTGAAAAAACAGAAAAGCCAGAAGGAGAAATCGCTGAGAGAACAAACCAGGTAATAATAAAAGTTTCTTCCTTGTGAAGTATTTAAGTTTGAATTCGGAATTAATGTGAGCGTCCAACTGAGTGTGTTAATTTTGCCCTTCCCTCTTCTTGCAAAACTTGCACAACCTGAAAATTCTGAACTGGGCTATTAGGAAAAATTGCCAGAATTGGGGACTACCTCCACAGTTTTTTTAAAAATTTCATTTATTTAATTATTGACTGACTGATTGGCTGACTTGGATTTGTATGCAGCTCCAATATACATAAATTTTGAGTGATTCATAAAACCTACAACAAAATAGCAAGGAAATAAACAAGTAAATAAATTGTAACTTTTAGTGCCAATTGCTTAACGCATTGTAAGCCGCCCTGAGTCTCCGGAGAAGGGCGGCATATAAATTAAAGCAAAAAAAAAAAAAAAGGGTGTATCCGGAAACATACTATAATCAAGGCATCACGATTTTTCAGAATGCAAACGGAGGAGTGTAATCCTTAATGGAACTATGTCAACATAGGAGAGAAGCATGCTGTGCTTCAATATTCAGTCTTGAGCCCAGTACTCTTCAATATCTTCATAGCAATAGCAATAGCACTTAGACTTATAAACTGCTTCACAGTGCTTTACAGCCTTCTCTAAGCAGTTTACAGAATCAACATATTGCCTCCAGCAATCTGGGTCCTCATTTTACCGACCTCGGAAGGATGGAAGGCGGAGTCAACCTTGAGCCTGGTGAGATCCGAACTGCTAAATTTCAGGCTGCTGGCAGTCAGCAGAACTAACCTGCAGTACTGCACTCTAACCACTGCGCCACTGTGGCTCTAAATCTCATAAATGATTTAAATGAAGGGGATAGAACTCATCAATTGCAGATGACACCAAGCTGGAGGGAATTGCTAAGACTTCGAAAGATAGACTCAAAACTCAGAAGGATCTTGGCAGATTTCAGCTTTGGGCCCTATCCAACAAGGGATAGCATCAAGATCATGAGAAAGTGATAGTACTGTTTTATGAGGCCACCCTTGGAATACTGAGTACAGTTCTAGTCACCACAATATATTAAAAAAATGCTGAGACCCTAACAAATATGCAGAGAAAACAACAAAGATGATAAGGGGTCTGGAGGCTAAATCGTAACGGTTGAGGGAGGGAGGGATGTTGACTCTATAGAAGAGAAGGATTAAGGGGGAACGTGATAACTGCCTTCCAGTACTTGAGGACCTGTCACAGAGAAGAGAGGATTGACTTAGTCTCCAAAGTACCAGAGGGCAAGACAAGAAGTAAATGGTGGCAGCTTGTTAAAGAGAGATCCAGCCTAGAAGTAACGAGAAATTTTTATGACGGAACAATTGATCAGTGGAATTGCTCGCCTCCCAGAGTTGTAGTTTTCAAAAATAGCCTGGACAACAATTTGACTGGGATGGTATATAACAGTGATGGCTAACCTTTTTGCCATCGCGTGCCAAAAGCGCGGGGGAGCGCGGGGGCTCGAGTGCGCGTGTGCCAACGCCCATAATTCAATGTGCCCTGCCCCCCATGCATGCACGCGTGAACCCCCCGCGCTCCCTCTGCTTTCGGGACGCAATGGCACAGTGGGCCCGGTAGGCCTGTTTTTTGCCCTCCCCAGGCTCCAGAGGCTTTCTAGAAGCCTGGGGAGGGCTAAAACAGTCTTCCCCACCCCTCCCGGAGGCCAGAAACGGCCCATTTCCCAATTTCTGGTGGGCCCAAAAGGCCCGAAAATCAGCTGGCTGGAGTACGCATGCACACTGGAGCTGAGCTAGGGCAATGCTCGCGTGCCCACAGTGGCACACGTGCCATAGGTTCGCCAACACGGGTATATAAGGTCTGCCTTGAGTGGGGGGTTGGACTAGAACAGGGATCAGTCTGTGGACCAGTACCGGAATCGGGCCACATAGGTGAATGAAGCACCATCCATGGGCATACGGGATCCAAGCAGTGCTCAAAACCACACCCATGGAAAACCCGCCCTCCATGGAACTGGTGCCTGGTGCCCAAAAGGTTAGGGGCTGCTGGATTAGAAGACCTTTGAGTTCCCTTCCAGCCCTGTGGTTCTATGTTCTACATTGGGTCTCCAACCCCTGGGCTATGGACCGGTACCGACCCGTGACTGCTAGGAATCAGGCCGCACAGCTGGAGGTGAGCAGCCAATTGAGTGAAATTGCACATTTGCGCTGTCTAGGTTGTGTGCTTCTCTTCCCCCCACCCCCCTCGGCCAATCTGTGGAAAAATTGACTTATATAAAACTGGCCCTTGGTGCCAAAAAGGTTTGGGGATCCCTGTTCTATGTAATCCTGGTAGAGATACTGTTCCAAAAAAGGAGGTTCTGAATGAGAAGGTTTCTAGATCACTTCACATGGCACTGCCTCAAGGAAAGACCCTGAAAAACAATTACTGTCTTACTGGACAGGCAGAAACCACTAAGAATTGGTGGCTCCAAAGATATCTGGTCCCTATTTAAGTAGGGAAACCTACTTAGAACTGATACCCAAAAAGTAACTAGTAATGAGCACAGCTCTGAATGCATGATAATGGTAATTATCTAATGGTAATTATCACAACTTGAGCTGCTACGTTCTGAAGTGGATCACTTCCAGGTGGTCTTCAAGGGTAGCCCCACGTAGACTGGATTGCGGTAGTCAAAATAAAAGGTGCCTAAGCTTTGAGTGACCATAAGTAGGGCTTCTTGGTCCAAGTAAGACTGTAAGTCAGGAGTGTCAAACTCAATTTCATTGAGGGCCGCATCAGGGTTGTGTTTGACCTTGGGGGGCCGGGGTGGGCGTGGCCAGCTCGACGTCACTCCTGTCAGGGGCGCCTGTTGTGGCCCGAGCGCTCTGCCAGCGAAAACAGGCTCCCGAGCTCAGTTTTCAGCTGCGATGGCCTCCTGCAAGCCTCTGCCAGTGAAAAGGGAGCTTGGGAGGGCCGCCCATGGCCCTTGCGAGCTCCGTTTTCATTGGCAGAGGCACCGCGGGCCGGTCCTTCGTTGTTTCTAGGGTGGCCCCACGGGCCAGATCTAAGCATCCCGCAGGTCGGATCTGGCTCCTAGGCCTTGAGTTTGACATCTCTGCTGTAAGGGATGCCCAGTATCTAATTGTCTGAAAGCCTCCAAACCACACTTGTTATCTGCACCTCAAGTAGGAGCTGCAAACCAAGATTAACCAGTTCTAGCATGACCCAGTCCAGAAGCAAAGACAGTCCCCCAAATTTTTTTTTCTACATTTGTGGCGTTTGTAGTTTCAAAGTCTTGGAAGAGAGCAGAGGTTTGGTTAACCTGTTCTGTTTCTTGCTACTTTTTCTTATTGTCTAAACAAGGCGGGCAAATGCGCGAAAGCATGCATTTGAGGTGGAAAGAGAAAGAGCGACCAGAGTTGCAAGCCTGCCGCCTCCTCCCCCCCCACCCTTTTGAAGTGAGTATTCTTTCCAAATAGTTTACAAACTGCTGGAATTCTAACACTTTGAAATGCGATCTTGTGATAATGGCTAATGTAAGAATTTATAATAGGCCTAAGCATAAGACTAATACCAGTTGGTTGATTGTCAGGGTTTGTTAGGTGATCTTCTAGCTGGAGATAAAGCCAAAGTTGTTAAAATCATTTTTGTCCATTCAGATTAATTAGTTGTTGTTGTTGTTAGTTGCGAAGTCGTGTCTGATCCATCGTGACCCCATGGACAACTCCAGGCCTTCCTGTCCTCTACCATCCTCTGGAGTCCATTTAAGCTCAGGCCTACTGCTTCAGTGACTCCATCCAGCCACCTCGTTCTCTGTTGTCCCTTTCTTCTTTTGCCCTCAATCTTTCCCAGCAATTAGTACATAACATTAAATATACATTATGCCACATTTTTAGAATACTTATTTATACATATACATACTAGGAAAGTGCCATAATGTATATCTGATGCATGTATTATTTAATCTGAATGGACAGAAATGATTTTAACTATATAATGCAAAAACAGAAAAAAACATCCATCCAACAGTAACAAAAAATGATTGTGTACAAAAAAGAGAAAAAAATGACCCAAATATCAAATAAGTCTTAACATTAAACATTACAAAAAAAATCCTTCCTGGCTGGCTGCTGGAAAGAAAATTCATATATATGGATATATGGGACGATATAATTATGATATAAGGGATGTGGTGGCTCAGTGGGTAAGATTCTGACCTTGTCGATCGAAAGGTCAGCAGTTCAGTGATTCGAATCCCTAGTGCCGCGTAAGGGGGTGAGCTCCCGTTACTTGACCCAGCTTCTGCCAACCTAGCAATTTGAAAGCACATAAAAAATGCAAGTAGAAAAATAGGGACCACCTTTGGTGGGAAGGTGACAGCGTTCCATGCGCCTTTGGCGTTTAGTCATGCCGGCCACATGACCACGGAGACATCTTCAGACAGTGCTGGCTCTTCGACTTTGAAATGGAGATGAGCACCACCCCCTAGAGTCGGGAACGATTAGCACATATGTGCAAGGGGAACCTTTACCTATAAAATATATTTTATGGTACATACATACACACACATATAATTGTACAGACTCATAATATTAAAAGAATTGGCACAGCCTCCTTTGTAGTCAGCAGTCCTAATCAGAGATAATTAGTTGTTCTTAAATGCATTGAAATTGATCGAACAAGTTAATTATCACAACTTCCTTAATTTCAGGGAAGTTTAAGCATGACTAATTTAGATCAAAGCGAGAGCTTCTGGCTTCTGGTTTTTCTTTTTTTTTTGTACACAGTGTTCTTCCTGCTTCAGAATATTATATATTGCAGTTAATCTCCTTTTCTGATAAACGTTTAGAACATTTTGATGTTGTTTAATATTAAAAAGTATGAGCTATAAGATGAAAGATGCATAAGTAAATTTAATCGCAGCTGGAAATTCTCTAGCCTAGTTGCTATTTGTCATCCTTCACTGAAGTGGGAATGGTGGTGAGGATCTTAATGGCTACTGCTGTAAGGACCCCTGAGCTTATATTTGAGCACCGCATATTTATTATTTATTGCGCCATCTAATTACGTTTGGTTTTCAGTCCATAAAAAGTATGACATTATTGTCATGCATCAATTTGCAGCATATTACAGACTGGAATCTACTGAAAATGTAGGGTTCTTCCTAGGGATGCTATCTTCCTAAAACTGTTTTATTATTATCATGAATATGTATTTGCAATTTGCACTATTTTGGCGGGGGGGGGGGTATTTTATTTTTGTTGATAGCTTGTGATATTTTATCCCTGGCAAGATTTGGCATCTTATGTACAAGAGATAGTCATGTAATGTTTGTTTTGCGATCGTAACCTCAGAAAAATTCACCCTTGTAAAAACAACACAATATTTCAACTTTTCAGAATATTGACCTGAAGGACGTACCTGCAGTGAAAATTAGTGATGTTGATCATTTTTCGATTAGTCGACACCATATCTTTGACCCACATGTGGACAGAGAAATGAGCACAGAACAGGTGATTTTCAGGTTGCATGTGGTATATTCTGCACACTAACCATTATGTATTTTCTCTGTAAATTGAACACATATTTTATACCTTGCTTTTCAGCCACCAGGATTCGCCAGGATAGAACATACCAATAAAGTGTCTCTGTTTTCAGGTTTATAGTTTGGAGCAGGGGAGATAAACAATGAAAATTACTGTATTTTTCGCTCCATAAGACGCTCCTGACCGTAAGACCAGAGCTGAGGTGGTGCAGTGGTTAGAGTTCAGTACTGCAGGCTACTTCAGCTCACTGCTAGTTGCAGTTCAGCAGTTCAAATCTCACTAGCTCAAGGTTGACTCAGCCTTCCATTCTTCTGAGGTGGGTAAAATGAGGACCCAGATTGTTGGGGGCAATAGGCTGACTCTGTAAACTGCTTAGAGAGGGCTGTAAAAGCACTATGAAGCAGTATATAAGTCTAAGTGCTATTGCTATAAGAAGCACCTAGGTTTAAGAGGAGGAAACAAAAAAAAAAAATCTGCCTCTACCTCCCAGCGTCCCTCCGGTATTCATCTGGCTAGTGTCCTTGCAGCAAACAGCCTGCCTCCTCTGTGTCTGCTGCCTCTGCCAGGGAATGCTGGAGCCTTCGCCTCCAAGCAGCTGATCAGCAGTTGGATCGGCTTCCCAGAGTATCGTCGATCAGCTGTTCCAGGCGGCGGGGATTGCTGCCACTGTTCGGTGCTGCTGCCTGTCGCCCATATTCGCTCCATAAGACGCACAGACATTTCCACCCACTTTTGGGAGGGGAAAAAAGTGTGTCTTATGGAGTGAAAAATACAGCAATTGTTGTAAGTTGGCAATTCATAAAGTTATAATCATCTCCTATTTACTGGTTGAAATGCAAGCGTTCTCTGATAATGCACCAAAAATTCTCCTTGAAATGACTAGCTGAAATAGTTAAAAAAAAGTAAAGACCTTCCTATAATTGCTTTTATCTCAGTTGAGTTAATGGAGTGGCTGTCCTTTTCTCCTTCTGTTGTGCCCTAAAGTTACAGTGATGGATCACATTGTGAGAAAAGAAAAAAAAAACCTCAGGTGAAGTTATCAAGGTAGCTTCTTGATGTATTAATGGTGGCCCACTTCCTTCTGTCTCAGTTGTAGCAAGATGGAAGAAGTCTAGAAAAACGGGGTGAGCTCCTGTTACTTGTCCCAGCTTCTGCCAACCTAGCAGTTCGAAAGCACGTAAAAGCAAGTAGAAAAATTGGGACCACTTTGGTGGGAAGGTAACAGCGTTCCGTGCGCCTTTGGCGTTTAGTCCTACTGGCCACATGACCATAAAGACGTCTTTGAACAGCGCTGGCACTTTGGCTTTGAAACGGAGATGAGCACCACCCTCTAGAGTCAGGAATGACTAGCACATATGTGTGAGGGGAACCTTTATCTTTCCCTTATACATTAAGATTACACTAAATATAGATACTGTGCATGGTTCAAAACTGAATGGGAACCATTTTGCGGTTTCAGTGTTGGGAGAATGTATTACTATGCTATTTCCAGGAAATGTATTTCTCCTGTAGTGCAAATAGTAACTACTCTTTGGGACCATATCATTGGTTCACATGCTAGGTATGGGGAAGGGGGTAGTTATTCCCCTCCTCCCCTGCCATAGAGTTTTGATACTCTATTGCAGGGGTGTCAAACTCAATTTCACTGAGGGCTGCATCAGGGTTGTGTTTGACCTTGGGGGGGGGGAGGTGTGGCCAGGGAGTGTAGCCAGCTCGACATCACTCATTTTGGGGGCACCGTTTTTGGCTGCGACAGTCTCCTCCAGCATTCTGCCAGCGAAAACGCGGCCCTCCCGAGCTCCTTTTTCACTGGCAGAGGCATCGCGGGGGCCAGTCCTTTGCTGTTTTCAGGCAGCTCCGTGGACCAGATCTAAGCATCCGGGTCCGGCCCGCGGGCCTTGAGTTTGACACCTCTGCTCTATTGGTTTAAAGCTGATAGGTTCATGGTGGTTATACAAGTACATCTCTTCGGGTATTGAGGTTGGGCCCCAGTTTGTTTTGGTTTGATAAGTTTTAGCCATAGAATTTTTAATTATGATTTTCTTTGAGGCACCACAGAACTTGGTTGCTAACTAGTTGCTGGTTGGTTGTCAGCCAGATGCTCGGTTACTCGCTAAAGAGGAAGCCAAACAAAAGGAAGAGCTGCAAAATGACAAAGAAAGAGAAAGGAGAGAGCAGCTGGAAAAGGCGTATTTGAGAGGAAAACACGCCTTGAAGATGGTTCGACTGGCAAGGGTAAGTAAAACGTAGACATTCTGCCTTTTCAAACACGTGTAATAAAATGAGAATTAATAATTGCAAATGATATCCTAGCTTCAATAACTTTTTAAAAAATCTTAACATTGTAAAGTCTTTTGGAAAAATTTTACCTTTAGCTTCATGGGACGCGGTGGCTCAGTGGCTAAGATGCTGAGCTTGTCGATCCGAAAGGTCGGCAGTTCAGCGGTTCGAATCTCTAGTGCCGCGTAAGGAGGTGAGCTCCCGTTACTTGTCCCAGCTTCTGCCAACCTAGCAATTCGAAAGCAAAAAATGCAAGTAGAAAAATAGGGATCACATTTGGTGAGAAGGTAACAGTGTTCTGTGCACCTTTGGTGTTTAGTCATGCCAGCCACATGACCACAGAGACATCTTCGGACAGCGCTGGCTCTTTGGCTTTGAAACGGAGATGAGCACCTAGAGTCAGGAACGACTAGCACATATGTGCGAGGGGAACCTTTACTTTTAGCTTCCAGATTTGTAATAGGAATGTTCTGTTGTTGAAGGAGAAATATATTTGAAGATCTGAAAACCATTCTGTTTTCTACCATTCTGCAGTAATTTAGGCAGGGAGGAAGGTTGAGGCTTGGTGTTTGAGGCTATAAAAGTGACGAAACGCAAACGGTATCTATTGGCTGTTAACTACTGTATTGTCAGACCTGCCAATTTAAACCTTTAAATAGAAACGATCCTTGGCTCCATGTGTTGAGAAAGGCATATTTTTATTAGAAGTTAAGTGTATTGCAGGAATGCAGAGCCAGAATCCCTACATTCAACTTTTCCCTCCCTTCGCGACCTCCCATCGCCCATCCCCATGTGACCAGTCAGGTTCAGGCAGGATATTTTCCTAACAGGTCAGTTCAAGCACAGGATGGTATGCAGCTGGTATTGCCTGGTGACCTTGAAGCAGCATTTCAAAGAGATACAGCACTTACTTTCGTTTACCCCTTTGCCTGCTCCCCTTCCTCTACTTCATGGCAGTCTGTCACCGAACAGTAGTGAAGCACAAGCAAGCATTGAGATGGCAGCTGACACCGTATGTTGAATCGTTTGCAAGCAGTGCAAACTGAATCTTAAATAAAGTTAGCAATCTTTTCAACATGACTTTACTTTCTGGCAATTTTTACCTCATGACAATAACCAAAACTAGTATGAAATACTTAGCGAAGGGTTCAGCATTATACTGGTATTATGAAAAAGATATGTGATGCCCAGTGGTTCTTTATTGAGAGATAAATATGCAAAAGATGTGTGGAGGCTGAGAATATGAATTACACACACTTTTGTATGCAAATGATGCTGTTGATTGAGAACCCAAATAATTTGCTGTGAAAATTAGTTAAATTAGGTAATAAATTATGTAATAAAGATTAATATGCATTAATCTATAAATTAATGCATTGACGAACAAGATTTTTAATATATTAAAATATATTTCTTGGTCATGAAAATGCAGTAAAGAATTGCAAATTATACCTGTATGTAGCCTGTAGAAAAGCTACAGCAACTGAATAACATTTATTTTGTGTACCTTGTTCAAATATTTCTTCATCAATATCCTCCACCAGATTCTGACATGGAAAAAAAACCACAAGTGATCTATTGCAAAAAAGAAATGTTTGTCAAAAGAAGTAGAAACGTTGTGTATAAGAGTGTGGTGTTTTATGGATATGAGGCTTGGATATGCCAAGAGAGGCATAAAATATGTTAGATGTGCTGGAAATGGCTTTAGATAAGATATATGTGCAGTAAGGAAAGAAGATATATAATCAAGATTGAATGTGTGCCAAATAGAATAGAATAACAGAGTTGGAAGGGACCTTGGAGGTCTTTTAGTCCAACCCCCTGCTTAGGCAGGAATCCCTACACCACTTCAGACAAATGGTTATCCAACATCTTCTTAAAAACTTCCAGTGTTGGAACATTCACAACTTCTGGAGGGAAGTTGTTCCACTGATTAATTGTTCTAACTGCCAGGAAATTTCTCCTTAGTTTTAAGTTGCTTCTCTCCTTGATTACTTTCCACCCATTGCTTCTTGTCCTGCCCTCAGGTGCTTTGGAGAATAGCTTGACTGCCTCTTCTTTGTGGCAGCCCCTGAGATATTGGAACATGCTATCATGTCACCCCTAGTCTTCTTTTCATTAAACTAGACATACCCAGTTCCTGCAACCGTTCTTCATATGTTTTAGCCTCCTGTCCCGTAATCATCTTTGTTCATCATCTCTGCACTCTTTCTAGAGTCTCCACATCTTTTTTACATCGTGGCGACCAAAACTGAATGCAGTATTCCAAGTGTGGCCTTACCAAGGCATTATAAAGTGGTATTAACATTTTATTAAATGAATGTGGATTGTTTACAGAAGTGAGTGACCAGTATAAAAGAAGTAGTTTTGTCATATAGAGAAAAGCAAATGAGATTTACTTCTTACTGCCATTCAGTATCAATTATGAACAATTCCTTTGGCTATTTATAGCAAAGTAATAACCGTAGGGATGAGAAACAATATTCATACAGGTGCATAAATGCAAAAAAACTTTTCTGATTAGAAGCTGTTGAACTAAGAGAGAATGAATGTTGGTCCCAAGGGGAAAAAAATCAGGCTTTCTATCTCTCTCATCATTGCCATCGTAAGTTGGCCTAGTTACACGATGTCATATTTCTGTCACTAAGCAAGGACTACCTGTAATAATAGTAAACCTTTTCTCTTACTTTGACCTTATGAGTGAGTAGTGTATCTTATGATTTATGATGATTGTATTTATGATTATGATCATGGTTTATCACTTGTTGCTTGTATGTACAGTGAGAGTTTATGTACCGGAGACAAATTCTTGTGTATCCAATCACATTTGGCCAATAAAGAATTTGGTTCTTTTCTATTTTCTTTTCTTTTCTTTTCTTTTCTTTTCTTTTCTATTCTATTCTATTCTATTCTATTCTATTCTATTCTATTCTATTTATTCTATTCTATTCTATTCTATTCTATTCTATTCTATTCTATTCTCTACTCTACTCTACTCTACTCTACTCTACTCTACTCTACTCTACTCTACTCTACTCTACTCTACGTTCTAGTCTTCTCTATATTCCATTCCATTCCATTTATTCTTCTCTATTCCCTATCCTATCCTATCCTATCCTCCTTTGTCCTAGTATATAACCTCTAATCTGTTCTGCTAAGTCTGAACACTCAGATTCCTAGTACCCAAGTTATGTCTCTGCTTCTCATAGTAATCCCCTACCAGTTTGCACCAGCTAATTACAATCCCCTCCGTTATATAACCAAACAGTAGTAGTGAAATGTGTGAATTACTTCCAACTTGTACCTAAATTTGGTAGGCTGCATTACTTACATCTAGATTTAAGTAGAAATACCTTTCTGTGGTATATAAAAGCTTTGCTTTCTTTTTCATAAATTGATTAAAATGGAAGTTTAGACGTTTCCTCATTTTCTCTATTAGGGGTTAATTTATCTGTGATATTTTACTAATTCGGGAGAAACACTAGAAAATTGAGCTAGTAAAGGAGAGTGTACATGGGTTTACCTTCCCAGAATGCCTAATGTAATTTTAATGTACCTAATGTTGCAGAAAAAAGGAAAACTTTAATGTTTCATTTTGAGTAGCAATTAACAATATATGTATTCAGCACACAAGAAAATCATCAGAACTGAAGCTATCATTTCATAATGATGTATGACTAATAAAAGTCTGCTTTTGGACCATAAATCATCTTGAAATAGGGCACTTTTTAAAGAAAGTTACACGTTGGTATTTGAAGCCGTAAATTCTACAAAATCATTTGCTTCAAAGTAACTTACATTTCCGTATACATTATGTTAACATCTACACATGTATTAAAACTTACACTATGAATTACACAGCTGACGCTGCATTCTCATTAATACATATGCCCTCTTCACATTTTAATTGATTACTTTCTGCGATTTTCTTTACAAAACAAACTGCACCAAAGTGACGTGATGTCAATAAACGGATGTTTGTAGGGATGACTTTTTAACAAAATATCTCTGCTTTAAAAGGACAAGGAAAAGTTAATGAAAGAGCTTGAACAGATGCAAAACGTTGACCTGGCCCACAGAAGGCGGATTGTTTCCCAGATGCCCCCGCAGCTGTTTGAACCCAGCTATAGGCGTGTGGAAATCAAAGAAGAATGGCAGAGGGAGCTGGAGTGTGCCTTCGAAGACATGTATACTGGAAATATGAGTAAGCATAATTTAGAACTCTAGGTTTTTAACTATATACAAAATAGAAATTTTCTGAGGAAAATACCATTTCACACTGGTGAAGTCCAGTCACTGCTTCACATAAATTGTCTCTGTACTCCAGAATGAGCATTAAATTTCTGCAGTGCAAGGTTCATTTATGTATTTCTCAGTATCTTTACATACAGTATCACATAATCACCATTGTTGTTCTATGCCAGTGATGGTTAACCTTTTTGCCATCGCGTGCCAGGAGGGTGGGGTAGGGGGTCACGCGCTTGCATGCTCACACCCATAATTCTATGCACCCCACCCTGCACATGAGTGCGCAACCTACCCCCTGCTCCCCCCCACTCCTGGCACGCGATGGCCCATTTTTCTTTCTCATTTGGTTCCAGGGCCTCTCTAGGAGACTGGGGAGGGCGAAAACGGCCTTCCCCACCCCCCTGGAGGTCCTCCAGAGGCCGAAATGGCCTGTTTGACAATTTCCAGTGGGACCGGAAGGCCTGTTTTTTGCTGTCCCCAGCCTCCAGGGCCTCTCTAGGAGTCTGGGGAGGGTGAAAAACAGCCTCCCCCACCCCCGGAAGTCCTCCGGAGGCCAAAACGGCCCGTTTGACAACTTCCAGTGGGACCGGAAGACCTGTTTTTTGCTGTCCCCGGCCTCCAGGGCTTCTCTAGGAGTCGGGAGGACAAAAACAGCCTTCCCCACCCCCCGGAGGTCCTCCGGAGGCCGAAAACTGCCCGTTTGACAACTTCCGGTGGGCGGGGAAGGCCGTTTTTGCCCTCCCCAGATTCCTAGAGAGGCCCTGGAGCCAGGTGAGAGAGGAAAACGGGCCTTCCCCACCCACCCCAGGCCCTCCGGAGGCAGGAAACAGCCTGTTTCCCTACTTCTGGTGGGCCCAGAAGACCCAAAAATCAGCTGGCCGGTGCACGCATGTGTGCCGGAGCTGAGCTTGCATGCCATAGGTTCACCTTCATGATTCTATGCCTTGTTTCTCCATGAATAAGAAGGAACTAAGAAGCACCTGGTTTTCTTACCTCATCCTTTTCTTCTAATGTTTTAAGATTTGGAAAAGAACTCCATTTGGGAATCCCATCTGTTTGCTTTTAGGTGGATGGGTGCTTCACAACAGAAATGTATTTAGGGCATAGTTTGACAGTGTTATTCACATGCTGATTCTTAACAGCAGATAATTAAAATTACCATATGGCTGACGCGCTCGTTATAAATTGCCTCACCACGACATAATTTTATCTTGGCACAGTCGGCCACGATCAGAAATAAAGGTAGGTTTTTTTTGTTTGTTTTTTTAGTCTGTATCCTAGAGCATCATAATATGCATTGTTGCTTTCATTTTGCTTTTTCTTTACACAGAAATGAAGGGAGATCTTATTTTGCACCTTGATCCACAGCCTTTGCCAGCTCTCTCCGAGGCATCTCAGGATGATGAACTAGAACTTTCCCAGGAACCAGAACCTGTGTGTGAATTGTCTCCAAAGTTGGCAAATGAGATAGAAAACGACGAGCCAAGCGGTACGAAGAATTCCAAGACCATGTCTGTGTTCACTAAAACAGCAGCATGCAACAGCTCTGTTTGTCAGTGAGACTTTTCTAAAACAGTATAAAACAGCAGCTGGAGAAATTTATCTTCATACTTTTTCCAGAAACCTGTCTGCAGTTTTTACATTCAGATTAGTCGATTGTCAAATGCATGAGGGAGTGTGTCAGAGTATAAACACTGGGCAATACAATTCAGTGAAGCAACAAGCCAACTTTGGCTGATCTCTGACTAAGTAGAATTGGATATAGTTAATCTAGGATAAAAGGCCATTAAAGGATCTCAGGGCTATAGATTAGTTTGGGAAGTTAAAACAAACAAGCAAACAAATCATTAGGCCACCACAATTAACCCAGAGTGCCAACTGGTCACTTCATGCCAGTTTATGTGAACCAATTGTAAAAGTTATAGCTAAGAACCAAAGGTTGCAATCCAGCCCTTTGTGATTACAGTCCATGCTTGAGAACTGGCTATGTTCTTAGCTAAGCAGGATAAAGATAAAAGTAAAGGTTCCTCTCGCACATATGTGCTAATCGTTCCCAATTCTAGGGGGCAGTGCTCATCTCCATTTCAAAGCCGAAGAGCCAGCGCTGTCCGAAGACATCTCTGTGGTCATGTGGCCGGCATGACTATTTATTTATTTATTTATTTAAATTTTTATACCCCCCCCCTCCCGAAGGACTCAGGGCGGTGAACAGCCAAAATTAAAAAACATACAATATAACCATTAAAATACTATAAAAACAAAATTAAATTTATATTGGCTTCCCCCAATTTAAAACCCCTTACCCATAAAATTCACCAATTAAAAGATTTTTAACCCAGCCCGGCTTGCTGAAATAAAAAAGTCTTCAGAGCTAAATGACTAAATGCCAAAGGCGCACGGAACGCCGTTACCTTCCCACCAAAGGTGGCCCCTATTTTTCTACTTGCATTTTCTTTTTACGTGCTTTCGAACTGCTAGGTTGGCAGAAGCTGGGACAAGTAACGGGAGCTCACCCCATTACGCGGCACTAGGGATTCGAACCGCTGAACTGCCGACGTTTTGATCGACAAGCTTAGCATCTTAGCCACTGAGCCGCCGCATCCCTTGTAAGCAGGATAGAAACCTCAATAAAATCAGTAAATAAAGCCCAGGGTTCCTCTGTTTTGAAGTTAATGCAGGACGTGCTTAAAAGGTTAGTGGGACAGCAACAAAACTCCATTGAAAATTTAAGCAGGGCCTTCCCTACCAGTCAGCTGTATAGGAGGAAAGCCAAGGTGATTCTGCTCCCATGGTGCAGGAAGCTATCTCTGACTGCATGGGTCTTGCTGGCCTCAATGCTTTCTGCTCAGCTGACCCTCAACTTTATCCTGCTCAGAAACTGATTGTTGTCAAATCTTGATAATACCCTGGACTACCATTTCCATATTGTTACCAAGAAAACTCCACGGATGGGGCCAAGTAGTCAGCAAAGGTCAAGCTTAGCTCAAGCTTAAATTGAGCCAGTTGGATCCTGTGCAGTACTAGACAACACGGCGGCAAGGCTTAGCAGACACACTTGGTTTCATTCATAAAATAGCATAATTTGTGACATTGCTCAGTATGGTGCACGGCTTAGCAAGTTGTGTGAGTTCTGCCAATACCCAATGAACCTAAGCTGTGCATTTGGGATAAATCTTTCTGAACTGATAGATTCTCCAAGTTTTATTTAAAATAAATAAGCCTTGGTGGCGCAGCGGACTAAAACTGCTGTTAAAGTAGCACTTAGCTGCCAGCTGCCTACAATTACTGCGAGTTCAATTCTCACCAGGCTCAAGGTTGACTCAGCCTTCCATCCTTTCTAAGGTAGGTAAAATGAGGACCCGGTTTGTGGCGGGCAATAAGCTGACTTTGTATAAAATAGAACACTGCTTAGGGGGGCCCAAAAAAGCCCTACTAAGCAGATATATACAAAAGTATGAAGGCTATTGCTTAAAGCATTGTAAGCTGCGCTGAGTCTCCGGAGAAGGACGGCATATAAATCGAACTAATTAAAATAAAATAAAACAAAATGCTCGTTCTATGGCTGTGGCGGTTTGCATTCATCTTTTTGTGACTAGCTTTTGTGGATTGCAGTATTTAAGGACTGCAGGATAAAATCCTTAATACTGTATTTTTCAGACTATAAGACGCTCCGGACTATAAGACGCACATTAGCTTTAGAGGAGGGAAAACAAGAAAAGTACTATTCATATACCATGAAAACTCAAATTACTGTTCATTTTCATTTTTATTTTTTTTATTTTTTTAGGTAGTGAAGTGGACAAGACATGCCAGCCTTCGGCAAAACTAGCTCTTAAAAAATTGCTAAACAAGATACGGAACCAAAAAGACAATTGGACATCAAGATGTGAGTCAGAGGCTCAAAGTGACATTGGGACCATTGAGTCAGGGACCATTTCTAATGAAGGAGAAAAAGCGGATGGACTAGCATCTATGCCTGAACCTGAATCAAAGCAGGATCCTACTGCTAAACCTTCTGAAGGTACAGGTTTTTTAATCCCTATTTTGTCTGCACATCGGACTTGCAAAACTGACCATAATGATTGATTTACTTAGTATTATTTATTTATTTAGCAAAATAAAGTGTCAACGAATAGAATTGCAGTGGGATAGATGTTCTAATTCAATAGCGAAGGAAGCTAACCGTCTAACTGCTTCTGGTGTGGCTGTGGTGAAATCAGTCCCAGCGCCTTGAAATTTCCTGAGGGGACATTGAACTATATGTTCAAGCTATATAGTTTGTTCTGATGCACTACAGTTGCCTTGTGGGCTCTCAGCCATCCCCATTTAAAGAGCTTTGCCTTAATTCTGGCCTGGTCTATCCTGATTCTATTCAGGTGGCTCCATATTTTTCAGGGCAACTGCATTCCCGGAACTGGTTTTGTTGGATCTGTGTGATGCATTTGGTTGTGGTTATTAAAATGTCGCCATCTTACGCACCATTCTTCATCTAGATCAGGAGTGTCAAACTCACAACGACATGTCACATGATGTATTGTGACTTCCCCCCCCCCTTCGCTCAACTGGGGGTGGGCGTGGCCAGCACATGACACATCCGGGCCGCGAGTTTGACACCCCTGATCTAGATTGTAAGACAGTGGTATGCTATTCCAAATTGGTTTCCTTGAGAGACAGGGTGTCTAAAATTTTATGTATTGGCAGATCTCTACGAGTCCATGGTGTGTTTAATCTGATTCCACTCTCAAATTGTCCATTGTTGTCGCTTGAGATCAGGGGGGGGCAATGCTAGAAAGAATATGGAATCATGAGACATATAATTTTATTTATTTATTTATTTATTTATTTTTATTTGATTTATATGCCGCCCTTCTCCGGAGACTCAGGGCGGCTTACAATGCGTTAAGCAATAGCCTTCATCCTTTTGTATATTTATACAAAGTCAGCTTATTGCCCCCACAAACTGGGTCCTCATTTAACCTACCTTAGAAAGGATGGAAGGCTGAGTCAACCTTGAGCCTGGTGAGATTCGAACCTGCAGAAATTGCAGGCAGCTGTGTTAATTACAGGGTGCATTAAACCACTGTACTACCAAGGCATTAATGATAATGCCTTTTTAAGAAATCCACCAGCCAATGGCATCCCCATTTTGTTCATGCTGCAGAGGGAAGGAATTGGGTTTCTGCAACTTAGATTCACGAAGACTTTTGGAGAAGTAAAAAAAAAAATGTATAGAATGTTGATGCATTGTAGTTGGATTTTATAAGGAAAAATCGGAAGTATAAATTATTGAACCTCAATATTGTGAACTTCTTTTATATATAAAGAATTTACATGCGTTTATATGCCGTTTACTATATTCTCCGTAAATTCCTTCATATCTTAGTATTCTGCTACCATTTTAAATGTTTAATAATGTATGTTTTGCTTAAATTATTCAGACTGTAATCTAATATTTGTTTATATATTTTAGAGCTTCCAGAAATACTGGACCATGCCATTGTTGCTGAAAATGAACTTATAAAACAAGCGCAAGAGCAAACCACTAAAATTAGAAAGGAGTTAGAAAGATTCACACAGGTACAACAATTTTTAGCAATATCAATGCATTAAGAGTTTTTATAAGATTGTTTTTATTTCATATTTGAAATACTTTAAGTGTTACTTTGGTTAGGAATTATATTTAGCGCTATTATTTTCAGGGACGAGGTGGCTCAGTGGCTAAGACGCTGAGCTTGTCGATTGAAAGGTCGGCAGTTCAGCGGTTCGAATCCCTAGTGCTGCGTAATGGGGTGAGCTCCCGTTACTTGTCCCAGCTTCTGCCAACCTAGCAGTTCGAAAGCACTAAAAAAAAAATAGTAGAAAAATAGGGACCACCTGTAGTGGGAAGGTAACAGCGTTCCGTGCGCCTTTGGCGTTTAATCATGCCGGCCACATGAACACGGAGATGTCTTCGGACAGCACTGGCTCTTCAGCTTTGAAACAGAGATGAGCACCGCCCTCTAGAGTCGGGAACGACTAGCATATATGTGCGAGAGGAATCTTTACATTTACCTCATTATTTTCAAGTTGCATTAATTCCCTTTTTCCCCTTTTTGGGGGCTGCAGAAGACATAGTATTTTTCATATAGCGATATGTTTTACCTGAAGATCTATCAATACTATTGTATGGAACATAATAGAGTTGGAAGAGACCTCAAAGGTATTCTAGTCCAACCCACTACTGGAGCAGGAGATTCTATACCAGGGGTGTCAAACTCAAGGCCCGGGGGGGGCCAGATCTGGCCCTCAGGGTACTTAGATCTGGCCCGCAGGACTGATCTGGAAACAGCGAAGGACTGGCCTGAGATGCTTCTGCCAGTGAAAATAGAGCTTGGGAGGGCCACATGCGTCCCCCCCCGCCATCTCCATTTCCACTGGCAGAGGGTTGCAGGAGGCTGTGGCAGCAGAAAACGGAACTCAGGAACCCGTTTTTGCTGGCAGAGTGCTCGGGCCACCACAGGCGCCCTTGATGAGTGACATCGAGCTGGCCATGCCCACCCTGGCCATGCCCACTCCGATGGTCAAACACAACCCTGATACAGCCCTCCAATGAAATCGAGTTGGACACCCCTGCTCTATACCATTCCAGATAAATGGTTGTCCAGTTTCTTTTTGAAAGCCTCCAGTGATGGAGCACCCATAATTTCTGCAGTCAAGCTATACCATAGGTTGGTTGCTCTCACCGTTAGAAAATTTCTCCTTAGTTCTAGGTTGCTTCTCTCAATGGCTTCCAACCATTGTTTCTTTTTTTGGTGCTTTCGAAAGGAGCCCCTCAAATATTGAATGTTTGAATCAATAGTACAGAATTCTTCAAAAATAAAAATATAATACCTTAATAATACAGATTTTAAATAGGTGAAGATAAGGCCTCTACTGGATCGGGCCAGTCCGTTTCCTGTAATCTAAAAGTGGCATGAAAGTGATAGCCTCGTCCTTTGGGTTCCTTATTAACTGAAGTTGCCTATGATAGAATGTCCTGTGATTTCCTATTTCAGGAAAACTGCCTTAGCAGCTACATTTTAAGCAGGGAATATTTAAACACTTGAATAATTAATCCCAACAGCAGTCTAAAGTAGCCTGCAGATACCTTTATCCGTTTGGCAATATTAGATAAGCGAAGAAAGCAGCCCACGCAGATCTTGAAGAAACGATGAATATTAGTTAATATAAATCTTGCATCTGCACATTTGAAAGTCGTGATCGTGCAAGGTTAGCAAATGTGAAAGTCAAGCTTTATAGACAGAGATCCGATTTAAGCAGCCATATTTAATTCATAAGATTTCTTCCCACAATTCATGAATGTTATAAATATAAACAATGCATAGCCAAGCTATGTGTTTCTATGCGTGCTTTCTTTTCTTTTCTTTTCTTTCTTTTTTTTTTTTGCATAACACATGCGTTATGAAATTCTATTAAATTTTATTTAGGTCTTTTACCTTTTGCTTTGTTTGAATTGTATATATGTTTTAATTTGTAGGTTAATTAAATTAAAACAATTATTTTAAAGGAGCTGAATGTTGCGAATCCAAATATAGGTCTTTTGTGCATCGCTGTCATAAAAGATGAAGGTAATACAGGTTGTCCTTGATTTATGACCACAATTGGGTCCAGAAAATTTGTCATTAAGCAACACTGTCGTTAAGTGAGGCATCATGTGACCTCACTGGATTTTACTATTTTACTACCATGCAGTGAATCTCTGCAGCCGTTAAATGAATCAGGCTTCCCCCATTGACTTTACTCGTGGGAAGCCATCCGGGATGGCAAATTATGATCACGTGACCACAAGACACTGCAGCTGTCATAAATATGAGCTGGTTTGCCAAGCATCCCAGTTGTGATCACATGACTGCAAGGTGATGCAGTAATCCTAACTTTTGACGCTGGGCCATGTCACTTTTTTCAGCGCCATCCTAACTTTGAGCTGCTGTTAAACCAATAGTTGTAAATCGAGGACTTATCTGTAACAATCGCCTGTTTATATATGAGTCTTCTGTAGCCTCTTGTTAAAACAAGCTGGGAATCTGGATTAATAATGGTAAAAAAAAAAAAGCATTAATGCTCTTCTAGCAATATATTTAACATTTCTGCCATGTATTATTTGGAGAAACCTTGAGTCCTCCTGCCATTAACATAGGGCTACTGTTTGCTTGACTAGACTGCTCAGCAACAACTGCAGCAAACAACAGAGCGAAAAATACAACCAGAAGGTGATTTTCTGAAGGCCAAAGTGCAAGAGCAGGATGCTAAAACAGAGCAAGAATGTCAGACAGAACAAAATGTTTTCGATTCTGTTGCGCATCAGAAACAGGAAGCAGAATACAAGGTACAAATAATACAAGGAGATAATGGGGTCGTAGAGATTATTCTCTATGCTCGTGGTAATTTTATAAACCAGTGGCCAGATTTGATAAGGTTTTTTGTAAGTCTAGTGCAGGGGTCTGCAACCTTAAACACTCGAAGAGCCATTCGGACCTGTTTCCCACAGAAAAGAAAACACCAGGAGCCACAAAACACCTGGGTGAGAGTGGCCAACTCAATGGCACTCACTTCCACCAATCACATGCCCCCCCCCCCCCCCGTAGCCACATCTACCCAGCTGGTCATTAGGGCAGCTAAAAAACACCGGAAACCACAAAAACCTTTTGACATCACCTCTTCCCTCCCTCCCCCTCTCTCTCCCTCTTTCCCCCCCCCCTCTCTCTATATCTCTCTATGTTTCTCTCTCTCCCCCTCTCTCTGTATATCTCGGTCTTTGCCCCGGCTGCTTCTCCATCCCCCGCCGTCCCCCTTACCTTCACAGGCCAGGTGAGTAATGACTGGGAGGGGAGGGTGAGAGGCCAGCCAGTGGTGGGATCACCCGACAGGGAGCCACAGCAGAGGGCCCAGAGAGCCGCATGAGGCTCCAGAGCCGCAAGTTGCTGAACCTGGTCTAGTGCTTGAGTTGACAACACAGCCAGGGATGCTAGCACATCTGCAGACGTGTTTCATGGCACCCACTTGGAATTGGGTGGCATTTATATTTAATATATTATTAACATGAGTTTTAGAGCCTTCGTAGTAAGCATGTTTTAATTTTTTAAAAAAACTAATAAAGTCAGTATTTAAAATTTGTTGCATCCCATGATGAATTATGTTCCAGAACTGCTAAACTTTGTGATATTGTCATTCGATGGGGAAGAATAACCTAATAAGTGCTTTTCCAGCAGATTTTTTTAGACCTGTCTTTTTAAACCGTTCTTTGGGATGTGCTAGAACTAGAATTTAATAAAGAGAGATGGAAACTTGCAACGTAAACTAGGATGGAATAATGTAACAAGCAAGGAAGCTTTATTACGTTTCTGAGCCTGGGGTGCTGAATGCGTTAAGGCACCTGTTTGCTGGCTGTATTTACTAACTTGCCAAGTATATTGGCTGCTATGTGTATTTATTTTGGATGTTTTTATTTTGTTGTTTTTAGTATTTTAATTGTAATATATTTTTTGAATTGTACGCTGCCAGAGTCATTGACTGAGATGGGGGGGGGGGCTATAGAAATTGAATGAATGAATGAGAGAGTAAAGTAAGTTTCCTGCTCACTGGAACATTCCCCAAGAATATTGTATGCTGTGACAGTTTATTACACATTCATTCATTTATAATATTTATACAGCTGCCCATCAGTCATGATTGGGCAGCATACAATGAAAAGCATAAAACAATAATTTTAAAAGCATTAACAAGTTAAAAAAAATACTAAAATTATTATTATAAAGCAAGAAGAGGATAACAAATATTGGACCATTGGAGTCACCTCAGCAACTCATCATTTCTTTGGGACTCCCACGCTTGATGGCATAATCACGTTTTGAGGGAACTTACAAAGAATTAACAGGGATGGAGCCAGGGGTGATATTCAGCAGGTGCTGACAGATTCTGGAGAACTGGTAGCAGAAATTTTGGGTAGTTTGGAGAACCGGCAAATACCACCTCTGGCTGGCCCCAGAGTGGGGTGGAAACAGAGATTTTGCAATATCCTTCCCCTGCCACGCCCACCAAGCCATACCACGCCCACCAAGCCGTACCACGCCCTCAGAATCAGTAGTAAAAAAATTGGAATTCCATCACTGGATGAAGCCAACCTCACTTTGCTTTAGGAAATTGCTTTGGTAGAAAAATTATATTTCTCCACATGCCTATTGCAATGCATTATTTTTTTTTGAATAGTGTTTGAAGTTACTTGATTTCATTTTTAATTAATTAAGCAATTAATTATTTTAATTTAATTTAATTTTTCTTTAGACTGACGTTGCCCTGGAGCCACAGGTATCCTGGTTTCCCAAAGAGGATGACCATCTAAAGAGGATTCATGATTGTCAGCAACGTCTATTGGTGCAAAACAGGTGGGGTTTTTTTGAGGGGGTGGGGTATTGGGGGTATGTGTCAAAATGTAAATTCTGGGCTTGCTTATTAACACTTTTTCTTTGACACTTAGAATGCTGTTCTGTTTTGATCAAATAATATGCATGTTGTTTCAGGATGCATCAAGAATCGGTGGACGAAGCCAGAAGAAAATTAGAAGAATATCAGAATAAACTGCAACAGAGATTTCAGTCGGTTTCCAGGGCGCTGTTAAATCCCGTAGACAGACTTGCACACCTGAATTCTCTCCCTGCTCCGTTGTCACAAGCACAGGAGTTGCATCAACCGGAGAGAATGAAAGCAACGGCTTACAAGCCACCTGAGACAGTTTCCGTTCAAGAACTAGCACCATCGTGGCCGACAAATGAGGAGCAGGGGCAAGCCCAGCCCACGGTTGATTCCGAAAAGCAAATGCAGGCAAATCAAAGATGTTTTCATTTGGCGCAAGGATCCTCTTCACCTCAAGAGAAAGATAAACCGGATGTATTGGGAACAAGTGTGGCACATTCACTGGAATTTCACAAGATGTCTGGATCGTTATCGCCAAGACCTGAGGCTACCTCGGCTATCACCCAACCTGTTGCTTGTATTCCAAATGCCCGATTCGTTTTACCTGCAGGTGATGCTCCGGGGCCTTCAGAAACCCTCTTGTCCAAAACTCTTATGCCTGACAAACCTCCAGCTGAAAAGCTTCTTTTGCCAACCTTCTTAAAGCACCAAGATATTCCCGGGGAGAGCAGGATAAACACAGTTTCTAACCAGAGCCGCCATCTTCCTTTGCATTCGACTTCTTCCTCGCCGCCTCCCATAATGGCTCAGATCAAGGGCCTCCAGGAGTCCTCCTCGGCATCGAAAAAGGGACGTGACGTTTTGTCCAGTTGTTCTGATATAGTAGAGCTAAGAGACCACCTGCTGGCTTCCTCCGAGAGCATTGAAGTTCAGCAGGAGCACCTGAAACATCTGCAGGAACAGCTGGATGAGCAACGGGAAACCCTTCTGTTTCGCCAGAAAATACAAGAGGACGTGCTGCTCCAGAGGCATGCCCAGCTGAAAGAAAAAATGGAGCAACAGCAAGAAGCGTTAAGAGACATTATTAAACGGGTATGCTTTTTAGTGCAAGACAAAGAAACATTCAGGTGTCTCATCAGAGTAATTCTAAAAGAAAAACTCTCCTTCCTAAATTGTCTTTCCATTGATAGTTGACACGTAAAACTCATTTGCTTCGAATGGGTCCTCCATACAGTAGTGGCCAAAATTGTGGAAACCTTTTGGGAAACGTGTATTTTCTAAAACTAGCTAATAACACCACTTTTTTTTTTTTGGAGTAGTACCATAAAATTATATATCAATGGAAAGATAATTTAATCAATGTAATGTGATAACTTTTATGAAGGATTTGCTATTAGAATAACAGTTACAGTATAAAGAAGACAAGTGAAACACGTAGAAAAAAATGAGATATACAAAAATGATCACCATAGAAAAAAACGAGATATACAAAAATTATCACCATGTCAGTTAATCCTTAGTTGGGTAACCTTTAGCATGAATTACGGCCTTAACAAAGTCTTCCCATGGAGTGAATCAAGTCTTTTAGTTCTGCAGCTGTTCTAATGTGAAACCAAGATTAAATGTTTATTTCTATTAAATGGGTTTTATTGCTGGGTCGCTTCTGACTAACAAATTTCTTTAGTCAGCTCCATAGATTTTCCATTGGGTTAAGGTCTGGGCTATTCCCAGGCCATTCCAGCAATGGAATAGGATTATCTTGAAACTCCAAAAAAAACCCCTGGTGTTATTAGCCATCAAACCTCAAACATACACTTTTCCCAAAAGGTTTCCACAACTTTGGCCACTACTGCTCAACTGAAAAGCTGACTGGCAGCATGAAAGCTTCCGGCCTAATGGTTTTCTGGAACGCTGACACTGACTTCAGTTAGCCATAGTGCTCTGCAATTTCTGGATATTTTGAGATAGGGAAATGCCATTTTCCTTGGTCTTCCAAGTTAACTTCCAGTCAAAGTTAACTTTTTTGGAAGCAATTATCAAACTCATCCATTGCATTTTTGAAACAACTGGTTACCTCTAGTGTATTTTCTCTCCGACTGTCAGAAAAGACAGATCGTAGTTTGAGTAACAAATCAGCAGAGGGAGTTCAATCTGATGCTTAGCTTGCAGCCCTAGAACCACTTCTTATGAAATTCTGTTAAATGCAACAACTATCTTTTAATTCCAGGGTTGGTTACTCTTTCAGTCCCTGGGTGTTACATTACATGTGGGGCGCTAAATTTTCAAACAAAATCCAAAACAGCCAATATTTCAAAAGATTTTATGTAGGATCACAGGTTTTAACAATATTCGCTGCCCATGAAATGTGAGGCGTTTTTAAAATTCATTGTATATTTTAAAATGTTTTGTAGGTCTTGGAGATAGCTTCATATACTAATGCAGGGATGTCAAACTTGATTTCATTGAGGGCCACATCAGGGTTGTGTTTGACCTGGGGGGGGGGTGGGAGAGGCCAGGATGGTCATGGCCAGCTTGTCATTCATTGAGGCTCCGTTTTCGGCCATGATAGCCTCCTGCAACCCTCTGCCAGTGAAAATGGAGCCTGGGAGGACTACGAGCCCTCTCGAGCTCCGTTTTCACCGGCAGAGGGTTGCAGGAGGCCGTCACAGCCAAAAATGGAGCCCAGGAGGCCTGCACTTGGCCCTCCTGAGCTCCGTTTTCACTGGGAGAGGGTTGCAGGAGGCCGTCACGGCCAAAAATTGAGCCCAGGAGGCCTGCACGTGGCCCTCCTGAGCTCCGTTTTCACTGGCAGAGGGTTGCAGGAGGCCGTCACGGCTGAAAATGGAGCCCGGGAGGCCTGCACTTGGCCCTCCTGAGCTCCGTTTTCACTGGGAGAGGGTTGCAGGAAGCTGTAACGGCTGAAAATGGAGCCAGGGAGGCCTGCACGCGGCCCTCCTGAGCTCCCTTTTCACTGGTAGAGGCACCAGTGGGCTGGTCCTTCACTGTTTTCAGGGTGGGCCTGTGGGCCAGATCTAAGCACGCTGTGGGCCAGATACGGCCCGCGAGCCTTGAGTTTCACACCCCTATATTAGTGTTATGGTCATCCAATTGCCCATACTCTTTAAGTTTAAAGCTTTGAACATTTTTTTTTAAAAAAAAACCCAACAACTAGAGGTTCCTCTAATAAAACCCACCATCATCTTGGTCTCGAGAATGTTGGATAACGTTTTAACCCAACCTGGTTTTGCAACACGGCATAGAATGAAGGAAAGTCGCCTTGTGTGATCGGACATTACTCTCAGTACATTGGGTGTTTACATCAGAAAAGACTTCATTTTCTTCTTGACAGGTTTCGCAGTTAAGACCATGCAGCGATGTGACAGAGGCAAAACCCGACAGCCTCAGTTTGCTGAGCGTCCTCCTTAACGAAGCAGAAGATGGCAACCCAAAGCAGGTTCACTTCGATGATATGAACAGCCAGGCGGAAAGTGATTCTTTGTTTCAAGAAGTGAATTCAGTGGAACAAACGGGTAAGAGCTTGTTGAATGTTGTGTCCTTTGTTTTACTGGTTCTTCTTAAATATTTTGGCTGAGATTCTTCTGATGGAAATGGACAAGTGTAAATATGTGTTTCTAGCCCAGTAACCCTGTCCTGTCCAATTCCTTTTGAAACTGAAGAGCCTTCATAAAAGACAATTTCATTGGAGATACATTATAATGGTTTGAGTTCAGGTCAGACCATAGTCACTTTTGTCTTCACAGTCAGTACAGCATATAAAAGAATGGTGGAATGAATGAATGAATGAATGGTGAAATGAATGAATGAATGTGTCAGCACTTCAACCTGCATTTACTCTATTGCTGACATAAGAAGGAGAAGAGGGGGCAGCTGGCAAGAGGACGCTTGACTTCTCACCTACTTACTTTCCCTGAAGATAATATCCCCTAGGAGATGAGATGGGAGGGGGGACATTCCTGGGAGCTTAAGTAGTTAGATATGGGGAGAGTGATTTGGAAGAGGGCCAATGAGACGCAGAGAATTGGGGAACGGAAAGGGAAGGTTTGGGGTCAGGAAGTCAGTGTTGGCTACGCCACAATTGGGGACAGGTTGTTGTGCTTAATAAAATGAAAGATTTCTTCAAAGACTGTTTGGAAATGCAATTTATTTTATTTGAGACGACATCGAAACCTGAATGAATGAATGAATGAATGGTGGAAGGAATGGTTGAATGAATGAATGAATGAATGAATGAATGAATGAATGAATGAATGAATGAATGAATGATGGAAGGAATGGTTGAATGAATGAATGATGGAAGGAATGGTGGAATGAATGAATGCTTTATTTGGTCAAATAATAAGATACAAACAGCATCTTACTGGAAATGTATTCCTCACTCCCAAAGTTGATAAACTACAATCCAATAAAAGTAAAAAGCCCAACTGAAACTTTACAGAAAGAAATAGATCTGCTAAGAACTATTTCTATAGCTGGTGATAAATTTATCTCTGGCACAGAAACTCTCATGCAAAGCAATAGCATCACCATTATTATCATCATACCAATAAGTGGGGGGAAGAAAGAAGATAATAAGGATAAATAATAATATTACAGCCATACCACATGGGTAAATACACATAGATAGCACACATCAATATCAATATCGTTATCCTTATATTCCAGGGAGAACAGCCTTCATCACAAAAATATATATATTTAACTAGGAAAGTCTCAGTCACATCAATTCTGGATCTGAACATTCTGTATTTTTACCTTGTAGGGCCATTTCAGAGCATGTGGTCTAGAGAAGAGAAACAGAGACTTTCAAAACCACCTTTGGTCAAAGTAAAACCAGGACTCAATTTGGAGCAGCATGAACTCAGTGCTATACAAGAACTTGACACACCAAGGAGCGACAGATTTTCCACTGCAGGTGAGTTTTAACAGCGTACCGCTAATCAAAATCACGTCTCTTTCTGCATTGAAGCACTTACTTCATTTCATTTAACTGCAAAAGCATATTGTTGAAACGGTGATGGCCACCCTGGAAGAGATCACCAATATCTCTTTCAATTCAATTCTACCCTTCCTATTTCTTTCCTGTCCATCAGCTTGCCTTATGTTAAACACAGCTCATTTTGGAATACCTTGGTAGTGTTTTTATCAGATTGACATTGTGACTCGTTCTGTACAGTTACTGTGCCTTAGTGGTAGCTTGAAGATTGTTTATATAAAAGATTTGTGTATGTACATGGGAAAATGCTCCTTTAGATTAGGAAAAAATACAGTTTTGCTTTGCTATGATGCACGTTTTAGGATACCCTGATTTGTCTCATGCTTCTTCGTTTTCTCATTAGTTATATTGATTGTCAAGAACAAGGAAAAAACATAAGATACAATATATTATTGATGGTTGATAACTGATGCATCATTCATAAGCATAGATATACTATTGGCAACTTGTGAAAAGCAACATTTTATTTTTTATTTTATTTTTTATTTATTAGTTTGATTTATATGCTGCCCTTCTCCGGAGACTCAGGGCAGCTTACAATGCAATAAGCAATAGCCTTCATACTTTTGTATATACCTGCTCAGTAGGGATTTTTTTGGCCCCCCCTAAGCTGTGTTCTATTTTATACAAAGTCAGCTTATTGCCCCCACAAACCGGGTCCTCATTTTACCTACCTTGAAAGGATGGAAGGCTGAGTCAACCTTGAGCCTGGTGAGAATTGAACTCGCAGTAATTGTAGGCAGCTGGCAGCTAAATGCTACTTTTAACAGTAGTTTAGTCTGCTGTGCCACCAGGCTCCTAGTTAAAACTTAACTAGTTTTTAAAACAAAGAAAAAGCAGAAAGTCCAGTTGCTTCTCGGAAAAGCACCTTTGGGACAACCATGACCTGGATGGCTGAGAATCTCCATAGACATTTAGTGAGGTCTTAATCTATCTCAAGGGGAAGAACGTTCCATTAGGGTAGGGATCCCGAAAAAGATATGCATCCTAAATCACTCTAGGTGGCAATTTTAAAGGAGAGGATCTGGAGCATGTCCACTCTGTCCAATCCAGTGGGACAGTTGAGCAGCAAACACAGCTGTTTTCTAATCCACCTTTCCTTGTTGCTACAGAAATTTCAGGATACAAAGAGCATCTTACTGGAGATACGTTCCTCACTCCCCAAATTGATAAACTACGGCCTGGTAAAAGCCCAATTGAGTCTTTACAGGAAGAAATAGATCTGCTGAGAACTATTTCTATGGCTGATGATAAAGAATTAGATTCTGGCCAAAGCCCAGAGAGTGTACAAGGATCATGCCACGATGAATCGATGTGGAAGGCTAATGCTTTGTATGACTCAGGTGAGAAGAGTTCCCTTTTGAGAGAACGATTCCTTTTCAGCAGGAGCGGTGGTGGGATTAAATTTTTTATCAAGTCAGTAACGGTAATCAAAATGAACTCTCTGAAACATCCATGTGCGTATTTCCATGTTTAAGAAATATTCTGTAATCACTGCCAGAGAAAATTAACAAGCATTGGCATCGCTTTTAGTAAGCGATTAAGCTCCAACAACTGGTTATACCGTATTCCTTAACGTTTCCTTTCTTTATAGACTTGGTACAGACAAGAGTAAAATCTCAATAAAGGGGAATAAGAAGATTTCACCAAAGACAGCAATTTTCCCTGTAAATAAATACTAGCACAGGGTAGTCCTTGACTTACAACCACAGTTGAGGCCAAAATTTTTGTTGCTAAGCGAAACAATTAAGTGAATTTTGCCAGATTTTAGAACCTTTCTTGCCACCATTGTTAAATTGTTTAGTTAGCAACACAGTTGTTAAATGAATCTGTCTTCCTCATTGATTTTGCTTCTCAGAAGGTCGCAAAACCTGGAGGCGGTGCAGGCCTGGATGGGTAGAAACAGACTTAGACTCAACCCCTCCAAGACTGAGCGGCTGTGGATGCCGGCATCTCGGGTTTCAGAGACTCCATCACTTTTGATGGGTGGGGAAAAACTTGCCCCCATTGATAGGGCTCGCAACTTGGGTGTCCTCCTGGATGCTCGGCTGTCCCTAGAAGACCACCTGACGGCCGTGACCAGGGGGGCCTTCGCACAGGTTCGCCTGATGCGCCAGTTGCGCCCTTTCCTGGACCGAGATAACCTTCTCACTGTCACTCATGCCCTGGTTACTTCCCGCTTGGATTACTGCAATTCCCTCTACCTGGGCCTGCCCCTGAGATGCACCCGGAGACTCCAGCTAATCCAGAATGCAGCCGCATGGGTTGTTACGGGAGCCCCTCGTTACTCCCATATAACACCTCTCCTGCATGAGCTGCACTGGTTACCAGTGGTTCTCTGGGTCTGCTTCAAGGTGCTGGTTCTCACCTATAAGGCCCTACACAACTTAGGTCCGGGATATTTGCAGGACCTTCTGCCTTCCTGCCTCTCACCGTCCTGTTCGCTCACATAGGGCTGCTCTCCTCAGGGTTCCGACGGCGAGCCAATGTCGTCTGGTGGCGCCCAGGGGTAGGGCATTCTCTGGGTGCTCCCACCCTCTGGAATGAGTTGCCTACTGAGCTCCGGACGGCTCCTGATCTCCGCTCCTTCCGTTGGGACCTGAAGACTTGGCTGTTCAAGCAATTAGGCTGACTCTGATTCTGGGTTTTATTATTTATTAGTTAATTTGGTTTAAAATGGGATTTTGTTGTACATGTTTTTAACTTGTGTTCGCCGCCCTGAGTCCTTCTGGAGAAGGGCGGCATATAAATACATTAAATAAATAAATAAATAAATAAATAAATAAATAAATAAATAAATAAATAAATAAATAAATAAATAAATAAATAAATAAGGATTGTGTCTAATATGAACCAGTTTCCTAGCGTCCAAGTTTTTTATCACATGACCATGCTGCAACAGTATGTGAAAAATGGTCATAAGTCACAATTATCAGCTGTGTTTTTAACTTTGGGTCACTAAATGAAGGGATGTAAGTCAAGGACTACCTGTACCAATAGTTCTCCACTTAGAACAGTTCACTTAGTGACCGTTCAGAGTTACAACAGCACAGAAAGGAGTAATCAAAATTCAGATGCTTGGCAACTGGTTCACACTTATGACGGTTGCAGAGTCCGAGGGTCATGTGATCCCCTTTTGCGACCTTTTAACAATCAAAGTCAATGGGGAAGCCAGATTCACTTAACAACTAGGTTGCCAACTTATCAACTGCAGTGATTCACTTTACCACTGCTTTAGTTGCCCTTTTTTTAGGTAAACATTTTTTTTTATCTACCTTAGTGTAAATAAAAATTGTTGAAAGGGCCTGTTTCTGAAGAATATCCTGCATTTATTTCTAAACCCTATTTAGATAATTTTCTATGCAAACATAGGAACAGAACACTCAGAGCTCTCTAGAGCAATGTTTCTCAATCTTGGCAACTTCAGGATGTGTGGACTTCAACTCCCAGAATTCCCCAGGCAAAGTGGGATTGAAGTTGAAGACAAGTTGAAATCCACATATTTTAAAGTTGCCAAGGCTTGAGAAACATTGCTTAGATGTACTGTATGTTACTGTTGCAATTATTGTTGACTATCACTTATAGAATTACCATATCCTTCAGAGTATAAAACGCTCCAGATTATAAGATTAGTTTTAATTAGCACATTAGTTTTTGGGGAGGAAAAGAAGAAAAAAAATCTGCCCAATGCCTACCAGCATCCATTGGTATTCATCTGGCTAGCGTCCTTGCAGCAAATAGCCTGGTCAGCTTCAGTACGTTATCACAGCCTGATTTAGCACAAACAGCTGATTGGCGGTTGGATCGCCCTCCTGGCTGCGGGGATCACCAGAGCTCATCGCCGCCTCCGCTTGTCTCGTTTTTGGCCTCCGCGCATCGCGTTTTTGGCCTTCACACACTCTGTTTTAGACCCATTTCAGGCTGCAGGAATCGCCTCCGCACATCGCGTTTTCGGCCTCATTTTTGGCCTCCGTATGTCACATTTCAGCAGCAGTGGCGATCCCCGCAGCCTGGAACAGGTCTAAAAGTGGGCGTGCGGAGGCTGAAAACGCGACGCATGGAGGCTGAAAATGGCTGAAGGGTGGGGGCCGGCAGGTGGGCAGGGCTTCAGCAACATTCAGTGTATAAGACGCATCGCAATTTTCATCCACTTTTAGGGAGGATAAAAAGTGCGCCTTATATGCCGAAAAGTATGGTATGTCTGTGTGACCATATAGAGTTAAACTTGAGCACATCATGTTTTGCTACTTGCCAGCTGCTTCACATTGCTTCCTCTTCTTTATATCCAGTCCACTCCAAAGAATTTATTTCTATAGATCGAAATTTATCAAATTATTCTGCTGATAATGGAAGAAGAGTTACATCTCCTGATCCATCGTTGAGGCCAAACAGCCAAGTAAGTCATAAAAACTAGTGCTTAGTATGTTATATAATTGTACCATTTACTTTAAAACAATCTCGTTCTCTTTTAATCTTTGCATTTTAAATACTGTTCGTTAGTACTCTGAACCTGGAAGTCACATGAACGATACACTGTTCATGTTTTACATTTCATGTTACTTAAGAAGCTCCATCTTGCACATTAATTTGCATATATTTTCCATTACAATTTTCCTTTTTTAAAAAAAGATTTTTTTTAGATGGCAAAAATAATACAGAAAAGACGGTATTATTTGATATTATGTGAATAACAGCATGGAAGTACAGTGTCATATTTAAAAAAATATTAAGCTTTATTCCGATTCAATTAAGTCATTTGCAAACAAAGTACTACATTTCTTGAAAGCATTTTAAAAGACACACAGCTAAGACGTATTGCATTTTATAATAGTACAAAATACATATTTTTTTTAATCATTTAATAGCCCTAAAAGTGTCTTGAATTGCTTTACTATTCCTCTGAGAGCCTCTTATTCACTGTGGCTCTGTGATGAGAAATAGCCAAATATGAGCACTAAAATGATCAGCTGATCTGCAGTGCCTGATTTATATACTGTTCTGGGAAGCAATTCAAATCTGAACCTGTGTTTGTGTGTTTGATGATTTGTGAGTTTTGTGTGTGATGAATGAGTGTGTGAGTGTAGTCTGAGGAAGGAGGGGATTTTGCTGGAAGTGGAGGGGAGCGGAACGGAGGAGGAGAGCAAGAATGAGATTGACTGTTCTGAGCAGTGATGAACCTGACATGTACTGACAATTGAATACATGGAGGTTTCTACACTTGAACTGAGCTCAGAATGAAATATGTTTTGATTTGAGGCACTTGTGATTGTAGTAATCAGTACTCATACTCATGTATAATACTCTCACCCCTAGGTAATACTTTCAAATGCGTGGTCTCCGAGTTTGTTAACTCCAACAACTTGTACACAGCAGGTAGCCCCTGGCTATTTTTCTTCAGTGACTCCTTCTGCGGCCAACTTTATAAAAAATTACAACGCAGATAATAGTCTTGCTGGTAAAGGTAAATGTTCTGTCCTCACTACACATTATTATGTTGTAGAAAGAGAATTATGTTGTAGAAAGAGAAAACTGAACAACATTCCTTGGTCAGCCAGAGACAGTTTTATTGCGCAGTTTCAGAACCAGATTTGTATCTGCAATTCTGAACAAAGGAAGAGTTCTGATACAACTGCTTTTATACATATCCAAGACAAAGGATTCTGCTGGCACAGCAGTTTTCCATATATGGTTAACATACATTTGTTACATGATAATTGACACTTTTTAATTACTAAATTCCTACATTAATTTATAGTACATGAGATAATCTTAGCTAAACATCCTCCTCTTCTGTAATCACTGATGCATAAATTCATGGCTGGCCTTGGATTAATAAGTAACTTTTTGTTTCAGATGGATGTCTCTGCATCCTTGACAGATAGGCCCCTCAGAAGATATATATTACATATGGATGTCCTTGTATCCTTGACAGCTAGGCCCCTCAGAAGATATATATATATATTACCCAGAATGGAATTTAGCTGACCTAGTGTAATTTCTAAACAAGCACTTTTCTTTCTTATAATAATGTGAATAAAGAGGGTCTCCAGTGTTCATATAGCTGACCCTATACCATTCACATTATTCACATTATTATATTATTCACATTATTCACTTTAATTATGTGTGCAGTTTGACATGCAGCTGAACCCACCTATCCTCCAATAAAACAGACCATGTGCGTAGATCTGAATGCTTTATTGAAAGAACAGGATATGGTGAAACTGGGGAAAATAGGGATACATACAATGAGAACCAAATACAAGATAGGCAGTATTGTGTTACTGCTGGACATAACAATGAATAAATATAAGTAATTTAAATCTCACCAGCGATGCTCTGTGTGTGGGATGCGGGTTTGTCCTTGGATGACCATGTGCCACAGATTAAGATGGATTCTTCTTTGTGCTTCTGTCTTCTCAAATGCTAAAGGAAAATGGAGTCTGGCTTCCCAGCGTGCACTTGGTTTGAGAGTACGAGCTGATGGGTAAAATGGGTTGGGTCAGCTTCAAACAATATACTTGGTATTTTGTCTCTCTGGCCACTAGATGGGGGTAGAGCGCAACAACAGTATATAAAGATCATATGTTGGGGCATATTTGTCCCTCCGGCCACTAGATGGGGCAAGAGAGCAACAACAGTATATAAAGGTTATATGCTGGGGCATGACAGCAAATTTGTGGCAAGTTCAAATAAAATGACCTGGCCTCTTTTTTTATATATATATTTTGCATAAATAAATAAAAAAATAGAATGGGTGAGAACTCAAAGGTGCTTTTTCAAAAGGCAACTGAACTGTTTTTTTCTCAACTGTCGGTACTTGTCTTTCCATTCCCACCGCCATCACAACCGATTAAGTTTCTTGGATGAGAAACCGAAACTCTTCTTGTTTTTCCTCAAGGAAAAAAAAAGTCCAGTTGCCTTTTGAAAAAGCACCTTTGAGATAATTATGACCAGGAGAACTGAAAATCTCCACAGGCAGTGAGCTAGGACCTATTTTTGTGAAGCTCTACCTCAGCGGTGTCAAACTCCATTTCATTGAGGGCCACATCAGGGTTGTGTATGACCTCGGGGGGGGGGGCAAGTGGCGTGGCCAGCACGATGTCACTTGTGTTGGGGGTGACTGTGGTGGCCCAAGAGCTCTGCCAGCGAAAACTGGCACCCGAGCTCCATTTCTGGCTGTGACGGCTTCCTGCAACCTTCTGCCAGTGAAAACGGAGCTCGGGACGGCCACCTGCGGTCCTCATGAACTCCATTTTTGGTTGCAACAGGCTCCTGCAACCCTCTGTGAGCAACCCTCTGTGGCCCTCCTGAGCTTTGTTTTCACTGGCAGAGGCATCGCTGGCTGGTCCTTTGCTGTTTCCAGGGCGGCCCCGCAGGCCAGAGCTAAGCACCCCATGGGCCAGATCAGGCCCCCGAGCCTTGAGTTTGACACCCCTGCTCTACCTGATATGAAAATATGAGACATTAACCACCCAGTTCTTGCAAATGGAAACGTTTGGGGTTTTTTTTGACTGGAATAAGGTTGAGAATTATTTTCAATTGCTTTGCAGATTCCTGTGCAGCCAAGGAACAGATCAGCCATTTCAGCTTTCCAGCAAAGGAGAGCTCAAGCGCTCCTTCATTTCTACAAAAATCTGATGACTCCTCAAAGCATCCCAGTTCTCGCCTCTCTTTTGAAGAAATGGAGTACGATGGAAGCAAAATCCAGCAAATAATAAACAAATACAGAAAGGATTTCAGCTGGTCATCACTGAGTAATGTATCTTCTGGCCATGGTAATGGAATTGGAAGATAATAAATGGAATATTCCAAAGCATTCAGAAAAATTAACACTCTGTTCATTGTTTCCCCATGCAATATACTGTTTCTACTATGTGCATTGATTGGGATTATGGGAACATCCCACAAATTTTACATCATACTGTGATGGAATCCAATCTCCCCCCCCCTCCCCGAGAGGTTTCCTGAATTTCTGCATGAACTCCATTTTGAGGGCATTGCTGTCCAATTACTAAACGATCTAGATATCCGGCCATGGTCTTAGCAGCCCCAGTAACTGCTCATACATAATTTAATTTTATGCATAATTGTATTCATCACTCATGAAATGTGTTTTTAAAATAATTCACTGCTCTGAGATTTTCTATTTTGATAGACACTCTATGCTGTTTTTGTGAATTTTTTACGTGTTAATGCTGTATTCTGTTACACAGTACGAAATACGTGCGCACACACATACCCACACACACAATGTGTAGTGGATCAGCAGAATTGTAGTTACACAATAGACCTGAAACTGTGAGTGAAAAAATATTGTTTTAATGTTACATTTTAAAGTCGCTGTCTCTCTGAATTTTGCAGTCTGGGAAAATTTGCATCGAATCGGTATTTCCTGTTGACACAATATTAGATTTTTTTTTTTTTTGTATTGGCCATATATTCCTATTATTTACTCCACATGTTGTTTTACTTCCAATTTTATGATTCCATCCTACTATACAACTTGGTCATCCTAAGTTTACAGAGTTCTCATAGGGACTGCAAAGTAACAATCCACAAATAAATGTGTGTGGTACTGTCTGAAATTCCATTTCATTTGTTTTAGATCCAGCAGTTGGACTCGATGCTACTGATATTGAAAGAAATTTTCCAAATTTCCACCGTGAACTTTTTCAGCCTTTGAAACCGAGTTCTGACTTTGATCTCTCCTCAACTCTTTCTCAGTGCAGAATATCTCATGGCAGCAAAGACTTAAGCAAGGTATTTTTGAATGAAGAAAATTGAGAATTATTACCGTGTTTCCCTGGAAATAAGACCTGGTCTTATATTAATTTTTGCTCCAAAAGATGCATTATGGCTTATTTTCTGGTTAGGGCTTATTTGGGGGGGAAATACGGTACTAAATGCATCCATCTGGCTGACAATCTTAACCGGGGCTTATTTTGGGGGTAGGGCTTATATTATGAGCATCCTGAAAAATCATGCTAGGGCTGCTTTTCTGGTTGGGTCTTATTTTCGGGGAAACGGTATTCTTTTGAAAAGTCAGCTCTGGCTTAATTATCTTCAAAAGTACATTCATTATGGCAAATAGGTAACTAAGGCTGTGACACTTTAGCCAAAGTGTCCTCGACTTAACAACAGTTCATTTAGTGACCGTTCAAAGTTACAACAGCACTGGAAAAATTGACTTATGGCCATTTTTCACATTTACAACCACTGCAGCATCCCCATGGTCATGTGATCAAAATTCAGCTGCTTGGCAACTGACTCACATTTATGACGGTTTCAGTGTCCCGGGGGGGGTGTCATGTGATCCACCTTTTATGACCTTCTGACAAGCAATGGGGGAAGCCAGATTCATTTAGCAACTGTGTTATTCATTGAACAACTGCAGTGATTCACTTAACAACTGCGGCAAGAAAGGTCATAAAATGGAGCAAAACCCACTTAACTGTCTCGCTTAACAACATAAATCTGGGGCTCAGTTGTGGTCGTAAGTTGAAGACTACCTGTATCTAGGTAGGTAGGTAACTTGTTGTCACAATGAAGTACATAACATGGTTGTATAGTGGACTAACAATTTTGTTGCTGCATGATGGTTGCAAAACTGTTTTGCCACCATTTCAATCCCAGTTGTTCTGATTCTACCAAATCATTAGTAACACTAGACTCCATATGTTAAGATGAGAAAACTCCAACAGTTTTTACCCACCTGTCATGAAATTTTCATGCTACACCCAGGGGTGGGTTTCACATATTCTTGCCACCAGGTCACTGTACCTGCCTTCTGCGCATGCGCCTGGCCTTCCATGCATGCGCCCGGCCTCGAAAACTTGGCTAAATAGAACGGCATTACATCTGGGCGAATGGGCGGGCCCAGCCACAGTCGCCGCTACCGGTTCGCCCGAACTGGCTGAACACCACCTCTGGCTACCCCTTGATTCACCCGTCATGCATTTTCATTCTGTAGGTTTCAGATTTATCTAAGAGTCAAGATTTAACATCTTCTACCATAGAAGAGGGAAGGAACAGTACTTTATTCCTTAGCAGAGGAAACCTAAGCAATTCTCAGCTAAAGGAACAGAGTGATGAAAGGATAAATCAGCTAAGACAAGGTAATTGTTTACTCACTTGGTCTTTGTAGTTGGGAAAATGTTTTTAAAAGTAATAATTTCCTGTATTAACAAATGGGAGAATATTTGAATACGTGCTGACCTATGTCTATTAAACTTTCAAGTTTAGGTTCCAAAAGTTCAGTTTGATTCATGCTTCTCTGATTTTCCCCAGCAAAGATATTTATTCATTTGTTCGTTCACTCACTCACTCACTCAATTTCTATAGCCACCCATCTCAGCAAACGACTCTGGGCGGCTCACCTCAGAGACTTACAGTATATTAAATTAAAATCTTAAAAACATTTTAAAACAATAGAACAATATTATATTGCTAAGCAAGATATAGAAGAAACATTTGATAATAAACCAGTTACCAGCTGTGCTGATTGTTCTGTTTGCATCTCATGGTTTCCATGACATTTGCATCTGGCATTAAAGATGCTGAGCTTGTGAGCTGGAAAGATGACAGCCTGGGTTCTTCGAAACCCGAGCTCCGCGCAACAGGGTGAGCTTCCGTTCCTTGCCCCAGCTCCTGCCAACCTAGCAGTTCAAAAGCATGCAAATGTGAGTAGATAAATAGGTACCACTTCGGTGGGAAGGTAACAGCGTTAGATGAGCCTCAGCATATAGTCCTGCTGGCCACATGACCACCCGACAACGTTGGCTCCCTTGGCTAAGAAACGGAGATGAGCAGCCCCCCTTAGGGTCAGACATGACCAGACAGGGAGATCTTTACCTTATTGAGAAATAATCATCATGATTTGGTTAATCAGATTCTATGCCTTAGGAAAAAAATATTTTTTGGTAAGGAATTATAGCTTAGTACCATGTTTCCCCGAAAATAAGACCAGGTCTTATATTAATTTTTGCTCCAAAAAAACGCATTAGAACTTATTTTCTGGTTAGGTCTTATTTTGGGGGAAATACGGTACTAAATGCGTCCGGTTGATGATCTTAACTGGGGCTTATTTCTGGGATAGGGCTTAAATTATGGGCAACCTGAAAAATCATGCTAGGGCTTATTTTCTGGTTGGGTCTCATGTTTGGGGAAACATGGTATTAGAGAGTGATTTATTTTCTTTTTTCAGTCTCTCAGATCTTGAAGGTTCTGATAAGGCCTTTGCTTGAGAATGTTGAATGAAGCAGCCATCTGGCTTTAGATGAGCAGATGGTCAGACTTGGTGGAAGGCTACGTTATTTATTTTTTAATACGAATAATAATTGCTCCTTCTTCTGCTTTGGTCGTCTAAAACTTTAGTTACGTTCTGAATTTATGCGTACTTAACTTCCCCTAACAACAGTTTTCTGCCACTTTGCAGCTGTTCAACTCGTTGCTGAAGAATTGTCTGAATCGCTGTCCCTGGAAAGTAACTTGCACAATAGTTTTGGTAGATCCGGAGCCTTTAGTTTCAACCCTGAAGAAAACCTTGAGCTAAACAGGGACTGCGTTGAGGACCCTGAGACACCTGAGACTGGATCACGCGAGGACCTGCAGGATGACAGCGACTTTCGTTATTTCTGTTCGTCCGTTGAAAATTTTCGCAGCCTTACTCCGGTTGAAGATCAGACCTCCACGTACGAGATCATTCCGAGTTTTGGCCCAAAGAAAAGTACTCACGAGAGGACAGAATCGGCAAAAGAGGACAGGAGCTCAACGACAGAGAGCCTCTGCTTCGTTGAACTAGCCACAATGTCGTTCAACAAAACCAATGAAACGGGGACCAGGAACAGATTGATAGAAACTGACGTTGCACAATATGCTTTAAATTCCATGCAAGAGCAGAGTTTTCCAAAAGCAAAAGTTCTTCTGGGTTGGCCTCAAGAAATGAACTCTGGCAGTCCCTTTCAGAATTCTGCTGAGGAAAATATCAGTCAACCCGCCATGTTTCCACAACTAAATATGGATGCCATCCAGGCTAAAAGCTCAGATTCCCGTTTGTCACAGTACAGCGTCCCTGTTTGGGTAAGACTTAAAGAGATCTGAGATGGAAGTGGTTTAAATCAGGGGTGTCAAACTCAAGGCCTGGGGGCTGGATTCGGCCCCCGGAGTGTCTAGATCTGGCCCGCAGGGCTGCCCTGCAAATAGCGAAGGACTGGCCCGCGGTGCTTCTGCCAGCAAAAACAGGCTCCCGAGCTCCATTTTCAGCTGCCACAGCCTCCTGCAACCCTCTGCCAGTAAAAATGGAGGAGACATTAAATGCATTGTTTTTCAGATAACAAAAGCCATTTTGCCTAATTAAAACATAAAGGGGTATAGTGGTACACAAAGGTATAAAAATAACACCGTTTAATTCACAATTGCTCAAATGCCAGAAGAAAGAACAACAAATTAATAGACATAGGCTAAATAAGGTCAGAATATTCTGATTTCCCTAAGAGGAAGGTCCATAATGGGGTTGCCAAGGTGATGGTACTATTCCATCATCTCAGCTCTTTTTGCGGTATGGCTCATGATAGGGCCTTTTGCCCTAAAGCAGGGGTCTCCAAACTTGACAATTTCAAGACTTATGGACTTCAACTCCCAGAACCCCCAGCCAGCATGGCTAAAAACTGCCAAGTTTGGAGACCCCTGTCCTAAAGGTTTGGGACAGAATGATGCAGTTCTTGAACAAATGCAGAAATTCTGATTACTGAATTTTTCGGAGTATAAGACGCTCCGGACTATAAGATGCACCTACCTTTTTTGGTGAGGAAAAGCCCCCCAGCAATTTTGCCTTCTTGCAGCAAACGGCAAATAGCCTGCTTTACTTTCATTTTCATTTTCAGCATAGCTTGATTAGCACAAGAAAAAAAAATCTGCTCCCAGCAATTTACCTCCTTGCAGCAAGCAGCAGAGGCCCGCGGAGCAATAGGCAATGGCAATCCCTGCAGCCTGAAACAGCTGAGAGTCGGGAGGTCAATCCAATGAACAATCAACTTCTGCTAATTAGGCTGTGCTGAAGCTGAAATGGGCTGTTTTTTCTTGCTGCTTGCTGTAAGGTAAATTGCTGGGAGGCAGAGGCCAAAGAGTGGGGGCCAGTGGGTAGGCGGGGCTACAGTCCGTGTATAAGATGCACCTAAATTTTCACTCGCTTTTGGGGGAGGAAAGGTGCTTCTTATAATCCGAAAAACATGGTATTTACTGTTTCCTATAATTAATTTCTTAGGAGACCCTTACAGGAAGAGGCATCATGGAAGAACCGGACCTGACACTAGTAAGCTCTAATGACATCAGCACTGCAGAATCAGAGCTTGTACCCGGTGATCATTTGGAAGTTAAGGACCGTCCCCAGGTAAAAACATGGAGGGGGGTGTACGTGGAGCGATAATAGACACATTTTGATTTGGCCAGATGAATTTACGAATTTACAAAAGATGAGGCATGGTGGAAGTTTTAAAGAATAGAGTGCTTTGAATTTGCAGGCCATTTGGCTGCTTAATAAGATAATAGTTGAGAAACTGGTTACAATAACAATTGAGGCCAGGATTGCTGCCACTAAGGAAAATGCAACATCACATGATCACATCTCTTAGCGACGGCAATCCTGATTGCTGTTGAAACCTTAAGATGCACCGCTTGAGTTGAGGAAGACTAGAGAGCGCTTGGGAGACCCAGTACAAGCTTTGCAGGCAGCTGCACTGCAACAGGCAGGAATGATTTATAACCATCCCTCCCAGCTTTGACTTTGCTTGTGGAAAATCCCAAGGAGCTTCATATGACTATGGCTCCCTGCAACGTAATAATAAGCCAGGCGCCCAAGTTGACTGGATCGTGATCATGTGAGGGTGTTGCAATGGCTGAGACTTCGGGGACCAGTTGTATATCCATTTTTTCATCGCTGAACCATCATTGAACAAATGGACATAAGCTGAGGACTACCTGTAATTAAGGCCAATCTATTCCAGTTAAAAAGTGCTTTTTTTTTTAACTTCAGCTATTCTTTATTTATTTTTTTAAATTTGATTTATATGCCGCCCTTCTCCGGAGACTCAGGGCGGCTTACAATGCGTTAAGCAATAGCCTTCATACTTTTGTATATTTTATACAAAGTCAGCTTATTGCCCCCACAACTGGGTCCTCAATTTACCTACCTTAGAAAGGATGGAAGGCTGAGTCAACCTTGAGCCTTGGCAAGATTCGAACCTGCAGTAATTGCAGGCAGCTGGTTTTAATAACCAGCTTAATAACAGGGTGCCTTAAACCACTGTACTACCAAGGCTCTTGGTGCGTATGCCTCTTTTTTAGTGATTTTGTTCTTTTCAGTACATCAACCCTTACTATGCCAACAACACCTTACTTACTGTATTTACGTGTTGTTGTTTTTTTGACAGAGCAGAGGATTTTTCCCATTGAACCCAGAAATGGATGAATTTCTCACTCAGCTGGATTACCCACCAGTAACTCCAAGCCCCCAAAATGATCCAGATATAAACTACCAGCCAAGAGGTGGTATGTAAGCGGTACATTGCAAATGTATGAATGTAAATCGGAGCCTCTTGATATTCAGAGATCATAGCAGCTTGAATTAAAAACTGTAATACCCAGACATATAATACAGACAGTCCTCGACTTAATGACAATTGAGGTCAGAATTATGTTGCTAGGTAAGAAATTTGTTAAGTGAGTTTTGCCCCATTCTATGACTTTCCTTGCCACATTTGTTAAGTGAACCATTGCAGCTGTCAAATTAGCATGGTTAACATGGTTGTTATGTCAATCTGGCTTCCCCATTGACTTTGCTTGTTTGAAGGTCGCAAAAGATGATCACATGATCCCGGGACACTGCAACAGTCATAAATATGAATCAGTTGTCAAGCATCTGAATGTAAATGACGTGACCATAGGGAATGCCGCAATGGTCATAAAGTGTGAAAAATGATCACAAGTCACTTTTCATTTCCATTGTAACTGTGAATGGTCACTAAATGAACTACTGTTGAGGACTAGCCGTCCAACCTGAATCCCTCGCCAAGACCGAAGGTTTATTCTTCCAAGCTTTTGGGCTCATGCTGGAGCCCATCTTCAGGGAACTTCTCTCTCTCCAGAATGTGCACACTGGGCTCTTCTACATGTTGTATTTATATGGTGCCTAGTTGTGTGTAGCTTTTAGTTGTTAATTAGGATGGTTGATGGCTAGCTATTAAATCAGCTTATATAGAAGAAAGGTTCTCTGAGGAAGCGGTGTCATTGTCTGCAATCTTATAAAGGTTCCCCTCGCACATATGTGCTAGTCGTTCCCGACTCTAGGGGGCGGTGCTCATCTCCGTTTCAAAGCCGAAGAGCCACCACTGTCCGAAGACGTCTCCGTGGTCATGTGGCCGGCATGACTAAATGCCAAAGGCGCACGGAACGCTGTTACCTTCCCACCAAAGGTGGTCCCTATTTTTCTACTTGCATTTTTTACCTGCTTTTGAACTGCTAGGTTGGCAGAAGCTGGGACAAGTAACAGGAGCTCACCCAGTTACGCAGCACTAGGGATTCGAATCGCTGAACTGCCGACCTTTCGATTGACAAGCTCAGCATCTTAGCCACTGAGCCACCGCGTCCCTTCTTGTATAGACCCCCCAAAAAAGGAATTTTAGTAAAATGGCATTATTCATTCTCTTCTAAAAAATATTTTATTAACCACCCCTTTATCAGACCTCATTGAATCCCTGCCTTTTTATGCCACACCAGTAAAGGAAGAATGCACCAAGCACATTTAATAGACTGACTTAATTATACTTGCATGCTTTTGGATTCAGAGTGTGCTTTTGTGGGTTCAGTCAAAGGCCTGACTATAATGCTTGCAGGATTTGGCCCTTACTAGTATGCAAAAGGCTTTGAACTCAAAAGCTGTGCTAGAAATGTTCCAAGCATGAAAGAGTACAGATTTGGGGTTGGAACACTTCTGCTGTGGTTAAACGAACTGTTTTATGTTCACACAACTCTTTCAGGCCCCAAATATTTGCATTTAAACATTTGTACACCCATTAGCCATTACTGATGAGGCGTCTGGTCATTGTCCCTTATTTTCCGTATGTTAAATGGTTATGCTCTGTAAGTCTTCTGCATTTCGAAAATGTTTCTTGCCCTCAAACTTATTGTTTGCTCAGTGTTATATATATATTTTTGAACATAACCGTGCCATGTGGGGCTGGGGCTGAGGCTGTTGAAAATCACGGTTCCCATTTCTCAAAATGCATCTTTTTTTCCCCCCCTCCCCACAGTTATATTGTCAGAGCTTGCACCTGTCCACGGCAGCCTGCAAGAATCGTTTTTGAAGCAGAAGAAAGATTTCATTGAGAGATCTTTGAAAAGGGTGGAGAAAGTAAAAAACCGGGAGCAGAGCTCTGAAAAGACCCAGTCTAAGGAATTACCACTGAAAAAACCACAACTCTATAAACGAAAAGTAAACCAGGCACCTCTTGGTAATTGTCAGTAAACAAGTATAAATTGAGGGAGAGGAGTGTGAAATGTGAACAGTCGTTTAGAAGAAACCCAAGCTTGTGGCCTTTGCTATCATCATCCAAATAATAAATCGCTTAAAATTAATTTGGGAATGTTGTGATTTGTAAACATTGTGAGGAGAGTGGGTGTGTGCAGGAGCAACATGGGCAACAACCCCCCCCCCCCAAGTATTTCGGTAGTTCTGCCTGTTTTATGCGAACATTGGGAGGAATTGCTTTTACCTCTTTCCTGTCCTGAAAGATTTTTCTAATTTAAGTCCTGTTGTGTGTTTGTCCTGCTTGGATTCAAGGGGCAGCTGTCAATCTTTTGAAGAAAGGGGAAGAAAAAAAGTGCCTTTCACTTGACAGGAAAGTGGCCGCGGCCCAAATGCAGCAACGGACTTCAAGGTATTGTACCTTCCCTCAACTTCAGAGAAATTAAACCAATCTACTTTTTAACAAGCCGTGTCATTTTCTCCAGAGAACTGCCTTTGATTTTGGCTTTGCAGGCCATAATCGGTACTTTGAATTGCCCCTGAAGCATACTGGCAATCGGTTGCAGCTTATAAAGGTGTCACATCAACACGTGTTGTATATTGATTTGGTTTACACGGTTGCCCATCTCATTTTTATTTTGTTCTACACAGCCTACAGTAAAACATGAAATACACAGCATAAAAAAGCAAATTAAAAATAAAGCACAAGCCATAATTTGATCAGTCAGCCAGCCAGATGAGTTCTATATCCAGGTTTAGAGCAGCGGTGGCGCAGTGGTTAGAGTGCAGTATTGCAGGCTACTTCTGCTGATCAACTGCCAGTGGTTGACTCAGCCTTCCATCCTTCTGAGGTGGGTAAAATGAGGAGCTGGATTGTTGGGGGCAATAGGCTGGCTCTGTAAACTGCTTAGAGAGGGCTGTAAAGCACTGTAAAGCGGTATATAAGTCTAAGTGCTATTGCTATATACATCCAGGGCCCCACACACTTGGCAAAAAGGCAAATTTTCAAGGCCTTACAAAAGCCCAACGATGCCAATGTACTCTTAGGGGGGATGATGCACCAAGATGCAGGTGAGGCAGCAGAAAAGGGTCTCTTGGATCACACCAGCTGAGTGCTTGGAAAATGCCCTTCCTGCCAGATTGGGTACAACAGGTAGAAACAATTGGAGAGGGTTGGTCCCCATGTGTTTCCACGGGGAAATCTGGCTCTTAGGTCTAGAATTACTATTTCTGCTGATGTCTTGACTTGAGATTGGAAATGTCCCCTAAACACTACTTTTGCCTTTTTGAATAATTTACTGGTAACTGGAACAACTTTTTTTTTTTGGCAGACTGTATAATAATCTGGCGGAAGTGAAAAACAGAAAGGAAGAGAAAGACAGAAAAGAAAATTACGCCAAAAACAGGGAAAGAGCAAAAGAATTTCAAAAGGTAAAACATCTGCAACACACTGTAATATTCCATCTCAGGATCTAATTTAAAAAAAAAACACACTTCTTGTTTTGCTGGTTGTATTTGGTTCTTTTAATTGTGAATCAAATGGACTGAAAGTTTAGGCATTGACTTAAACCATATTTAGCACGAGAAGAATTCATCCTGCTTGCAATTCAAAAATTTAAATGTGGCTGGCAGGAAGTGTCAGAAGTAAAATCATTTTAATACCATGTTGTTCCTTATTGTGTCCCAACTATTATTGTGTCCCAACAGCTGTTATGTCGTTCCATGTGAGTAGTTCATGAAAGATATCAGTGTAAATGATAGAATGCGTTAGACCCCAGTGAACAATGAATAGTTTGAGGTTGTAATGGGGCTGAACAAGTGGTACCCAGTTCTCAAAGTTCCAGTCACCACACCTTAAGGATTACCATTTGCAACTTTCCCTGCAAAGGCAGTGGGGAAGCCTGCAGAGAAGCTTGCAAGTTGCTTCTGGCACTTTTTCTCCTGAGCCCTGGAATACAAAATTCCAGGGATCTCATACTCCACTCTCACACCACCAGTAACTACGCCCCAGCCCACATGCAATTGCCACAGCACTTTCTGCTTCAACTCAAAATACTTACCCTACCTTCCAGTCTCCTTTGGAGCCACTTCCAACTGGCTTCCCTACTGACAGCTTGTGGGAAGCCAGCAGGAAGTTAGAAGTCACAGTCACATGAGGTTCTTGCTTAGCAATGTGGCTTTTCTAACGACAGCAATGAGAACTGCTGAGATCGCCATTGTTAAGTGATGTGATCCAGGATCAGGTTTCAAAACCTGTCGCTACTGGTTCGCTCATGGGCGCCTGCGCACTCACTGCTTCTGCGCATGCACAAAGGCTCCGCCCACCCACCACTGCCACTAGTTTGCCCAATCCGGGGTGAACCGGTAGCAACCCACCACTGATGTGATCATGTCACTGCACTTTAGAAACTCAATTGCTTAGCAGTTCCAGTGCCAGTTTTCATTAATCAAAGGCTACTGGTTATTTAAAAGCAGAGCAGGTAAAATGGGCAATATCCTCCAAATCATTGTAGCTGTCCAGGAGTATATTTTTATGTCAGAAACCACCTGTGCCACATTTTGGTCACTTTTAAACTTCTAAGTGTTATTCAGTGGTGGGATTCAAGTAATTTAACAACCGGTTCTCTGCCCTAATGGATTTCTTCATTTCTTCATAATGTTGGATTTCTTCCAACAACCAGTTTGCCAAACTGCTCAGAAAGTTAACAACCGGTTCTTCCCGAAGTGGTGCGAACTGGCTGAATCCCACCACTGGTGCTATTGCTATTATACTTCTGCCATTTATTCATTGTTTAGATTATTTTCTTTCCCATTTTCTTACAGAAAACATTGGAAAAACTACGAGCCAGAAAAATCAATTTGAAAACCTAGTATTTTACTGACGTCCCACCAATGGAGGATAATTTATCAGCATTATATTTGAGGTCTCCGCAATAAATTAAATTATGTGGCAGAATTTTGAGATAATTTACATTTGGTATGGATATATTTGCAAAATGCCCAATGCTGTGTATAGACCATTGTTGTCTCCAATTATGGCTTTTCAACTCAAAAGATTTTTATTTTCAAATGTCACGAGTTTGCTTTTTGTACTATTTTACCTATTTATAATAAAATATTTGAAAAAATGTAGATTGACAAGCTATTCAAAAGCCCCGTTCCTTTCCTTTTGCCTTTAAAAATTTGTGCCGTCAGCAGTATGGGGAAGGGAGATTTATTCTCAGCCTCCTGCCAAAGGACCCAGAAGATTGAGAACAGAAAGTTATATTGTAATATTAATAGCTACCCTGTTTCCTCGAAAATAAGACCCAACCGGAAATTAAGTCCTAGCATGATTTTCAGGTTGCTCGTAATATAAGCCCTACCCCCAAAATAAGCCCGTTAAGATTGTCAGCCAGATGGATGCATTTAGTACCGTATTTCCCCCCAAATAAGCCCTAACCAGAAAATAAACCCTAATGCGTCTTTTTTGAACAAAAATTAATATAAGACCCAGTCTTATTTTCTGGAAAACACAGTAGGTACCTTGGAAATTTCAGCTGCCACTAAGAGAAAATCCCTGAACACAATCTGTGATTTTTCTTAACCAGTCTAATGTTGCATTAATGAGCAGTACCAGTCCAAGTCTGAGATGTAAAAAAAGATTCAGAGGATACACAATCATGAAACAAGACTTCACAGGTTGTGGGACTAATGCCCAGTCTTTTTATTAAGTAAACCATTATTAACCACAGTACAGCAAAACTGCAAATGCTGTCTTGAGAGAGAACTAGATTATTCAAACAAGTATCTGCTTAACAATTAGAAGCACACAAGAATACAGCTTCTTACAAGAAACACATCTCACAGTTTTCTAAGTTAATCAGCGGATTCCACAATTTTTCAAGCATTAACTTAATGCCCAAATATTTGTTGGCAGAGACCATTCTGTTCCATGTCTTCCCTTTGGCATTCTTCCAAGAGCCAGCAACCTGAAACGGAAGCAAAGTATACTCATAAGGTCAATCCACCAGCCCTCAATGGAGGTTTAGAAAGCTGGCTTAGCTGCTTACTACAGCCCCATGGAGGACACTTCTTCTAAATAGCGATTGAAATTTGTAACACTTTTTTCTAATCTCATCCCCCAATGAACAACCTTCCATCTAGTCCAGGAGTCTCCAAACTTGGCAGCTTTAAGACTTGTGGACTTCAACTCCCAGCTATGCTGGCTGGAGAATTCTGGGAGTTGAAGTCCACAAGTCTTAAAGCTGCCAAGTTTGGAGACCCCTGATCTAGTCATTCATCCCAATTGCCACACAAGGGAGTCTTCCACCTGCTTTTGACTCAATGTCTCCTCTTGTACAAATCACAGAGCGCTCCAGGTACCCCCTTGATATCCTACTGAGGATTTTCCATCTAAGGTCGCCGCGTTAAGAGCTGCCTGTTCATCAGCAACGCAACCCTCTTTGAAGTGACCTTCTGCGCAGCATCTTCTCCACGGCCTTCCATTTTTTTTACCTTTGGCTCGAAGTCCACTTTCAGCCAACTTTGCAGACTCCCACGGAGATTTCCTTGGGGGTTATTTCGATACAGGCTCCCTGCTGGAAACAGGGTGAAACATGGTTAAGCATTAAAGTTATGGAAAATTGATTCTAAAGTTCTGAGTTATTAAGCTGTTTCAGATAAAAACACATTAAGCTGTTTCAGATGAGAGCTGAGATGTGAGGGAAGAAGACATAGAAAGTGACAGACATTCTTCAGTTTGCAGCTTTTAGATTCCAGGCCTCAATTATTATTTTTCTCTAATGTTTCCACCAGATTTCGTTGCTACCATGGCAGCAATGTAAAAAATCTAGAGGAGTTACTTTGCGGTCACGTCCACAGCATACCAGAAATAAGATTTTCTAGCAGCCTTGGTAGAGACCAAGTACTAGGTAGTCCTCGACTTACGATTGCAATTGAGCCCAAATTTTCTGTCGTTGAGATGTTTGTTAAGTGAGTCTTGCCCCATTTCAAGGCCTTTCTTGCCATTGTTGTTAAGTGAATCACTGCAGTGGATAAGTTAGTAACCCGGTTGTTAAGTGAACCTGGCTTCCCCTTTGACTTTGCTTATCTGAAGGTCGCAAAATGTGACCACATGACCCTGGGACACAGCAATGTCCGTAAGTAGGAACTGGTTGCCAAGCATTTCAATTCACGTAATCACGGGAAGGCTACAAAAACACTAAAAAATGGTCATAACTCACTTTTTTCAATGCCATTGTAACTTTGAACGGTCACTAAATGAACTGTTGTAAGACTACCTCTGGGTACTCCTCGCCTTATGACCGCTTGTTGGGCCCACATTTATAGCTGTCTGCAGTGCCCTGCAGTCAGATGACCGTTTTATGATGGTTTTGCCAAAAGTCAGCATTTTCGACAAAACCAGTCAAACCGTTAAGTTTGCTTAATGACTGTAGTGGCCGCTTTAGGACTGCTGTGTTTGCTTAACCTACACCACAAAAAAAGTTGTAAAATAGCAATAGCACTTAGACTTATATACCGCTTCATAGTGCTTTTTACAGTCCTCTCTAAGCAGATCTGGGTCCTCATTTTATCGACCTCGGAAGGATGGAAGACTGAGTCAACCTTGAGCCTGGTGAGATTCAATCTGCCAAATTGCAGTCAGCCGACAGTCAGCAGAAGTAGCCTGCAGTACTGAACTCTAACCACTGTACCACCTCGTGGCTGTCAGGCTGGACAGACGAGTGATCTGATTTATGACTGTCATGACTTACAACCATGATGGGCTATTAGCAGTCATTCATCAAGGGCTACCTGTAAGATATTACAATCTAAAGTAAAGGTGTATTTATTTCAGGATTGAGCGGTGGATTTTCACTTGCCAGCTTCAATGTGAAAACTGAGAGCAAGGTCCTACTATTATCCATTTAAGATATTTGAAATATAACACAAGAATGTGTTTTCATCTTCTCCATCCTTGTGGTCTCTTCCCAGAATTTAGGACGGTCCAATCGTATTTTTTTCAAGGAAATTAAGGTCTCTTGTTTTATGTTATTTCATCATCTTGAAGTGTTTTAAGCAATGCAAATTTCAGGCCGAAGGTGGGATTATGCGCCATTAAGGCTCTGAAGGCTACAATCAAAACTAAATGAGGCAAAATTGGTCACATTACCTTTTTACTGATACCTTTTCAGGAGGGTCAGCACCATGGATGTCCCGTTCCCCCAACCTGCAGAGGGAGAAAGCATTTCTTTGATGGCCGTTCTTTAGGAGGAATCCTGGGACCATCCTAAGATCTTAATTGTCTTGCAATTTTACTGCACCCATCAAACGCAGAGATTGATGGGTAAAACGAAATCACAAGTCGGTCACTTTATGAGGCGTTTCCAACGATAAAGAACCTACAGTTAGGCTCCATCGGGATAGACCTCAATATTGGTTTTTCAATATTGTTATATCTAGACAGGTTCTAGCTACCATTTTGGGACTCCGTTTTATCAGAATCAGATATCGATGACGTAAGGACTTCATACATTTTATCACCTCCAACTCAACATCATCTATTTTTCCAGTCTACAACACAGTCCTTTCAACAGTTCCAAGAAGGCTCCCACACCAGTGATGGGAATTCAAAAAATGTTATTACCCGTTTTGTGGGCGTGGCTGGGTGGTCATGTGCCTGGGTGGGAGTGGCCAATTCGATGTCACTTCTTTGCCCTAATGACCTACAAAAAGAAGATATACCAAAAGGTAGTTTATTATTTCGTGCATTTAATACTTAAATAATAATAAAAGAAGTACACAAAACAATAAAAGAGGTACACAAATACTTACATAAGAAAATAAAAGTGTTATTTGCCTTTAAGGTATTTCTAGCAGTCAGGAAGATTATTTTCAATTTCGGAGTCATCAATAATCGACTTGCTGTTTTCTCCAAGTTCAAGTGGTGGTGCTTCTGGTGGTACTTATTAGGGTTTCGGATCATCCAAGGCCAATTCTGTTGTATCTGGTTCCAATCTTGTTTTCTTGCTGAAAAAAGTGGTCAAACTCTTGTTGCCTGTTCATCCTGTTAAAGGCTACTACTGCAAAAGAAATAAAACAATACTGTACTTTGGACTCGATTGTGGTTGTAGGTTGAGGACTACAGGTAACGGAAAGGGATCTCTGTTTTCACCTAACAATGTAGTCTTTTCACCCATTGCTGTGAACAATTTGTAATGTACACATACAAAAATTGTCTGAAATGGTATAGGGTTTCCTGCCTGAACAGGAGGTTGAACTAAAACACCACCACGGTCCCTTCCAACTCTGGGTCTACTACTGGGCTCATTCCTCCCTTTCCTTATTTTACCAGATTAACAGGTCCGTTTTGTCGGTATATGTAGTCCAACCCCCACCTAAACAGGAGACCCTTCACCATTTCTGACAGAGGGCAGTTCAGTTTCTTCTTGAAAGCCTTCAGTGATGAAGCTCCCACAACTTCTGAAGGCAACTTCTGTTCCATGGGTTGATCGCTCTCGCTGTCAAGAGCATGGGTGGGAGGAGGGTGTGTGTGTGTCACACAGTCCCTGGACAGAGCAACTTGCCAAAAATTAAGTGAGCGGTGAAGGCTGGCAAGCGAGGAAAGCTGGCAAGCAGCAGAGATCAGTAATATTTAGTTACTCTTAGTGTCTGACACTATAAGGCAGGGTGGATAAAAATCAATGATTTTTTTAAAAATTTTTTAAAAAAATTCAGATTTTTTTGATTTAAATCGGATTTTTTTGATTTTTATCGAATTTATTTTAATAAAAAACTTTTGGAGTAAAAATCTATCGTAAGATAGTTTTCTATTTAAGATACATAAATAATTAAGTTTATTCAGCATGAAATGGAGCTTAGTTATGTAGCATGAGGCTGTATATTCTGCAACACTGGGACTATCGGTGAGTCAACAGTGGGTCAAAGGAGTAGCAGAGATGATAGTTGCTCTTTAAAAATTATGATTTAAATCGAGTTGATTTAAATCAAGCCTTTTTACTAGTGATTTAAATCATGATTTAAATTGTGATTTAAATCAAATCCACCCTGCTATAAGGTAAAAGTAAAGGCTATGTGCTAGTCGTTCCTGACTCTAGGGGGCAGTGCTCATCTCTGTTTCAAAGCCGAAGAGCCAGCGCTGTTCAAAGATGTCTCCATGGTCATGTGGCCGGCATGACTAAATGCCAAAGGCACACGGAACGCTGTTATCTTCCCACCAAAGGTGGTCCCTATTCTTCTACTTGAATATTTTACATGTTTCGAACTGCTCGGTTGGCAGAAGCTGGAACAAGAAACGGGTGCTCACCCCATTATGCGGCACTAGGGATTTCAATCTTTCGATTGACAAGCTCAGCGTCTTAGCCTCTGAGACACCGCGGTCTGACACTATATAGTGTTTAAAAGACCCCAATCCAATCCAATTTCACTGACACCTTTTCAGAAGGGTCAGCACCACAGATGTTTCGCCCGCCCACCTGCAGAGGGAGAAAGCATTTCTTGATGGCCGTTCTTTAGGAGGAATCCTGGGACTCTCCTAAGATCCTAATTGTCTTGCAATTTTACTGCACCCATCAAACTGCAGAGATTGAAGGGTAAAACGAAATCACAAGTCGGTCACTTTATGAGGCGTTTCCAACGATAAAGAACCTATAGTTAGGCTCCATCGGGATAGACCTCAATATTGGTTTTTCAATATTGTTATATCTAGACGAGGTTCTAGCTACCATTTTGGGACTCCATTTTATCAGTCAGATATCGATGACACAAGGACTTCATACATTTTATCACCCCCAACTCAACATCATCTATTTCCAGTCTACAACACAGTCCTTTCAACAGTTCCAAGAAGGCTCCCACACCCATTTGCACCACTCAGGGAACCCTGAGGACACAAATAAACCTCCCAAAGTGGCCTCAATGACTCTAAAAGGATGCAAATGACCAGCTGTCTGCAAGAAATATAAACCCTTCCAATCCTCACCTGGACCAGTCAGTCCCAAAGGTTCTTTTTCAAGAGGCAACCGGAGTTTCCTGTTTTTCTTTGAAGACGTTTCGCTTCTCACCCCATGTTAGGATATGGTTTGAGCCTAACAAGTTGTCCAGGCAATATATGTGTTCTGTGACTTTAATATGAATATGTATTGTTTGACTTTAAAATTTTACTGCTGATTCATTGTGTGCTGTAATTAGATAATCACTAGTTGTAAACGTACTTAAGAAAGGTACTGTGAAGTATTCAGTTGATGATAAGCTACCATAGTGTGTGGAGTTGCTATCATTGTGCTATCATCGTTGGATGGATCTGCTACCATCGTAGTTTGTGAACCAGAGTGAGTTTGTTATTCTAACCAACTACTGTTTGTGTGGTAAGAAGATTTTTGTATCACTGGACTGATTTAACTGGCAAAGACTTGGATTGATTTAAAGACTATGAGATTGTTTTTTCACTATAAAGTAAGCTTTTGATAAACCAGTTTGCACATCTCTTATTCATTGCTCTCAGCAACGTTTCTCTGTGCTCTACACTCTGCTGGTTGGTAACACAACAACAATATCCTTAACACCCCAGAAGCTTCTTCAGCTCTGACACCATCCAGTCAGAGCTGAAGAAGCTTCTTGGATGAGAAGCGAAATGTCTTCAAAGAAAAACCAGAAAGTCCTCTTGAAAAAAAGCACCTTTGGGACAACCACGACCTGGATGACTGAGAATCTCCAAAGACCTTGAACTCAAGTATTTCATCAGCTAAGAATGTCTTAGCAAGTGTATAAATACCCAGACAACATTCAATGTGCTCATAATTTGAAAGATGAAAAGGAAATGAGATTCCATACCATGCCGTGCCCGTTTCTTCATCTGAAGCGGCTGCCGTTCACTTATGCGTTGGGCTCACCAGGGAAAACCAGCTGTCAACTTGCAGCTGCAGAAAAACATACAATGAATAAGTGTGCAAGGCTCTCACAGTTGCGTTCTTCTTTTCCTAGTCATAGAAAACTTCAGCTATGAAATTTCAACTACCTTGCAAGTTTCAGCTGGGCTGAGATATACCAGCTCCACTCCCTCCACCCCACTGCCAAACTATTTTTTTTCTAGAAAATTTTATTTACCACAGACTCCTTATTTAAGTAACGGCTCTGAGTTTTTTAGGGACCAATCATCAGGGAAAATATATTCCATTGAAACAAACTTTTAATAAGGCTTTCTCCTGTTCTTAAACTGGGGAGAAAAGACTAGACCCGTGATGGTGAACTTATGGCATGTGTGCCACATATAGGTGGGCACGCAAGCTCAGCTGATTTTCGGGCCTTCTGGACCCACCAGAAGAAGGGAAACAGGCTGTTTCCTGACTCCGGAGGGCTTCGGGGGATGGTGGGGAAGGCTCGTTTTTCTCTCTCCCCAGGCTCCAGAGCTTTTCTAGGAGTCTGGGGAGGGTGAAAATGGCCTCCACCCCAACCCAAGGTCCTCCAGAGGCCAAAAACGACACGTTTCCAGTGGGGGGAGCGTTGCATGTGCAGGGGCGGGGTGCATAGATTTATGGGTGTGAAGGACTATACACAAGAAAGATGCATATTGGAATGGAGAAGATGGATTGATTATATTCAAAATAAGTATCAGACAAAATATCAAATAGCTTATGAATGAATGTTAAACTTCAGAAGTATTATGTTATTAATAGTGGAGTTAAGGGGGGGGGGGGGGGGGGGGATTTGGCAGTTTAAGAATAGTTAGTTAATTTAGCATATGATTGTTAATTGAAATACCCTGTATTTTGCTCTGGGAAGTCTGGGGGGGAGGGGGGGAAGGGGTGTGTGGAAGGAACTGTGGGGGGGAGGGGGAATTTTTCTTTGTAAAACTTTTCAAAAAAAAAAAAGAATTATGGGTGTGGGCACGCGAGCGCAAACACCCCCCCCTTTCCTGGCACGCAATGGCAAAAAGGTTAGCCATCACTGGACTAAGCTAAGCTACTCAAACATTCAGGATTTTCCTTTTCTCCTGATCTTCCTCTTCCTAATTGGTTCTTTTTAAATGACAGAGGAAAAGCTGGATTAAGCTTGTTTTCAAGAAAATATATAACAGCTTCCATTTATTTCACCTAAAATGGCAGCAAAAGAAAATATCTGATTCCTGAGGGGGGGAAAAAATCTCTTGAGTTTGCATTCTATCCATGTCTGTCATCACCAATAAGGGAGTCCATTGTCCACCCACGCTAGTTTCAGGGGGTTCATCAATTGCTTCCCATTGTATTGAGAACCAATTATGCCCCCTTGGTAATCTCATCACTTGTTCAGCAATATAAAATTCCAAGGAATGTCATTTTGACCCCATCACTGACTATCGGGGGCGAGTCTTTGGCCTCCACGGAGAGGGCGCGCAATCTGGGTGTCCTCCTGGATACGCAGCTGTCTTTAGAAGAACATCTGACAGCGGTAGCCAGGGGGACCTTTTGTCAGATTCGCCTGATCCGCCAGTTGCGGCCCTTTCTTTATCGGGATTCCCTGTGCACAGTCACTCATACCCTCGTCACCTCACGCCTGGACTACTGCAACGCTCTCTACATGGGGCTCCCCTTGAGGAGCACCCGGAGGCTCCAACTGGTCCAGAATGCGGCCGTGTGGGTAATTATGGGAGCTGCCTGGCGCTCCCACATAACACCGCTCCTGCGTGAGCTGCACTGGCTCCCAGTGGTCTTCCGGGTGCGCTTCAAGGTGTTGGTCACCGCCTTTAAAGCGTTCCATGGCATAGGATCTAGTTATCTTCGAGACCGCCTGCTGCTACCGATGACCTCCCACCGACCTGTGCGCTCCCACAGAGAGGGCCTCCTCGAGGTGCCATCAGCCAAACAATGTAGGCTGGTGACCCCCCCCGGGGGAGGGCCTTCTCTGTGGGGGCTCCCACCCTCTGGAATCAGCTGCCCCCAGAGATAAGGAGAATTTAAGACCTCGGTGCCTTCCGCCGTGCCCTTAAAACTTTCTTTTTCCAGCAAGCTGGGCTGGCTTAACATAACATTTTTTAAAAAACATTTTTAACTGGTTTGTCATTTTAAATTGGGGCCAAATTAATATATATCCTTTTAATTGTTTTTAATGTTTGTATTGTATGTTTTTAGCTGGCTGTACACCGCCCTGAGTCTCTCGGGACAAGGTGCGGTATATAAATTCGAAATAAAATAAAAAAATAAAAATAAATTTTCTACACAGCAAACGCCCAGAAAGTCAACAAGCTATTGTTAAAAGGCTACTTCGGTCACTTTGTTCAGAATGGCTGTTACATTCATTTTCTCTTTTCAGAGCAGTTGAACATCTTGCCAATCATCATGACAATCCCAACAGTCTTATGAAAACGACCTCAATTTTCATGCCAGGCTTTGGCGTGATGTTATTTGTAATTTTAAAAGCCCTTCTAGAATAGGGGTCGGCAACCTTAAACACTCAAGAAAGCCATTTGGACCAGTTTCCCACAGAAAAGAAAACACCGGCAGCCACAAAACTCTTCCCGGGCCTATTTCCTAAGCGGCCACAAAACATCGCACATTGGCCGTTGTGACACATATTTTGAGTGACAGGGAGCCGCAGCAGAGGGATGAAAGAGCCACACGCGGCTCCAGAGCTGCGGGTTGCTGACCCCTGTTCTAGGATAAACCAGTAGATTCCAAAGCTAACTTTCTGCTAGGTTTCAGAATTAGTTACTTCAATATCTTACCATATCAGCCATAGATCTCAATGGAAGAGAATATCTGTAGCTCAGGGTTGAATTGCGGAGTCTTTGGTGCTTTCTGGGCTTCGCCGTTTTTCTTGCAGATATCTCATTACCGAACTAAGTAATAGCATCAGTTCTAGTAGGGAGTAGGCTTTGTTCTCATTTTATACACTAGACTGGCTTGCCTTATCAGAGTTGGTAGGAGTGGCCTTGGTGGATCGCTGTTAGCTTGTCAGTCCCTTGACTGGGGTATTGTTTGCTTCTTGATGGTCGGTCTAATGTTAATCTTTGTGTTCATCTCCGTTCATCTGGATGTTTATTGACGGTGAGGAGTTTTCATGTCTTGAGTTGCTAATTGGCATTTATAGACATGATATGATAGTCTTCTGTGTCTGTTTATCCGGAGTGGCTGTTATGGGCCTTTGCAATATATGTTGTAGATTATTTCTGGTTTTTTTCTTCTTCTGGGGGCTGCTGAGTCTTTTGGTTTAGTTCTATTTTGGAAGGCTTTGGTCGGTTTGCGTGCTGCAGTGACATCATGTGGTGGTTAACAAGTCTGTTGTTGGTTGGTGTGGTGGCTTTTACAACAGATGTGTATTTCTAATTTGCCATCTGGAATGAAGATATCCAAGGAAAGGTAGTAGAGGGTTCCCCCCCCAACACCCTTCCCTAGTGAACTTTAATCCTTTGAAGATGTTGTTGAAGGGGGCTTTGCGTGGTCCCTACTTGGCCCGTTTAAATGACAAAGGTGTCATCTACGTGTTTTATTTCATGGCTGTGCAGCGCCCTGAGTCCTCCGGGAGTAGGGCGGTATTGAAATTCAATAAAATAAATAAATAAATAAATACGTACCCAATTTATATTTTGGGTTGTATGTATATGACTACGGTCGATATTATGGTACCTCTATTAGTTTGGAAAGCAGTGAACCCGCGGGGTTCAGCCGAACTAGAAGTACGTGGGTTAGGCAAAGTTTGGCAAGGTCCACATTTCTGGTTATTTCAATGTTGGTGTATTTGGTTAGGTCAGCGCTGTCACGGTTCATTGGCTAATTTTGGATCTATGGATGTAAAAAGAACTTGCGGCATCAAATGACGAAGGTGGTTTTGTCTTCACCTACGATCACGTCTTTTGATTATTTGGAGGCACTGTAGTGAGTAGGTTGGGAGAATTTGCTTCCCTCGGTGAGCCTTTTAGTCAATTCTTTAGCCATGTGGTATGTTGGGGTTCCTGATGGCAGCTTTAAGACTTGTGGACTTCAATTTCCAGAATTCTCCAGCTGGCTGGAGAATTCTGGGAGTTGAGGTCCACAAGTCTTAAAGCTGCCAAGTTTGAAGATCTCTGATACAACTTAATGGAGAAGTATGCGCAGAAGTGTAGAAGGACCGGTCCACTACTTTTAATTGGCCGCTGGTCTTTCTTTGGTGATTTTCCCTTTCTTGGGGAGGTTGCCGAGCGTTCCCTTGATCCAGATGATTCGTTTTTCTATTGGATCGGTGTTCGCCATGATTTATTTATTATTTAAATTTTTATAACGCCCTTCTCCTGAGGGACTCAGGGCGCTGCACAGCAATAATAAAACACATATATCCATAAAATTTAAAAACAGTTTAAAACATATTAAATAATTTGGCCCTAAAACTAAAACACCCATTAAAATTCATTATTTAAGCCAGCCCAGCCTGTTGAAACAGTAAAGTCTTAAGGGCACGGCGAAAGGATGTAAGTTTGTATTCTTTAATAATTCTTTTCGCTTTTTGTATGCATTTCTGACGTAGCCAATGATAACCCTGGTTTCAACCCTGGAAGAGATTGATGATCCTGGAAGGATGATGATTGGTACCTCTTTATGTTTCTGAGGGCTGCTCTGTCTTCTGCTCTGAGTTGGTTTTGTTCTTGTTCTTCTTTCTAATGCTTTTTTTTTTTTTTTGGATCTCCGTAGGGAATCCGGTAGTTTTATAACTGCTCCTTCTAAGGCTGGCAAAGAATTCTAGTTGACTGGCATTATTTATTTATTTATTTATTTACAAGGACTCAGGGCGACTCACAGCAATAAGCATCCCCTGGGTTATAGTTTAGGCTTTAATGTAGCATGTTGTCTTCTGCGGAAGATAGTGGGCAGCCTGGACATCTTGACCAGCCATTTGGGCTCCGGTTCATCTTTGATTCTAGGGTTTAGTTTGGCTTCTCTTTCTCCAGCTTATCTTGGGGAAGGAATCTTGACTGTGGCTTGTCAGCCTTTCTATATGCTCTGGTGTGGTCTGTCCTAGTTGTTCCTTGAGATTTTAGTCTGAAATGTGCATCTGGGACCTGGGATCTTCTGGGATCAACAGCATGACAGCTTGAGCCATAGATGCATATTTTGGATTCCTTTAAAAAAAGACAGAGAAAAGGTTTGCTTTGTCTAAATCTGGTAAGCTTTTCCTCTAATGTAGTTTCTTTTTTCCACTTCAATGAATGTGTTTTATTGAACTGATTTACCATGTTACTTTTGGGTACCAGCGGCATAAACCAACCCTTAATTTATGAGCTACCATATCTTATCATCACCAGTCAGCATCAAAAGATCTGATACAGGGACTAGCAACCCAAAATGCGGAGTTGGCAATGTAAGACTCTAGCGCTAACTCGTATAACCTTCCGATATCATTCTTTTGCTAACGAAACTTGCAGAATAAATTTATCCCAGGTCTCATTGTCACCAATATAACTTGTTTTACAATGATGGAAGCACAACCTGTGTTTTCTGTAGCCTCATTGCACCGCTTGGCAGACACAAAATGAGATGTGCCCACATGTGAGTACTTCGGTGAGGCAAGAATTTAAATCTGAGTCACGGTACAAGCGGTATTCCCTTAAAAAAAAAAAAAAAAGACAGTATTACCTTCAAAGATTTGCTCAAATGACTGCAGCTTGCTTTTAGTTGTTCCTTGTCGGGATTTTTCTGGAATAGAAAATATTTTATGATGATATTTTTCAGGAATAGAGGCTGTATAATGCAAGTAGTCCTTGACATATGGCCGCTATTGGGTCCAGAATTTCCACTGCTTCAACCGTGTCACTAACTTATTAGTGACATTATTATTATATCCGTGGCAAGAAAGGTTGTAAAATTAGGCAAAACTCACTTAATAAACATCTCCCGTTTGGGACTCAATTGTGGTCATAAGCCGAGGACTACCTGTAGTCCTCGACTTACAACAGTTTGTTTAGTGATTGTTCGAACATACAATGGCACTGAAAAACTGACTTATGACCGTTTTTCACTCTTAGGACGGTAGCAGCATCCCCATGGTCACATGATTTACATCCGAGTGCTTGACAGCTAACATTTATGATGGTTGCAGTATCCTGGGGTCACGATTCCCTTTTGCGACCATCTGAAAAGCAAAGTCAATGGGGAAGCCAGATTTACTTAACACTCACGTTGCTGTGTTTCCCCAAAAATAAGATCCTGTCTTTATTTTTTTGAATCCTGAAATACCGTATTTTTCAGAGTATAAGATGCACCGGAGTATAAGACGCACCTACCTTTTTTGGTGAGGAAAAGAAGAAAAAGAAATCTCCCTCTGAGCAATTTTGCCTCGTTGCAGCAAACAGCCTGCTTTACTTTCATTTTCGTTTTCAGCATAGCTTGATTAGCACAAGGAAAAAAAAATCTGCTCCAGCAATTTACCTCTTTGCAGCAAGCAGCAGAGCCCTGCGCAAAACAGCTGAGAGCAAATCAGCTGAGAGTTGGGAGGCCAATCCAATCAAGGTGTGCTAATTAGCCTGTGCTGAAGCTGAAAGGAGCTGTTTTTTCTTGCTGTTTGCTTGCAAGGAGGTAACTGCTGCGAGGCAGAGGCCAAAGGGTGGGGGCCAGTGGGTGGGCGGGGGTACATTTGGTGTATAAGACACCTAAATTTTCACCCCCTTTTAGGGGGGAAAAGGTGTGTCTTATACTCCGAAAAATACGGTAAGTGCTTGGCCTTATTGCCATGCACCCAAAAGCCCAATTGGGCTTATTATCAGGGGATGTCTTATTTGGGGGAAAACGATAATTTAAGAACTGCAGCAATTCACTTAACAAACAGGGTGAGAAAAATGGGGCAAAACTCACTCAACATACACTTTGGGCTTAATTGTGGTCGTAAATGGAGGAATACCAGCACTTGGTTTGTCCCAGGAATTGCCTTGTGATGGGAGAGAAAACCCAGCAACAGATGAGCTGCTTGTTACACCGATCACAATAGCGCAGTAGTGTTAACTGTGAGTTCTAAAATGTTGAATTTCCTTTTGTGCACACTGGTGAACTTTTCACCAGGGGTGAAATGCTCCTGGTTCGGACCGGCTCGGGTGAGTAGGTAGCGATGGCGGCAGGGCAGTCCGGAGAACCAGTAGCAAAAATCCATGCCCCTGCCCCCCATGCCCAGCTGAGCAGTGCAATCATCAGAGGCATTTTTTTCTTTTAAATGGCTCTGACGATCCCAGCTGAGTTGCCTGATCGTCAGAGGGTTTTTTAAAAACCCTCTGACAATCAGGCAACTCAGCTGGGATCGTCAGAGCCTTTTGAAAGCATTTTTTTACATGGTTTTACATGTAAAAAATGGTTTTAAAAGTAAAAAAAAAAAAATTGGCCATGCCCACCGTCACATTACCCACCACCACCAAGCCACGCCCACAGAACAAATGTTAGATTTCACCACTGGCCTGAACCAACACTTTTCACTGTTCTCATTTGTCTCAACAAAAATACCAGGTTGCACAAGCACGGCAGCTTGAGAACCAACGATGCCACATGCTGAACTGATCTTGCACTGTTTTTTGAACAAGCCATCAGGAACAACTGCTGGTTGCAGATACCATACAGTGCGGTTATCGGTTTTTTTTTTTTTTTTTTTCAGAGCTACAAAGACACATGTATACTGCACAGCCCCAAACCACATATTAATTAAGGCAGTGGGTCTCAACCTTCCTAATGCCGCGACCCTTTAATACAGTTCCTCATGTTGTGGTGACCCCCAACCATAAAATTATTCCTAAAACCATTGAAAATATGTATTTTCCAATGGTCTTAGGCGACCCCTGTGAAAGGGTCATTCGACCCCCAAAGGGGTCCCGACCCACAGGTTGAGAACCACTGAATTAAGGGATGTGAAACATTTCACAAATAAGCAGTTTGCATCCCTTCGTTATTCATCTCCGAAACCAATTATTTCACATATCCCAAGTACTAATGGGTGCCAACGTACCTTTTTATCTTCCCCCAAAATTCGGTTTTCCAACCTTGATTTTCCAAGAGTCTGAAATCAAGAATTGTCCATAAATCAGGAAACATTCTTATCAATATCGCAAATACAGTGCATTATGTTAAAGCAATGAAAGGTTTAATTTTACTAGCAGAAACTGTTTGATGTGCGACTTTATAATTCTATTCTATTCCATTCTTATTCTGTTATTTTTTTAAAAATGTTTATTAAATTTCCAATTAAAATACACAGTACAAAAAGAAACATAATACACAAAAAAACAAGACACACAAAAAATATAAACAAACAAAAACAAACATCAAATTTTCAATACTAGTAACAACTTTTCTGCATCGGTATCTCTAACCTATTTAATCTCTTTACTCAAAATATCTCTATCTTAAACTTACATCCTTGTTTAAATTATCGTAACTTCTATTTACAATTCGATCTCATAACAAAATTAATTCTATTTGCATTTCTATCCTATTCTATACTTCTATGTGACCCAGCTGTCAAGGGCCTGAAGTGCAGTCATGGGACTGTGGGAGGGGGGGGAGGAGTTATTGGAATTTATTTATTTATTTATTCATTTATTTATTGGTTCGATTTATATGCCGCCCTTCTCTGGAGACTCAGGGCGGCTTACAATGCTTTAAGCAATAGCCTTCATACTTTTGTATATACCTGCTTAGTAGGGCTTTTATACAAAGTCAGCTTATTGCCCCCCACAAACCGGGTCCTCATTTTACCTACCTCAAAAGTATGGAAGGCTGAGTCAACCTTGAGCCTGGTGAGATTTGAACTTGCAGTAATTGCAGGCAGCTGGTGTTACTTAACAGCAGTTTAGTCTGCTGCGTCACCAAGGCTCTATTTGGGCCTTGGGTTATAACCCCAGGGTGGTCTGTCGTAAAAGTCCCCGAGTGACTGGTCATAAATCAAGGAACACCTGTAAAGTTTCTCACACCAATCAGCAGACTCCGTGTTTTCAGATTACTCTAACATTAATCCAAGACCCCAGATATTATGTTCAGGGGCTCATCATAAGTCAAGGGCGACCTGTAAGGTTTCTTGTAGCTTTCAACCAACTTCATTCTTTCAGATTAGTCTAAAAGCCCAGATGTTACAATGTCCCTTCATTTAAGTAACACAGCAAATACAAATTAGCTGTGGGTTGCAAAGAAGGTTATATTCTTAGCACTGGCTCCATGGCTTCTGTCTGAGAGGTCAGGCAAAACCTGGAGTTGTGCTGCGCCAAAGTAGGAAAAAAATCCTAAACGTCAGAATATGTAAGAAAACTACAAAACACAATCTGTATCAGGGGTGGACAACTCTGGCCCCTTTACAAACCTGTGGACTTCAACCCCGAGACTTCTAGGAGTTGAAAGTCCACAGGTCATAAAGAGGCCTGTAGTTGTCCATCCCTGGTCTTCATCTTAATCTGTGGCAGAAAATCAAAACTCTTTTCCTTCTGTAGGTTTTAAAGAAGCACCCTACTAGCACCCACTTTGAATCTGAAACAAGATTTTTTTTTGTGGTAGGAAAATGGAATAATGACAAACTTACTTCTTGCATATGTTTATTTGGATTTATATACAGCCCTTCTCCCGAAGGAGAGAATAAGCATAAGCTGAATTGCAGACTTTCTCTGGATGGTATGTAAATGGCCAGTTACGAAGCAAAGCAAGAAAATCCAAGGTTGTTGGGTTTTTTTTTAACAGACATTAGTGCCGTCACGGATTCTTTGGGCTAATTTTGGATCTACGGATGTAAAACGAGCTGTGACGTCAAACGGCAAAGATGCTTTTGTCTTCGCCTACGTCTTGGATTACTTGGGAGGCACTGTACTGAGTTGTTGGGAGTATTTGCTTCCCTCTGTGAGGTATCTGAGCTTTTTAGTCAGCCATGTTGTATGTTGGGTTTCCCTGGTCTTCTTTGGTGATTTGCCCTTTCTTGGTGAGGTCGCTGAGCTTTCTTTTGATCCAAAGGATTCATTTTTCTGTGGGACTCATGTAAGTTTCTCTTCTAATAATTCTTTTGCTTTTTGTATATATTTTAATGTATCCATGACAACCCTGGGTTCAAGTTTCATCTGCTGGAAGGATGTTGATAATTTGATACCTCTTTAGGTTTCTGAGGGCTGCTCTGTCTTCTGCTCCGAGTTGGTTCTGTACTTGTCTTCTTCTTGTCGGATGCTTTCTTGCATCTCTGTGGGGAATCCCGGGGTTTTAAATGCTCCTTCTAAGGCTGGCAAAGAATTCTAGTTGATTGGCATTCCCCTGGGTGATAGTTTAGGCCTTTCAGTAGTATGTTGTGTTCGGCGGTAGACAGTGGCCGGCTGTTGTGGAGTTGTGCTGCTGAATGAAAATGGGAAAAATTCTAAATATCAGAATATCATAGAAAACTACAAAATGCAGATTATATTCAAGGGTTGGCAACTCTGGTCCTTTTATGACCTGTGAACTTCAACCCCCTGGGACTTCTGGGAATTGAAGTCCACAGGCTGTAAAGGGACCAGAGTTGCCTACACCCGGGTCTATATCTTAACCAACCAGTTGCAGAAAAATCAAAACTCTTTATTTTCCTGCTTGGATGTTTTAAAGGCGCTCATTAGCCTCTACTTTGAATCAGAAAGTTTTCTTTGGGGTAAACTGGGATTTTATATTGAGAGAGTTAAAATATATGGAATTCAGTGAAAACTTTATAAATCTGTTTAAAGCAATATACTCCAATCAAGAGGCAAGTCATAATAAATGAGGAAGTAACACCAAGTTTCCCGATTCAGAAAGGTACGAGGCAAGGATGCCCGTTATCGCCGCTACTGTTCATATTAACTTTAGAGGCATTAACAAGAATTAAAGGACTGGAAATTAAGAAAGAAGTGTATAAACTGCAAGCCTTTGCAGATGATCTTGTATATACACTGCTCAAAAAAATAAAGGGAACACAAGCAGAAGACATCCGAGATCTGAATGAATGAAATAGCCTTATTAAATATTTTGTTCGTTACATAAAGTAGTTTTGTGTTCCCTTTAGTTGTTTGAGCAGTGTATAAACTACTGTATGTAAAGAACGAAGTATTTAATAAGGCTATTTCATTCATTTAGATCTCGGATGTCTTCTGCTAGTGTTCCCTTTATTTTTTGAACAGTATATTATAGAAGAGCCACTACAATCTAGTCTGCGGCTTATGGAAGTACTGGGAGAATATGGGGAAGTAGCTGGATTGAGAGTAAATAAGGAAAAAACCAAAATGATAGCCAAAAATATCTACAAAATACAGAAAAAGGAAATGAAGGAGAGAATAAGTCTTTAAATAACAAAAAAAGTGAAATATTTAGGAATATTATTAACAGCAAGATGTATAACAAAGAGAACAATTACAACAAATTAAATGATCAAATTAAGGCGGATCTGGAAAGATGGAAAAAGTTGCAACTCTCCCTCATGGGGAGAATCGCAACCGTAAAAATTAACATCTTGCCAAAAATTCTTTTCCTATTTCAGAATATACCCATAAAATTAGACAAAGAATATTTTAGAAATTTGAACAAGACAATATCTAAATTTATCTGGCAAGACCTAGAATTAAATTAAAATTATTACAAGAGGCTAAAGAAAGAGGAGGATTCAACCTATCTGACTGGGAAAGATATTATCAAGCTGCAACACTTACTTGGGCAAGAGAATGGATAAATTTAAAGAATAGGAGGTTATTAACATTGGAAGGACATGATATGCAAATAGGATAGCAGACATAAAGCTCACCAGTACTTCCAAAGGCATCATGTCAGACTATCTATTTTTGAAGTTTGAACAAAAGTTAAGCAACAGAACTACATGGAAATTCCAGCCTGGAATTAGGGGTGTTAGAAGTGTTGGTGCATCCAAATTTCATGAATTTGGGGAAAGTAGTTACATATAAGGATATTCTAAACGAAAGAGGGGAACTAAAATCTAGAAAAGAACTACAAGAGGAAGGGATAGAATTGGAATGGGTGGGCATACTTACAGATTAAATCACACTATATGAAAAATAGAAAAGAATGGGATATTAAGAATTAACGGCATTAGACAAAATTTTATTAGGAGCGGATGAAAAGGCGATAAAGAAAACTTATCAATATTTATTGGAATATAAAATGGCGGAAGAACAAGTGAAGGAAACCATGGTAGCGGGGGCCCAAAATTTTCGTTATAATATTGATCTGGACAAATGGCAAGACTTATGGGGGAGAAACAGGAAACTAACCTTAGCCACTGCATATAAAGAAAATTTATGTAAAATGTTCTACAGGTGGCACCTTCCGCCTACAAGGTTAGCAAAAATGAGCAGGAATTTATCACCGCAATGTTGGAAATGTAACTCAGCGATAGGATCCTTTTATCACATGTGATGGCTATGTACAAAAGCCAGGGAATTTTGGCATCGGATAAAGACATGGTTGGAAGAGATACTAGACCAGTGTTTCTCAACCTTGGAAACTTGAAGATGGGTGGACTTCAACTCCCAGAATCTGGCTGGGGGATTCTGGGAGTTGAAGTCCACCCATCTTCAAGCTTCCAAGGTTGAGAAACACTGTACTAGACCAAAATATAGATTTGCAACCAGAATTATTCCTACTAGGAATCACAAAAGAGAAATATGACAAAGGACAGATATACTTAATGCTGCATGTTGTAACTACAGCAAGACTGGTTTATGCGCAATATTGGAAAAATGAAGAAATCCCCCTGGAAGAAGAAATAATAAAGAATATCTTGGTCTGTGCAGGAATGGACAGGCTGACATTAGAACTTAAAAATAAGGGTGAAACAGAATACTTTGAAATATGGAATAAATTGTACCAATGGTTGGAAAGGAGGAAAAGGAGTCGGAGAAGAAAAGATTTAGGGTTCGTAGAACAGAAAATGGACAATATTTAGATAAATATACAAATGAGGACAAGGGATATGTTTATAAGATCAAAACAGCGAAGTATGACAAGTAGTAATTATATTTGTTATGTTAAAAACATGTATGGAAATGACAAAACCAGGATGGTCACACTGTGTCCAATGTTTTTAACGTTTATTTAATATAAAACTTTTTTTTTTTTTTAAAGAAAGATTTCTTTGGGGGAGAAGGAAATAATGCAAACTCACTTCCTGCCTAAGCTGAATGGCAGGCCTGTTCTTTTCCAGATAGTATTGATGGCCAATTACAAAGCAAAACAAGAAAACCAGCTTTTTTTTTTAGCGTAGCTGCAACTGGATTGCATTGCACTATGTGCTAGAGGACAGCAGTCCAAGCCACCTTCTGAATTTCTGTCCAGTTTATGTTCTATTAAAGTCAAAGCTCAGGTGTCAATCAGCTCAATTGTTCTTGAAAACTAAAGGAAGCAATTCGACTCAGATCTTAAGTCACTACATGATGCAGATCAAGTACCTGAAAGCAGTGGTGGGTTTTAGAATCTTTTACTACCGGTTCTCTGGGCGTGGCTTGTCGGTGATGTGACTGGTGGGGAGGTGGCTTGTCAGTCATGTGACTCAAGTGGCCAAGTCACTGAATTCTTTGCCCTAATGAAACCTGAAAAAAGCAGCAGTACAAAAAGGAAGTTTTTAATTTTGTGCACTTACTACTTAAATAAGAGTAAAACAATAAAAGAGGTACACAAGTACATACATAAAAGTGTTATTTGCCTTTAACTTTAAGATGTTTCCACATTGTTCTTTCACTGCCGCCCTCGTCACTTGCACTTTTCTTAATCTTGACTCTCTATGTCAAGCTAACAGAGGGAATAGGGTCCCATTCTTGTACAGGTAGGCCAATCCCACTAATGGTCGTCAGGGTACTTAGGCGACTTCTCTGTTCTGAACATATGAGGCTCATTTTTTAAAAACCCCTTTCTGTTTCTGGCTTGGTCCGCCAGCTATTGCTACCAGTTCAGCGACCCAGGCCAAATAACTGCTACCGGTTCGCCTGAACTGGTATGACCCACCACTGCTTGAAAGACAACTAACTGCAGAAATGGACATGATGTTTAAACTTGGGGAGGGGGGGGAAGCTCTGAGCAAAGCAGATCATCAAGCAGATAGAGAGGACAGGCTCCAATTAAAAAAATCCAGCTGACTCACAATGGCTTCATTTAGCTGCAGAGACCAAGGCCGGTATGCTTTTTAGCCGAATTACAACACTTTTCCCCCATAACCTTTCTTAGTCTGCTACCAGATTAGAGATTTCCAAGTGTAATCCCTCAAGGGGGGGGGAGGGGCATTGTGGCCGCCGTTGCCCTTCATCAAAATTTTTAGGAGGCCAAGAAAACACAATGAAATTGTGAGGAGAAATTGAGCAAATCTAAAGTACCACAGTCGACGCGAGAGTCTGAATGCATCCATTTTCCAAGCTGAGGCGTTTCAGGAATGGGGAAATCACGAACACTTCTTGCGGAAGATCAGTCTCATTTTTTTTTTTGCCTCATGCAGTCATCCTTGAGCCTTCATTTGAAATACATGCACATCATGGAGGACATTCAGTGGTTTTGCTAGTTCAAAGGGAGAAAAAACACATCAGGTTTGATAGTACAGAGGTTTAGTGCACCCTGTTATTAACACAGCTGCCTGCAATTTCTGCTGGTTCGAATCTCTCCAAGGCTCAAGGTTGACTCAGCCTTCCATCCTTTCTAAGGTAGGTGAAATGAGGACCCAGTTTGTGGGGGCAATAAGCTGACTTTGTATAAAATATACAAAAGAATGAAGGCTATTGCTTAACGCATTGTAAGCCGCCCTGAGTCTTCGGAGAAGGGCGGCATATAAATCAAATTAAAAAAAAAAAAGGTGCACATCAATTTGCAGCATTTTCTCAGGTTCTGCATCATTTACTGTGTTCCCTTTTTTCCTTATCGACGTTTCTTCAGGTAGCCAATTTGTTCAAGCTGCCTCAGGCTAACAATTTCCCCTGCACCCAGTTCCAATCAGAGTGTTAAGATTTAGTTCATTTGTGAATCATTTAGCAGTTGAACTAAAAAGAGTCATCACAGGAACAGCAGTGCAGATTTTAAATCCAATTATAAATATCCTAGTTATCCGGATTACTGGATTTAGGGAGCAATACCAAGAATTTAAAACTGACACCATATAAATGCAAATTTTGAATGATCTAACAATGTTTAATATATTAGGATAAGAGGGTGAATGAAAAGTATACACAGTCATTGCAAAAAAACAGATTAATACTCATTGTCATGCAAAATCTGTGCACGTACTCTGAAAAGCAGTTTATACAGATATAAAAGCCACTGTCTGATGTTCAGAAAGAATTATACAGCGAAGCGCTGAGAGAGGAAAGAAAGGAAAATTATATTTAAATACCTGGTCTTCTATTTTGCTTGCTTTTAAGAGACTTTATTTAAGGTAGCTTGGATCTTCAGAAAGTTAAAAACTTTATTTGTATGCGTTCTAGGCATTCCACTTAAATGTCCTGAATTCTAACAAAAGTTGCCGTTCATTTTCTCCTCGAGTTCAACTTCTTCTTTTTCTTGGGAATTTTGCTGCTCAGTATGAAACAACTATTGTCCTGGAAAAGAGAAACCAGCAGGGCATTTAAAAAAAAAAAAGAAAGCTAAAATCAGAGCAATTAAGCAGAATCTTTGAAATTCATTTCTAGGATGTTGTTTTGGGAACAAGCAGGCAGGCAGATCTGCTGCATTCTGGAAACCTGGCATGCCCTGGGTTAGTGGTTGGAGCTCTGAGGTCCATCATCATGGCCTGCCATTCTGTTGGGCTCGCTGGCATTTTTCGCAAGCTTTTGCTTTGAGTAGCCTGACTAAGTGGCTCAGTGGCTAAGACACTGAGCTTGTCGATCAGAAAGGTCAGCAGTTCGGCAGTTCAAATCCCTAGTACAGGTCTCCTGAGTGAGGAGGAGGTTGGACTAGATGGCCTCCAAGGTCCCTTCCAACTCTTATTACTGTTAAACAGACTGAAACCGCTTGGGAATTAGGGAAGGGGGACTATCTTCTGAGACGGAGCAGATTCCCTCCCAGCTGGTTCCAGTCTCATTTCAAGGCCGGTCATGAGGGTGACGTGTTATCTGCCTAGCACTGGGAGTTCCGGTCATCACATTGCTGTCAGTGGACTGCGGGCAGAGTGGGAATTGGGTTTGGGGAAAACTGCTGTGCGCTGCACGAGGGGCTTTTTCAGATTTCGCCATGCTTTCCTGCAATGGATTTCTCACAGTTCACAGTTCTTTGGATTCAGCTTAATGGATTCAAGAGTATGGCTTTTCTGAGGGACCCAAAACTGCTTTTTCATCCAAACTTTTACAATGTTTTACATTGTTTATAATGTTTCATAATGTTTCTAATATGTGTTAGTTTGGGTTAATATGAAAAGGGGGGAAATGTTACAGTTGTTTTCATTGGAACTTTTACAATGTTTTACAATGCTTATGTTATGTAATATGAAAAGGGAAGATGTTACAGTGGTTATGTCTGCTGTGTAGGCAGCTCTATTCTGAGCATTTCCTGCCTCTCTAGGAGTTGCCTTCAGCTGCTCCTGTGAGGTATTTCCGGTTCCTGTCATATGTATTTATAGGTATAGGTATAGGTATAGGTATAGGTATAGATATACACACACACACCCCTAATGATGGCTTATCACTGTTAACCGCATTTTGATTAAACTTCTTGAAACAAGAATCCCCATAGACACTTTCCTGAGGGATTAGCTGAGGCAGTTCCTTACAGGAGCCCTTGTCAATTCGCTTCGAGTGGGGGGTATAGTTATCCAAACTCCCATCAGTTCTTACATTTTTATTACATTGCATGTTTGATTTCATTAGCTTTATCATTTATTTTACCTTCTTCCAACTTACTCCATTTCCTTTGCGTCTTTAAAGGTCTTATTTCTACAGGAGCCTGAGCTAATACAAAACTCTGAACGCAGAAACTTGTAGTTTTTGCAACAAGCTCTGCAGCCTTGTTCTGCAGGATCCAAAATGATGCCACTGAGCCATAGGATGGCTTTCAAATAAAGATAGTCTTCAAGTTACAACCATTTACACTTTAGAGCAGGGCTGTCAAACTCCTGGCCCATGGGCCGGATGCGTCATGTGCTGGCCACACCCCTGCACGGTTTAGCGAAGGAGGGAAAAGTCCCGATACGTCACGTGACGACATGAGTTTGATACCCCTGCCTTAGAGAAAGTGAGTTACAGCTATAGTTGCACTCACAACAGTTGCACTACCTCTCCGTTCACATGATCACAATTTGCCTGCTTGGTAAATGTACCACATGTACCACCAGTTGCAACAGCCGGTGGTCATATAATCATGATTTCCAATGGTGGTGTTTTGTTTTTTTTTTGCCAATTTCCAGCAAAAACAGCCACCGGTGAAGCTGGATTTGCTTAATGAACGCTGTAAAAATGATCATAAAATTAGGTCTGTTTCAAAGTGAAATGGCAATGACTTATGACAGAAATTCTGGTTCCAATTTGTGGTCGTAAGTAGAGGGATACCTGTAGGAATATGGACAATAGGAAGGCTCCTTTTTGACAGCTTTGTACATGACTGATTGTGTTACTGTCTCACTTCTAATGCATTTCTCAAGTTAAGGAGGGAGAAGTAAAAACCAGAGTGTGACAGTAGAATTGATGTAACAAGCTTTGGTTACTGGCAACTTACCACTATTTTGGCACCAATGTCTTCATTACCAGAATCCTCGTTGCTGAAACAGAACAATGATCCTATTAGACTTATTTATTTAGAAAACTTTTACACCTGCCTACTTGCTCAAAGAGATCTTAGGCGGCTTCCAAACTATAAAAATAAAAACAATAACCTGGTCCCAAGCTATGAAGGGGTTTAAAAATGATAACCATGGTCATTAAAACCATTTATTTAAGTGAAGGACTATCCATACCTATGTTATGTTCAATGGAGAGAATAGGGACAAAGCTGATTACAATTTTGCTTTTGGCAGCTAAATTCTTAATTCCTGAAAATGTTTGGATGCTTTTATCAATTGGAAAAAATGGCCTTTGAGTAAAATTTCATCAGAAGCATTACTCCAAAGGTATTAGATAAAATAATATGGCCTGTCAGGATTATATGTTGACACTAAAGAGCCAATTTCAATGATCACACAATTGTGGCTGCAAGTTCTGATTTTTGGATTGCAAAACCCAATTTAGAAAGTCTCATTAATATCTTACCTGGTCTCTGCAATGGGAGAAATGGGTCCATCGTCATCCATGTATTTGTGCCTCCGTGATTCCAGACATTCATTTTCAAGATCACCCCCAGCATTCAACCGCGTCAAGGACTTCTTCAAATGATCTTCATATTTCAACATTTCAATGTATTTGAAAAACCCCTTCAAAGCCGCATGCTGGGAGAGAAGGGTATTTTTTTTCAGACCAGGGTGGATAAAAATCAATGATTTTTTTTAAAAAATCAAAAAAATCAGATTTTTTTTTAAATTTAAATCAGATTTTTTTGATTTTTATCAAATTTATTTTAATAAAAAACTTTTGGGGTAAAAATCTATCGTAAGATAGTTTTCTATTTAAGATACATAAATAATTTAGTTTATTCAGCATGAAATGGAGCTTAGTTATGTAGCATGAGGCTGTATATTCTGCAACACTGGGACCATCAGTGAGTCAACAGTGGGTCAAAGGAGTAGCAGTGATGACATTTGCTCTTTAAAAATTATGATTTAAATCGAGTTGATTTAAATCAAGCCTTTTTACTAGTGATTTAAATCGTGATTTAAATCAACTTGATTTAAATCAAATCCATCCTGTTTCAGACACAAACGAAAGTGCAAGCTTGAAATCCACTCAAGTTAACAGGTGACAAAAACTGTCAACCCAGAAAGACTAGCACTGATAATGTTACCTAGTTGGGTAATGAAAAGTCTGCAAGAAAACAAGCAAGCTGAGAGAGCAGCAAGGACCCCTCGTGTCAACCCAGAGCTACAAATATTCTCCTTTTAGGTACACTGAGAGCATATGCACCAAAACAAATTCCTTGTGTGTCACACTTGGCCAATAAAAAATTCGATTATTCTATTCTATTCTATTCTATTCTATTCTATTCTATTCTATTCTATTCTATTATTAGGACTGCACAGTTCTCCTTCCATCAAGACAATCAAGAAGCAGCCAAGCACTCAATGAAACAGAGCCTAGATTAGGGGTCTGCAACCTTAAACACTCAAAGAGCCATTTGGACCAGTTTCCCCACAGAAAAGAGAACACCGGGAGCCACAAAATCTTTTTTCTCAAAGTGTTTGTTGCAGGACACACAATCAGACACAATTAAATAATTCTGCAGGATTCAACTACATATAAGAAACTTCTTTATATACAATACCATACAGCAGAATTCAGCATACAATATCAGGAACACAGAAGCAATATTCATGGAAGCGAGTCATTACAGAGTACACAAATACAGAGGCTAATATATTATACAGAGGCCAAACCAACTCTTATATACAGTTCAGTAAGTCTAAGCCATGCCCAGACTCCAAACTGTCTCTTATGGCCCCATACTATGTTTCAGTTTCCCAAAGTCCCCATTGGTTGACCTCAGGGTGGATAAAAATCAATGATTTTTATTAAAAAAATCAGATTTTTTTGATTTAAATCGGATTTTTTTGATTTTTATCAAATTTATTTTAATAAAAAACTTTTGGGGTAAAAATCTATCGTAAGATAGTTTTCTATTTAAGATACATAAATAATTTAGTTTATTCAGCATGAAATGGAGCTTAGTTATGTAGCATGAGGCTGTATATTCTGCAACACTGGGACCATCGGTGAGTCAACAGAGGGTCAAAGGAGTAGCAGAGATGACAGCTGCTCTTTAAAAATTATGATTTAAATCGAGTTGATTTAAATCAAGCCTTTTTACTAGTGATTTAAATCATGATTTAAATTGATTCAACTCGATTTAAATCAAATCCACCCTGGTTGACCTGTTACCATGTCTATCCAAACAGCCCCCACTGGCTGATCTATTCTGGTATATGAATATTCATACTCATTTTTGACATTTTTAGAAATTTAGACATTTTTGACATCTAAAATGAAGGCAATACTGCATTATACCATTTTTTACCTTTATGTTATGTATTAAAAAAAACTATAGTGTGTTGCATTTATGAAATCAATGAACTGCTACAGAGAAAACAAATTTGTATTTCTGCATGCAACAAAAACATTTTGAACTCTGGGAAAAAAAAGACGCTGGGTGGAAGGTTACTTTCAAACAAAAATATTTGAGTCCTCGTTTTTATGAAATAAAAAAGCTGAACTTAAATGATCCATCTGCAGCAAACCAAAAATTGCAGCACAGCAAAAATTTAGTGTGCTTCACAATGGGGAAGACATGGTCCCTCCTGGACCCCATTACGACACGGAGCCACAATGTGACCCTGCCCCACTCGTTCCTAGCAACAGCACGCGGCTTACAGCTCTGAGCCCAAAGCGGCGGGAGGCGAGGGCTGCCTTAAGCGCAAATGTACTGCGACATTGCCACATAAAGGCAAGTACAGTGCACCTTCGCTCCCGCACTAAGACTCCGGCCATCGCCTCGCCGTGTTCCCCACTGCGCGGCCCTATGGCCGAGCGTGGGGAGCCTGGGGCAAGCCTCTTACTGTTGTGGCCCGTTAGCGGCCTGTGCGGATTGTAGCCGATTCTGACAGCAAGGAGGCTGGTGTGGTGCTGCGCCAGCAGCCTGTGCAGCTGGCACTCGAGTCAGACAATGAGGATGGAGATGTGGTGCCAGAGGCAGGGATTCAGCCAGGGCCTTCAGAACCTTCAGAAGCTCCTTTAAGTGAAAAGGACGAAGAGGAGGAGCCTCTTCTCAATGCATGGGCGCGCAGACCTGCCAAAAGGCAGGAGTGGCTCCTCAGGAGGAGGTCTCCTTGAGAGTAAGGCTTGGGGCTAATTGGCCACTCCCTTAGCCTATTTAAGGAGGAACACCGACTGAAGCAATTTGTAGGGAACAACTTTAGTTCACTCTCCTTCACGTCTGGATTCTCTGCAAATTGCTTCTGGGCTTTCTGTCAACCTTATTAAGATTGTGATTACTTTATCTTTGGTTTCTTGTAGGCTGTTAAGAAAGTTTATTAACAACCTTTGTTTTGAAAAAGATTGAGTTATTTTAGTAAATTAAGTTTTGTACAAACTTTGTGTGTGCTGTGTTCTTTGGGGTCCATACCTGGGGCAGAACACTTACCTTCTCAGGTCAGGTGAGGAGTGACTGGGAGGGGAGGGGCAAGGGGCGGGGTCAGCCAGTGGTGAGATTAGCTGGAAACTGCAGAAAATGTTAACTATTGGTTTAACTGAACCGGTGCAACAGGGAGCTGCAGCAGAGGAGTGAAAGAGCTGCAGGCGGCTCCAGAGCCGCAGGTTGCCGACCCATGGCCTAGATCAGTGATGGCTAACATTTTCTGGACCGAGTGCCCAAAGCGCAAACACAAATCACATGCGTGTGTCTGAACCCCCAAAATGTAATGCATGTGCAGGCCCTGCGAACGCGCCCCCCCGCGCAGACTGCATCCCCATGCATGTATGCATGGCCCCTCATACGCGCCCAGCCCCCGCGAAGGCATGGCAGAGACCCGAAGACCAGCTGGCCGGTGGGAGGCATGGGCATATGCGCAGCAGAGCTGAACTGGGACGACGGCTTGCGTGCCATCAGAAGAGGGCACTGTGTGCCACTTCTGACACACATGCCATAGATTCGCCATCACGGGCCTAAATCAATCTTCCCAACTGATGTTGTTCAGAACCATTGGCCCTAACCATCGTTAAGACATCTGGAGGTCAGCAAGAGGGTAGATGACAGCCTCAAAAACACTATTGAGCATTTCCCTGCCCCCCCCCAAAAGTAGTGTGAAATTGTAATTTACCTCATATTCTCGCACCGTTTTTAAAGGGAGATGCTTCCTGCCGTAGTATTTCTCCACGAAGGGAAATACAATTCCCCTCTCTTTCATTCTCCTCCTCTGTTCTTCTTCTGGGATTCTGTGCCTAGCCGACCATTTTCTGACGTATCTGCGAGATGTGCGTGGTTTTGTCTCCGTAGGGTTCCATCTTTTGCGGAACCGGTGCTGCTTTCGTGTGAAGTGGTAATCAAAGAGGGCTCGAAGATTAATTTTAGGTTTGGGTAACTTTGTCTGACTCTCAGCCTTCATACAAGCTGGGGAAGGACCGCTCTGCATAGCCACAGAAGAGGACCGACCGGCATCTTTTGCTGAATTCGAAGCTTTCTTCCTTGAGTGCTTTGATGAATGTGGGCCAGATCTGAAGCCATGAAAGGTAAGAATTACTCCCTAGTAGCACTATAGATTTGTCCATCTCTCCTCCACTCCCAGCAAGTCCAAACCAATGTTGAACATGGATGATTCATTTTTTACTCAGGTCAATGACTTTTCAATAGAGGTGGATGCAAAATAACTACCTGGAGGTGTTCCACCCACAAAGCATGGAAGAACCCATTCTCTGCATAAAATTGCACATGAGCCAAAGATATATACAAAATCAATATATATCAATATACTGTATCTCCCTCCCTCCCTCTATATATACCATATTTTTCAGACTATAAGACACACTTCCCCCCCCCAAAAGAGGGTGAAAATTTGGGTGCATCCTATACACGGAATGTAGCCCTGCCACTAGCCCCCACCCTTTGGCCTCTGCCTCCCAGCAATTTACCTCCTTGCAGCAAAAAGCCCGTTTCAACTTCAGCACAGCCTGATTAGCACAAGCAGTTGATTGTCGGTTGGATCGGCCTCCTAACCCTCAGCTGTTTCAGGCTGCAGGGATTGCCATTGCCTATTGCCGCTGTTTGCTACAAGGAGGCAATTTTTTTTTCTTGTGCTAATCAGGTTGTGCTGAAAACGAAAATGAAACTAAAGCAGGCTGTTTGCTGCAAGGAGGAAAATTACTGGGAGGCAGAGGCAGATTTTTTTTTTCTTGTTTTCCTCCCCAAAAAAGGTAAGTGCGCCTTATAGTCCGGAGCATCTTATACTCCAAAAAATACAATATATAAACCTGCCTATTCTTCCAGGCTTTGGGATAGGCTGATGCTTAAGCCCTGTTTGATGTTCTGTTCTTTAGATTTTTTTTAAAAAATAAAAGCCATCCAGAATCATTAGTACAGGTGGTCCTTGGCTTACATTAGTTTGTTTAGTGACCGTTTGAAGTTACAACGGCACTGAAAAAAGTGACTTGTGACCGTTTTTCACACTTATGAAAATTGTAACACCTCCATGGTCACATGATCAAAATCCAGATGCCTGGCAACTGACTCATATTTATGATGGTTGCAGTGTCCCAGGGTCATGTGATCACCTTTTGCGACCTTCTGACAGGAGCAAAATCAATGGGGAAACGAGAATCACTTAACAACCCTGTTACCAATTTAACAACTGCAGGGATTCATTTAAAAAATGTCGTAAGGAAAGTCATAAAATGGGGCAAAATTCACTTAACAAATTTCTCACTTGACAAAATAAATTTTGGGCTCAATTGTAGTAAGTTTAGGATTAACTGTAGTTGTCCTCTAAATTGCACTAATAATCAAAAGACAAAAAGCAAGATATTAAATACATCTGTATACATTAGAATATCCTTACAGAAATGATTGGGAGTCACTCATCAGCAGTTATTAATTCAAAATGAAAATGCCTTAAGAGCCCTCATATGTACAACATAAGCCTAGAAGAGAAGCGATTCATTTTTTCCCCCTACAATATTTGAAAAAGTATTAATAGGAGACAATCCAATATACAGACTAAAAAGGCAGCTATCCAATATGCCTAATTAAAATATTTTTTGCTGAATGCTGAATATATGCAACGAAATGCAGAACTAATTTATTATTCAAGATATGACTATTTCATGACTTCTATAAAAAGTACTCACATTTCTGTAACTTGGTTATCAGGAAGAGCTGCAGCTGCTAACGTTTCTGTTTCATTAGCCATGTTTGTTTTCGACCTTGAAAAGATAACAAAAATTAAGTTTCACGGCGGATTCAAGGCTGAAATACCAAAAGCAGTCTATAAGCCATGAAATCCCAAACAAACCAATACAAGAAACAAACAAAATATCAAGATTTACTTAACACTTCATAGCAAAAAAAGATTTCTTTACATATCTGATTTACCGAAAGTGTTTTTAATAAGCTTACTGGACTTTTTCTCCCAGTAATCTACAAAATCTTTCAGTTAAAATCAATGAACAGCAAAAGTATTGCAATTTATAGGAACAATTAGCATCCATCAGACAAAAAGAGCTGAATGGTATAGCTTTACAGGCAGTATTCAATATTTGCATTCCAGCAGCTCCTTGTTTTCTTTAAAAAGACCACTCCAGATCTTGTCAATATGCAACAAAAAATCTACCCCCTTATGTTCTGAAGCACGTGCCAGAATTTATATAGAGATCTCAAAGATCAAATATGTGAATCCGTAAGTTAGAAGACTTGACTCCCTTAATAAGGGTTTAATAACAATAATAGAGTTTTCTGGAAGTCAAGTCATGGCAAGTGCATTTGTTTTTTGGTTTGAAACCTTGGGAACATCCACCCCTATCCCTCCCTTAAACAACCCTATTCACCCTATTAGACAGGAAATGAAACCACTCTGGAGGACATACCGGTAGTCCTTGATTTACAACAGTTCATTTAGTGACTGTTCAAAGTTATAACTGCACTGAAAAAAAGTGACTTATGGCCATTTTTCACACTTACGACCTTTGTATAGCAGCCCCAAGAGGATCGTGTAATCAAAATTCAGATGCTTGTCACCTGGTTTATACTTATGAGCGGTGCGCTGTGGCCCAAGGTCATGTGTTCACCTTTATTGACAAGCCAATGGGGAACCCAGATTCACTTAACAACCTTGTTACTAACAACTGTGGCAAGAAAGGTCATAAAATAGAGCAAAACTCATTTGGGGCGGTTACAGTTGAGAACTACCTGTAGATGGGGGTCCCCCTAACCAACTTGCTCAGACCCAAGAAGCTAACTTGGATAAGCAGTGAAACATTTCAAACAAAAAGAAAAAGAAATCAAGTTTGCTATGCCCCAACTTCCAGTCAACTCTACCTGGATGGCTATGAATCTTCATCAACATGCTGCCAAATTTACATAGCATGCTATGACTGTAACCTTGTTGCTGGTATCCTTTTTATTTTGACTGTTTCCCTATGACTACCATTAAGTGTTGTACCTTATGATTCTTGATGAGTGTATCTTTTCTTTTATATACACCGAGAGCGTATGCACCCAGACAAATTCCTTGTGTGTCCAATCACACTTGGCCAATAAAGAATTCTATTCTATTCTATTCTACATCCAGAGTCCTATTGTGGCTTGATTTGGTGTATAAACCTAGCCTTTTCTCTACCAACAGGGAAACAACTCTTATCACCTGGTTGAAAACATTTCCATGTAGAGACCCAGATTCAGTTTGCCATTCTGCCACCAAGTTTCTAAAATATTCTCCTAGAAGTAGATCGCTATTTCACTACCTTGCTGCCTAACCTACCTCACAGGATTATTAGGATACATGTAAGAGAAATAATATACACTAAAGCAGGGGTCACCAACCTTTCAGATCTCAGGGACCACTAAATTCATAACTTTAAATCCCACGGACCACTAATATGAATTAGTGATGGGACGGGGTCCTTCAGGTCCTTAGCGTGGCCGCCTGTTAGCAAAGAGAAGCACCCGAGGTCAACCCTAGCTTTGCTGTCCATTGCAGCTAGGAATCTCAAATACGACCAAGAATGAAGGTTTGTCTTATAGCCAGCACCTGGACTCCCAAGGAGGGAGGGAGGGACTGGAGCTACTAAACAGGCAGCCAAGCTAAATGCCTGAAGGACATTGCTTTGGCAGGCCGTATCCGGCCCAAGGGCCCAGGGTGGATTTGATTTAAATCACAATTTAAATAATGACTTAAATCACTAGTAAAAAGGCTTGATTTAAATGAAGTCGATTTAAATCATAATTTTTAAAGAGCAGCTGTCATCTCTGCTACTCCTTTGACCCACTGTTGACTCACCAATAGTCCCAGTGTTGCAGAATATACAGCCTCATGCTACATAACTAAGCTCCATTTCATGCTGAATAAACTAAATTATTTATGTATCTTAAATAGAAAACTATCTTACGATAGATTTTTACCCCAAAAGTTTTTTATTAAAATAAATTTGATAAAAATAAAAAAAATCCGATTTAAATTTTAAAAAATCTGATTTTTTTTATTTTTTTTTAAAAAAATCATTGATTTTTATTCCCCCTGCAAGGGCCATAGTTTGAGGATCCCTGACTTAGTGTAATATAAAAATGCAGTTTTTCTGCGGACCACCAAAATTTTCTCACGGACCACCAGTTGGTGACTTCTGCACTAAAGGGTCTCCTAATCTATGCTTTCTAAATATTGTACAGAGAAAAGCAACTTTAAATCAGAACAGAGTGCTGGAAGGGACCTTAGACGTCTTCTAGTCCAACCCCCTGCACTAACAGGAGACCTTATATTATTTTAGACAAATGGTTGTCTAATATCTTCTTTAAAACCTCCAATGTTGGAGCAGTCACAACTTCTGTTCCACTGGTTAATTGTCCTCACCGTTAGGAAGTTTCTCCTTAATTCCAGGTTGCTTCTCTCCTTGATTAGTTTCCATCCATTGTTTCTTGTCCTGCCCTCTGATGTTTTGGAAAATAAGTTAACCCCCTCTGCTTTGTGGCAGCCCTCCAAATACTGGAATACTGCTATATCGGAAAATCTTTTCTTACTCTAGATAATTATCTTGGAGTGGATGAGTCCAAGTATAGAGTAGATTTTTTTTTTTACTGGGATAAGCCTATTTTAGGATTTTGCCCATCTCAAAATGTCAATTTCTATGAATTTTATCAATTACGGATGAGAATCACGGGAGATCACTTGTCCAATTCCAATTTATTCATTTCCTATGCAAAAACTAGAACACCCCTCCTTTATGGGGGGGGGGAATGAATTGGGATTATCTTAAAATCGGAATTAGGGATTCACGCATCTCGGACTAAACCGTCAGTTTTACATAAATTTATTTACATTACATTGATTGATTGATTAGCCCTTGGGCCATATCGTGCAAAGTTCCAGAAACAAATTACTACAATTTGATAAAAGCAATTTAAAGTAAACCTGGAATAAAATATAATTTAAAATGAACCTGGAATAAAATATAATTTAAAATGAACCTGGAATAAAATACAATTTAAAATGAACCTGGAATAAAATACAATTTAAAATGAACCTGGAATAAAATACAATTTAAAATGAACCTGGAATAAAATACAATAATTTAAGATATAGATAAAACATGATAAAATTATATTTCGGTGTCACCCCTACAATCTACCTCCATTAGTCCCACATGTGTCCATCTCAAGCGAACCATTTTGCTTAAATACTGTGCTGTGTTAAATGTTATTTTCAGATTCTGGCCACACATAAGGTAAGGTGTTTTGACATGGGGAGCCCAATGGGTCATTTGTTTGTTATATAGACCAAGGTACTGCTAAACCGCCGGCTTGATGAAAGCCATCATCGCTCAGTTTATGTATCATCCTAAATCTATCCATCCACCCATCCAACCATATTACGGTTTAACACGACGGGCGAATTAAGCGCCACAGCCGTCCATCGGATGCAGGTTTTCTATCGAAATGGCGGCATAGAGGCTTGATGGATAAATAAATCAACGAGCCGCGCCGAACCGAGATCGGAAACCGAACGGATGGCAACGGATTGAACGACTACTCACCTCATCGCGCGTATCGCCAAGGCCGCGAAAACCCCGGCGGGCCGCTTATATAACCGCCTTCTGATCTCGCGACTCTTCGTTAAATCGACGTCAGCAGAACGGGAAGAGGGATGGGGTGAGGCCGGGCGCGCCCTTTTGAAAGCGGTCAAAAGAAGCTCTGGGCGTGGCTTGCGAGAGCCTAACCCTTTGAGAAGTTGGTCCGGGTGGAGGCTAACGCCCTGCGCGCGCGTTCCTTCTAGTGTTGTAAGTAAACGCAATGCAAGCAAGGGCGCGTTTTGCATGATTTGCACGGTAAGGCTGCGATTTCCGTAAGTGGTGGTCCCAGCTCAATCCTCGGCTGTGGGCTGTGCCTGATGGGTTTTATTTAACACATTGGGAAATTGTGGGGGGGGAAAAACGCGGAACGCCACCCACTTCAGTGCAAGGGGTGTTTACCCGGGAGTAATGCCTATTGTAGCTAATGGAGCTTCTATTATATAAGAGCAATAAAGCTTGTATCTTGGACTCCAGGAAAATTTGCAGAATTTTGAGGTTGCTTTTTTACTTTGGAGAAGCTTCTGTTGCAAATAGGTGGTGGGATTCACACGCTAAGATAAAGTTTTGTTTGTAGGCTTGTGCAGTCAACGACTTGTGCAGGCTCAGCCTGGGTAGTTACAGTACTTTTGGGTTCCAGGGTGTGTGAATCCAGAAAATGGATGTTTTTAGAGCAGTGTTTTCCAAACCTGGGGACTTCTGGGAGTTGAAGTCCGCACATCTTAAAAAGTTTGAAAATCACTGCTCTTAAAACAAGCTCAGACTCAACCGTTGAAACCACACTTCTGAATAGGTTGCATTTTTATTACTCTTCTCAGAATTTCTGCTTTATGAAATGTCAAAGGGCTTGATACAAGTTGCTCCTAATAAAAATATTAACTTAAAAACTATAAAACACTGAGATGGCAATTTGTATTGGTTATAAATAATACACAGGAGAGTTTCTAGGAAGAAAGAAGAGTGTAAATGTTATGTGATTGTTAGAAAAAAAATTAGCAAGATCAATAATACTTTTTAATGTGATAGGTTTATCACTGAACTTTAAGAGGAATTGATAAATTCATACTAAGAAATGAGCTAATATTTTAAACAAGCTGTTCTCAAAAACTTGGGGAAAAATGTAGGCCTGATAAAGGACAATTTGCATGATTAGTGGTTTCACCTGCTATTATATATAATTTCTTCTTGCGAAATAAATTCCCTTGACCTTTTTCCTGTAGAACTTAATACATTTCAAATCCTCCATCTGGTTCGTAGACAGTAGTTAATTGGAGTTTACTTCCAAATAATGTCAGCTGGTGAAGAAAATTAATCCTAATTTCCTTTCGTTGTTGTTAAAGTTTGGTATGAAGCAACCAGCAAATAAACTTTTCAAATCTAATTTCTATAAATAGTCAACAGTTGAGAACTTTGTTTCTAAATGTTACATGCTATATGTGAATAGCTAACTCTGGTTTATTGAGTAAACTTGCACATTCACATATTGCATTAAACCATAAACCACAGTTTACAAAAGACTAAAGGCTTAACTATGTCCAAACAAACCACCTTTTGGGAATCCAGGCTTAAAGTAAGAACAAATTTACTTATATTAACTGTAGAAAAATATTCAGTTAAGTTTATTCCTTTACAATGAAATTACTGGCTTATACTGTATGCCTAAAACAACATTTTTTTTCCTGTCCAAAAGTAGTTGAGATACTGTGGGTGCTGATTCATCAACAATATTGCTTGTTGAATCATCTGGGGTTTTTTTCCCTCTGAATAATCAAAAAGAGCAGATGTGGCCACCCAGATTAACAATGGAAGAAAAGACGGAAATAGTGAAATGTACAGCAGAGCACAATTCAGTCCATGATTCTTTTTTAAGATGTAACACTCTCAGAAATGACCGTGAACATCTGCACTGTTAAAAGCTTGGGTTGAATTGCAAAACCAGTATGTTCATTAACAGGCCTGTAACTTTATTCTTAATGTACTTTGATCTCTTAGGAGCTGGCCTGCTTGATTGGCTGCCTGGAATAAAACATGGCTAAGGTGGAAAAATTTGATTTTCACATACCTACTCTGGAGGAAGTGGCTGATGGTAAGCAACTATGATTCTTTTGTTTTAGAAAAACTCTCAGAGAAGAATCGGTATAACAGCAGCAGTTAGAAAAGCAGGATATAGGGCCCGAAGCTTTCTTCCCCCAAATTATGAACATGTAGAAATGTCCTTGAAGGGAACACTTGGAAGTCATTATAGAAACAAGGGCAGAAGCACTCCTTAATCCCTGGGAAAGGTAATAGTTTCAAGAACACTCCCATCAACGCAAAGAGAATCTGTCGCTGTAGCTATTTCGGTAAAATATAGTTACTTTACTTTACTTTTATTTGATTTGTATACCACCCTACTCCCGAAGGACTCAGGGCAGTGAACAGCCAACAATAAAATACATGCATACAAAATTTAAAAGCAGAAATAAAATCGAATTAAATAGTTTGGCCCAGACAGATTAAAACCCCAATCAATATAAAACAAATTTAAATGTTGAGTATTAAAATATTTAAAATATTAAAATATTAAAATTGTTTAAAAAGAGGGAGAAAGTTAGGCCAGGCCCGCCTGGTGAAATAAAAAGGTCTTTAAAGCGCGGCGGAAGGTGCGCAGATCCGGGATCCTCCGTATCTCTGGGGGGAGCTCGTTCCAGATAGTAGGTGCCCCCACAGAGAAGGCTCTCCCCCTGGGGGCCGCCAGTCGACATTGTTTGGCCGACGGCACCCGGAGGAGCCCCTCTCTATGAGAGCGTACCGGCCGGTGGGAGGCTATTGTTGGTAGTAGGCGGTCCCGCAAATACCCGGGTCCTGAGCCATGGAGCGTTTTAAAGGTGGTAACCAAAACCTTGAAGCGCACGCGGAAGACCACCGGGAGCCAGTGCAGCTCGCGCAGGAGGGGTGTTACATGGGAGCGCCATGTCGCTCCCATTACCACCCGCGCGGCCGCACTCTGCGCCAGTTGGAGCCTCCGGGTGCTCTTCAAGGGGAGCCCCATGTAGACAGCGTTACAATAGTTCAGGTGACAAGGACATGAGTGACCGTGCGTAAGGAGTCCCGATCCAGAAAGGGACGCAACTGGCGACTCAGGCGAACCTGATGAAAAATCCTCCCGGTCACGGCCGTCAAGTGCTCTTCTAAAGACAGCCGTGAATCCAGGAGGACGCCCAAGTTGCGCACCCTCTCCGTGGGGGCCAATGATTTGCCCCCGATAGTCAGTGATGGCACCAACTGACTATATCGGGACGCCGGAAACCACAGCCACTCGGTCTTGGATGGGTTGAGCCTGAGCCTATTCCTCCCCATCCAGATCTGCACGGCCTCCAGGCACCGGGACATCACTTCAAGGGCATCGTTGGGGTGGTCTGGGGTGGAGATGTACAGCTGGGTGTCATCAGCGTACTGGTGGTACTTCACCCCGAAACCACGGATGATCTCGTTAGAGATAGTCTTTGCTTAACCATTTGTTCAGCAACTGGTGCTGAGTGAACGATAGTTAGCATTGGCCAGCCAAGTTATGGTTGTTGCAGTGACAGAATCAAAATTTGAGTGTTTAGCAACTAGCCTGCACTTACAACCATAGCACTGGAGGAGTCGTGGTGGAGCAGTGGTTAGAATGCAGTATTGCAGTCTAATTCTTATGCACAGCCTGGAGTTCGATCCTGACTGGCTCAAGATTGACTCAGCTTTCCATCCTTCTTAGGTTGGTAAAATGAGGAGTCAGATTGTTGGGGGCAATATCCTAACAGAGAGGGCCCTAAAGCACTATGGAGTGATAAATAAATCTTTGTGCTGTTGATATATGCCCCCCCCTCATTTCTACCTTATTGGCCCCCTGCACTCTGCTGCCATCGCCTACCCCTGCTGGTGTCCTGTCCCAACTGATCTTCTGTGTCTTCCGCTGGTGATCCATGATCGAGATGCTAGACAAGGACACAGCCCTGGGATGCATGGACCAAGTGCGACAGAGTCTCATCTACCAAAGGGCATTCACTGGGTCTGGCCGGGAGGAGTTTAGGGCAGCATCTTCCATCACAAAGCAGAAAGATTGCAGTGGAAGGGATTACAAGAGACTAAACAGCCACACAATGGGAAATATGCCAAGCTATTTGCATAGCCCCTCCCACTTATGACTGTAACCTTGTTGCTGGTATCCTTAAGATTTATATTGACCATTTCCTCATAGGATTTGATCGTTGTACCTTCTGATTCTTGACGAACTTATCTTTTCTTTTATGTACACTGAGAGCATATGCACCAAGACAAATTCCTTGTGTGTCCAATCACACTTGGCCAATAAAGAATTCTATAGTACATTTGCAGTTGCTAGTGCCTTGCTTTCCATGTATATTTTCCATTGTGTGCTTACTCTCTTGCAATCTCCTCCTCTCCAATCTCTGCTTTGCGAGGAGGGAAAAATGAAAAACAAGTCAGGCACAGGACAACACATACTGACTGTAATGGTGATCATATGTCTGAGGAACGGTGTGAGTTGTAAATATAAGCATTGGTCGTAAAGTTATTTTTTCAGCATTGTTATAACTGAATGAGGCAGTCAGTCAGTGAGGACTATCTATGTAAGTATATGCAGGAGAGCAATCCATTGTTTTACATGCAATTAATTTGAATCTAGTAATTCATTCAATTAATATCAATTTGTTGTCATGGCTTTGCCTTTGTTTTAGAGTGTGGCTAGGGCATACATACACAATGAGTTTCAATCTAAAGAAAACTACCAAAAAACCCCAGGAAGCATTAATACTCAACTGAAGGGGATTCACCCTGACTTCAGCGTGGTCAGCTTTAACATATTCCATTCTTCAATTTTCTTTGCAATAATCTATTTTCCTTCCAGTTCTACAGAATGGACTTCGAGGAAATTTTGCAGATGTCCAGGTATCCGTGGTGGATTGTCCTGATATGACTCAAGAACCCTTTTGTTTTCCTGCTAAAGGTAACACATGATACCTGTGACAAAATATTGGCAATATCTTAGAATAAAATAGAATAACAGAGTTGGAAGGGACCTTGGAGGTCTTCTAGTCCAACCCCCTGCTTAGACAGGAAACCCTACACCACTTCAGACAAATGGTTATCCAACATCTTCGTAAAAACTGTTGGAGCATTCACAACTTCTGGAGGCAAGTTGTTCCACTGATTAATGGTTCTAACTGTCAGGAAATTTCTCCTTAGTTCTAGGTTGCTTCTCTCCTTGATTAGTTTCCACCCATTGCTGCTTGTCCTGCCCTCAGGTGCTTTGGAGAACAGCTTGACTCCCTCTTCTTTGTGGCAGCCCTTGAGATATTGGAACACTGCTATCATGACACCCCTAGTCCTTCTTTTCATTAAACTAGAAATACCCAGTTCCTGCAACCGTTCTTCATATGTTTTAGCCTCCAGTCCCCTAATCATCTTTGTTGCTCTTCTCTGCACTCTTTCTAGAGTCTCCACATCTTTTTTACCAAAAGACAGCAACCAAAACTGAATGCAGTATTCCAAGTATGGCCTTACCAAGGCATTATCTTGGTAACATGTGGGCCACCAGGTGAAACAGGGACAAAATTGCCAGGATTATTTTTGGCAGAATAGATTTTCTTTAAAGAATGGAGTAGATTTGCTTAAGCCTTTTCAAGATTGGGTTATGCAAGCTAAAAGCCCTTATCGCATACCTTAAAATACTGAATGCTCTTTTAAAAAATCCTATTTTTTCCTACTTTTGGATGACTTCAAAAAGAGCAGCCCCACCTTTGCCATTACGTCACAAGGTTACTGGCTATGCCTCCCTGTGATCTTGTATAGGTCGTAAGGATGCTATGCTAAGTGATGGTTTGCTTTAGCTATGGTTATACAAGCCACCATTGCCTGGTTCATAATGCAGCCCACAATAATTGGGTTTGGAGTCTACTAAACCAGGGTCACCAACCTTTTGGACCTCAGGGACCCCTAAATTCATAATTTTAAATCCTGCGGACCACTAATATGATTTTTTTAAAAAGATAAATAGTATTTAGTGCAATATAAAAAATGCAAATAATTTTTCTGCGGACCACCAAAATTTTCTCGCGGACCACCAGTGGTCCATGGGCCACCAGTTAGTGACCACTGAACTAAACCGTGACTGCTTTTATATTGTTTTGGGTTAGTTAAAAAAAAAAATTCTGGAAAAAAAATGAATTTGCTCTTTTTTTTTTTCCTTTTTACAGGTATTTGTGGCAAGCCTAGAATTGCAGATGTGGGAGGTGTTCCATATCTTTTACCGCTTGTACAGAAAGACAAGGTAAATAAAGTGTAATGTATTTGCAACCATATGCAAAAGGTAGTCTTTCATTCAATAACCTCCCATTTTGATCAGAAACAATAATTCCCATTTTTGGGAGGTTGGAGTGGGATCAAATCATTTTTGCTAATATTGCAGTGATCCTTGTAAAGTCAGATTAGTCCATTCTAACATTTTGCATCTGTGTTAATTGGTACCTTTTTTTAATCCTTTCAAAGAGATTTGGTTCAGATTCTAATTCCGCAATTTAAAAATGCAGGTAGGTTTCGGTTAGTAGTTAATAAATCACACAAAATGGTTTTATTATTTGAATTCACACTACCAGCAATAGCAATGGCCTTTAGATGTATATACCGCTTTACATAGCTTAATAGCCCTCTCTAAGCGGTTTACAGAGTCAGCATATTGCCCCCAACAATCTGGGTCCTCATTTTACTGACCTCGGAAGGATAGAAGGCTGGATCAACCTTGAGCCCGTTAGGATCGAACTGCTGGCAACCGGCAGACAGTAGAAGTAGCCTGCTACTAGTACTGCATTCTAACCACCGTGCCACCATAGCTCTTAATCTTGTAATCCTTGATTTACAACCATAACTGAGTTTGCAATTTCAGCCGTAAGTCATGATGGTTATAATGTGAGTCACTATGTAAGTTTGACTGATTTTACAGCCCTTTTTTGGGCGATCATAAACTGATCGCTGCGGTTATTAAAGCAAACTAATTATTTTCTATAAGTTTTTTTTTTTCTTTTGCTGGAAACCAGAAGTAAATATTGGTTTTTGGCAAAAAATATAAATCGCGGATCTCTTCCCGCTTTTAAAAATTATGGAGGACTCCAAAAAAAAGCTTTTGTTTGTATGGGTTATATTTATATTTACCATATTAAAAATTAAAACTGATGCATTCACTGCCTCTTCTCGTGATCGTTGGATGAGATTTTAATATTGTATTCTTTTTCAACATAGGATGGCAATTTTAAATTTTTAAACATCAAATTTAAAGACTCCTGAGAGTGGGTCTTGGGGAAGGCCGAGGACTCCTAGGAACACTCTAATAAGCACTGCCCTCTAGACAGCATGTAGATGAGCAAATTTAACTGTTCTTTTCTCATTTAGGTTTATGACCTGAACATAATAGCGAAAAATATACAATTACCCGGAGCATTTTTTCTTGGTGCTGGAGCTGTTTCTTCCAGAGTAGTTGGAAATAATGCTGAGGTAAGACAATGGATAAGAAAATATTAGCTTGAGTGTATATGGAATATAGATATATATCAGTGGTGGGTTGCTACCGGCTCGCCCCAGTTCGGGCAAACTGGTAGCGGCAGTGGTGGGAAGCTCTGCCCAGACGTCATCAAATACGCTATGCGCAGAAGCTTCTGCGCATGCATAGAAGTGGCATGTACACTAGCGAACTGGTAGCAAAGGTAAGTGAAATCCACCACTGGTATATATGAATATCGGATGCGGTGATTCAGTGACTAAGACGCTGAGCTTGACGATCGAAAGGTCGGTAGTCCACTGGTTCGAATCCCTAGTGCCACATAATAGGGTGAGCTCCCATTACTTGTCCCAGCTTCTACCAACCTAGCAGTTTGACAACACGAAAAAAATGCAAGTAGAAAAATAGGCACCACCTTTGGTGGGAAGGTAACAGTGTTCCGTGTGCCTTTGGCGTTTAGTCATGACCACTGAGATGTCTTCGGATAGCGCTGGCTCTGTGGCTTTGAAACAGAGATGAGCACCGCCCCATAGAGTCGGGAACGAATAGCACATATGTGTGAGGGGAACTTTTACCTTATACTTGGAGTATTAACTGTCCGATCTCAGCAACGTGAAGACTTGTGGACTTCAACTCCCAAAATTCCCTAGCCAGCATAGCTGATCTCAGTTTTTCTTGCAAGGATTGCACCATTTAGGCTATAAAATTCCCTTTAAAATTTGATTTACATAATCCAGTCGTCCCCAACTTTTCTGGCTCCACAGACCGGCAGGGGGAAGGAGGGGATGGTTTCACATCTGCAACCTAGATCCCACACATGCGCAAATGAAGCTCCATGCGCATTCCCGCCATTTTCACAGCCCAGTTCCCAACAGGCTTCAGACCAGGGGTGAAATGCTCCCGGTTCGGACCAAATCGGGCAATCTGGTAGCAATTGTGGCCGGTAATTCGGAGAACTGGTAGCGATGGCAATGCAAAGCTCTGCCCACCCACCCAGGTGTTGTGCTATTTAACCTCTGCGCATGTGTAGAAGGGTTTGCATGGTGCGTGCACTTCCGAACCGGTAAGGAAGGTAAGTAGATTTCATCCCTGCTGCAGACCGGTACCGGTACTGCTACCTGGAGAATTGGGGACCCCTCACTTAATCGGGTTCAGATCTTGCTTAAATCTACTCTATTTTAGTAGACTTCCAACACCTCTGCTGTTGTTGGTTTTTTTCTGGACTTTCTCTATGTTTAAGATGAGGTCTTAACCCCACCTCATTCTGAGCCATAGTATGTGTGAAAGGATTTACTGAATAAACCATCATTATTGGGTAGGTTCATACCGTACGGTAACAAACCATGATTTTCAAATCGCGTAGCTGACTTTCTGCAATGGAATAAGCTATAAACAAAACGTGCTGCTTGTTTTAATCATTGTGAAATGATGGTAGATCGTGCTGATCTATTGGAAGATGTTTATCTGTTTCTATCTAGTTTATCCCAATTGTTCAAGCTGAAAAGGAAGAAAAGGCAGCAATCAATGGAAGTTACCTAGCCAAGATCAACCCTGAGGATGGCACCTGTCTGCTCCAAAAATACAGCTCCCTACATAAGGATTGTGAATTTGGACTGCTGGCTAATCTATATGCAAGTGAAGGCCTTCCTGGTAAGGTATGTGGCCCGGTCAGGTTTATTAAAATGGCTTTTTACAAACCAAACATCCATGCAAAGTCTACCAAAAAAAAAAAACCCAAACCGATTAAAAGAAAATTTAAAAAGTTAATAAAGCCCAAACAAACAAACTTCTACATGTGAACATGCTTTCTTTCATTTTGTTATGCTTCATTTTATTGACAAATTTATACAGCCACACGTATTACCAATGGAACCTCTGGTATAAATACATATATTTACAGCTAGTCCTCAATTTACAACAATAATTGAGCCCAGGATTACAGTCGTAAATTATGCCGATTGTTAGGTGGGTTATTAAATCAACCTGGTTTTACAACAATTTTTTGTTTTTTTGCAGAGGTTGTTAAGGAAACCCATCGTTTGCATCGTTTTTTTTTTGTTTGTTTTTTTTTTTGTTGCCAAAAACCAGAAGTAAATGCCAGTTTCCAGCAAAAAACGTAATTCATAGTCATGACTGTGAGATGTTATTGACCAGGGGACTTCAATTCCCACAATTCCTTAGCCAGCTGGCTGAGGAATTCTGGGAGTTGAAGTCCATAAGTCTTAAAGTTGCCACGGTTGGAGACCCCTGCTATGGACAGCTATAAATGCAGGCTGCTTGCCAAGCACTCAAAATGCAATCATGTGACTGTTGAAACTTGGTTGCTAGGCAATTGGTTGTTAAATGAGGACTACCTGCTTACAATAAAGATATATGTAAGGATATGTAGACACATATAACTGTGTTCCACAGCTATATTCAAGAATTGAGCCTGAGTGGCGCAGCAGACTAATGCTACTGTTAAACGTAGTATTTAGCTTCCAGCTGCCTGCAATTACTGCAAGTTCAATTCTCACCAGGCTCAAGGTTGACTCAGCCTTCCATCCTTTCTAAGGTAGGTAAAATGAGGACCCGGTTTGTGGGGCCAATAAGCTGACTTTGTATAAAATATACAAAAGTATGAAGGCTATTGCTTAACGCATTCTAAGCTGCCCTGAGTCTCCGGAGAAGGGCAGCATATAAATTAAAATATATATATTTTACACAGAACAACACTACAGACATTATTTAACATTTCCCTATATCTTGCGAATCCACAAATCATAAGGGAGTTTCTTCTTTTAGCATCCTATCGACTTTCTTTATTGTATGCAGAAGACTCTGATCCCTTTGCTGTAACACTACCAATGTCATTTAAATTTGAGTACAGTTTTGCCCATTTAATTGACCTATGTTTCTCTAATAAAAAAAGACAATATATTTGGCCCTTGTGAATGCTTGGATGGTAACAATTCACAAATTGGCTACAGTAAGAGAACAGTTTTGCAACTCCACAAGCCCAGGAACACACTAAGAAAGGTGGTTCCTGTCTTTCTACACTCATAAGATTTTGTCTGCTGTATCTTTTTTTTTTTAAGTAGTGCGCACAGTTCTAAACAAGTTTATAGAATAGAATAAGAAAACAGAGTTGGAGGGGACCTTAGAGGTCTTCTAGTCCAACCCCCAGCTCAGGCAGGAAACCCTATGCCATTTCAGACAAACGATTGTCCAATCTCTTCTTAAAAACTTCCAGTGTTGGAACATTCAAAACTTCTGGAGGCAAGTTGTTCCACTGATTAATTGTTCTAACTGTCAGGAAATTTCTTCTTAGTTCTAAGTTTCTTCTCTCCTTGATTAGTTTCCATCCATGGCGTCTTGTCCTGCCTTCAGGTGCTTTGGAGAATAGGTTGACTCCCTCTTCTTTGTGGAAACCCCTGAGATATTGGAACACTGCTATCATGTCACCCCTAGTCCTTCTCATTAAATTAGACAAATTCAATTCCAGCAACTGTTCTTCATATGTTTTAGCCTCCAGTCCCCTAATCATCTTGGTTGCTCTTCTCTGCACTCTTTCTAGAGTCTCCACATCTTTTTTACATCATGGCAACCAAGATTCTATAGATTCTAGGCCCTGTCCTTTGTATCTTCTAATAATGTTATCAGACTATATAACACCTAGATGCTTTTTTCAGTCATAAAAAGATGCCATTAAAAAAAATACATTAAAAATAAGGACTGACGATAGGGAGCATATTGGATGCCAAGAATTCACAAACATTTTATTACCTACAACTAGATTAAAAGGGAAATACAAAAAACGAAATTTCCCAGATCAACTTTCTCTGAAGACACAAATTTCCTGAGAGGAATCATTCAATCTATGAGCTCTTGGCCTTGTGCTTTTAATGTGGGAATGATGATTTTGACCATTAGAATTGTCAGGTGGAGAGATCACAAACACAAAATGTGTTAAGAAGGGAGCTCCAAGTCATAATGAAATCTTACAAGTGTGTAATTCTCAACTCATAATGCATTACATGAAGCTTAGTCATTTCGTTTTTATTTCAACTGCAAATTGCTGCACAGAATTTCCTCTGCTTCACATGACAATATTAACCTGCCTCCTTCCTTTAAGGTCATTGAAGTGAGAGCAAAGAAAAGAACTGGTGAGCAGAATTTCATATCCTGCATACGGAAAGCCTTAGATAAGCATTATGGTGACAGAACAGTAGGAATGGGAGGTACCTTCATTATCCAGAAAGGAAATGCAAAACTTCATATTATGGTAAGTCAGCTACAAGAAGATTTTCCATTTTTCTTTGGAAGCATGAGTTACGCAACAAGAAGAAAAAAAGTCTATAAACATTAAACAGTAAAGTCTTTCCATAAACATTTGCAAACTTGCTTTTTTATGGTGTGCTATCAAGTAGATGTGCGATGGCTCAGCGGTTAAAGGTGCTGAACTTGTCAGCTGGAGATCTGACAGCCTGAGTTCGAGACCCGAGCTCCGTGCAACAGGGTGAATTCCTGTTACTTGCTCCAGCTCCTGCCCACTTAGCAGTTCAAAGGCATGCAAAATACAAATAGATACTGTATTTTTCAGAGTATAAGACACACTTCTTTCCCCCCTAAAAGAAGGTGAAAATTTGGGTGCATCTTATACACCGAATGTAGCCAAAAATGCAAGGCATGGAGGAGGCGATCATCTATGGCAATCCCTGCAGCCTGGAACAGCTGATTGGGAGTATTCCAGAAAGCTGATCCACCGGCCAATCAGCTGCTCATGCTGAATCAGGCTGCAATAATGTGCTGAAGCTGACCTGGCTGTTCGCTATTTGCTGCAAGAACTGTCAGAGTTTGCAGCAGCAAGCAAAACACAAGCAAAGGAGAGGAGTTTCGGTTTCAGTGAGATCAGCACAGCATGCAGCTTTAGAACAATTGATCTAAGCCACACCCAGACTCCTTGCTGTCTCCTCCCTTGTTGCTCACACAGCAAATACTGTTTCAGTTGCCAAATAGTCTCACACACTGACAGGACGCTAGCCAGATGAATACCGATGGATGCTGGTAGGCAGAGACAGATTTTTTTTTTCTTATTTTCCTCCCCCAAAACTAAGGTGCGTCTTATACTCCGGAGCGTCTTATACTCTGAAAAATATAGGTAAATAGATGCCACTTTGGTGGGTAGGTAACATTATTCTGTTTGCCTTTGGTGTGTAGCCATTCTGGCCACGTAACCATGGAAAATGTCTTCGGATAGTGCTGGCTTCCTCGATACATGAACACAGCCCTTGATCGGCAGGATTTTTCCAAGATTTCAGTCTTTCTCACTTATATTGAGGGGAAGCCAGACTAGCAAATTTGTGCATTCAAAACAGCCGATTAAGCTCTCATTGAGCTACTTTGACTGGTCCCAATTTTGATGGAGAGTTGAAATTTTAATTGTTTGTGCCAGCTGGAGAATTTTCTGGCTTACGTTTCAAAAGACATTGAGATACTACCAGAAGGTGCAAAATTGTGTCAAAGCAAAATTTGTGTCATGTTCTGATCTGGAGAGGAGGGAAACGGACTCTGATGACTTAAGAGTTCCTGTGCTTTTCTTTATTCAAGTACAGCCACGTGCTTTGTTTTTTTAAAATTGCAGCCTTCTGAATTTTCTGCCTGTCCTTTGGAAACTGATGAGAAGGTGAACAATTGGCTGAAGTTTTTTGAAATGACAGCTCCGCTCATTTGCCAGCCTGTGATTGTTTCTCAAGATCCAGTAAGTAAATTCTATTGTTATTTCTCAAGGGAGATCCCAACTTACTGGCCTGGATGCAAAGTGGTCATTTTTTTAAACAATCATCTACTCCTCTTGCTCCAAGTTGCCATAACATGCACCAAAGAATTGGGAAAATACCCAGCGAGAGCCATTTTGGTGTAGTGGTTAAGGTGCTGGCCTAGAAACCAGGAGACTGAGTTCTTGGGCCAATTTTTCTCTCATGTCACAGGATTGTCGCCTTTCAGCTCCAGGTACCTGGACAAAAAAACACTTAATCTCTCCCCTGGTTCAGCTGATAAAGGGAGGAGAACTTGTGGCTCAGAGGTTAATACAACTGCCTAATATGCAGGCAGCCCAAGTTCGAATCCTAGTAAGGGTATGGCTACCTCCAACCTAAGCTTAGTTCATAAGATTATTTATCAAAACATCTTACCTGTAAATGAGTACTTTAACTTCAACCGCAATAACACAAGGGCTATCAATAGATTCAAACTCAATGTAATTCACTCTAATCTTGTTTGTAGGAAATATGACTTCTGCAATAGAGTAGTTAATGTCTGGAACACTCTACCTGATCCTGTTGTTAGTCTCTCTAATCCCCAGACCTTTTATCTTAAACTGTCTACCGTGGACCTTTCACGTTTCTGAAGAGGTCCCTAAGGGGGCGTGCATAAGCACACCAGCGTGCCTACCGTCCCTGTCCTACTGTCCCCATTTATATGTATTCATTCTATGTGTTTATGGCTATGTTTTGCTTATTTATTTCCTTTTATTTGTGCCAAAAAATTTTCATGTCTCCATGTCTATGTCTATACTGTTACGTTTCCTTGTACTTGTTGACAAATAAATAAATATAAATGTTCCCCATTTGAGTATACAAAGCTATTGGTACAGCTTTGTCATGACTCATCTCACCCAAAATACACAAATAGTCCTTATTTAGCTACCACTATTGTGAGTGGCAACTAGGTTGTTCGGCAAAGCAGTCATTGTGAAGCCATGACCGAACTTATGGTCTTTACTGCAACTTTCTTTTGCTTTACAGACCTGTGAAACTTGTGAAAAAGTTACTTTTTAAATCACTGCCATAACTGAAGAGTAGCTAAATGAGACTGTTGCTAAATGAGGACTACCTATATTGCCAAATAATACAAAATAACACATTTGCATGCGATGTATCTGAACTGAAGGAAATGTTTGCTGCTTGGGACACAGGAATTTATGGGTTCTTGTTTTTTTCCCCAGGGTTTTGATCTGCGTGTGGAGCACACCCACTGTTTCAGCCATCACGGTGAAGGAGGCCACTACCATACGGACACAACTCCAGAGACTGTAGAATATCTGGGGTATTTTGTCCCTGCTGAATTCCTCTTTCGGATCGACAGACCAAAGGAGACGCATATGGTGGGTCGGGATTAAAGTCGAACCCAGCTGATGTTAATGAAGAAGCAGAAAATCAAGAGATGACTAAATTTGCTTTTCACTAGGTTCAACTAATGTCTGATCACAACCTGAATGTATTATTTTTTTTGGCACTTAAAAATAAAATATGGCAAAATTTGATTTTTTCAGATTGGAAATGTAGCACATTCTGGCTGATTGCGAAACAAAACCAGGAGCCCAATTTTTACTTAATATATTTACATTTTAGATCATTGGTTCCCCTTCTTTCTGTCCTTAGCATCTAGATTTCAGCTGCAATCTGGATGGGAACTCTATACCTATCCCAAGATTGCTGAACTGCAATTTCTGTCCTCTGTCACTGCATTACATCAGGGAAAGGAAACTATTAGTTAGCATAGCCCTCAATGGGCAACAGGGTTAATTGCCTAAATTGGCCCTCCTGCTCTCTGCTGCACCCTTGTGGCAGAGAGGCAAAACAATGATGGCCAAGATCCCTCCCCCTTGTTCAAGAGAAATCAAGAGTCCAGTCATCTATATTAATCAGAATAAACTGAAAGGGATCTTGGAGGTCTTCTAATCCAGGGGTCTGCAACCTTAAACACTGAAAGAGCCATTTGGACCCGTTTCCCACAGAAAAGAAAACACCAGGAGCCACAAAACCCTTCCCATGCCTGACTATTTCTTGAGCGGCCACAAAACTAGCATATGTAGTTGAATTAAATGTTCTGTTTTCTTCTGAAACTTTTCTTGGATTTATCCATGGTTGGCCTATTGGGGGTTGAAAAGCTCAATAAATCACATGCCAGCGGGTATCACACATTGGCGGTTGTGACATATTTTGAGTGAAGGAGCCGCAGCAGAGGGGTGAAAGAGCCACATGCGGCTCCAGAGCCACAGGTTGCTGACCCCTGTTCTAGTCCAACCCCTTGTTCAAGCAGGAAATCCTATACCTGTGATGGCGAACCTATGGCACACGTGCCACAGGTGGCACCCAGAGCCATATTTGTGGGCACATGAGCATTGCCCTAGCTGAGCTCCAGCGTGCATGTGTGCGCTGGCCAGCTGATTTTTGGGCCTTCTGGTCCCACCAGAAGTTGGGAAATGGGTTGTTTCCAGCCTCCGGGGGACCTCTGGGTGGGTGTAGGAGGCCGTTTTCGCCCTCCCCAGGCTCCTAGAAAGGCTCTGAAGCCTGGGGAGAGCAAAAAACAGGCTTACCAGGCCCACCAGTAATTTTTTGCCATTGCGTGCCAAAAGAGGGAGTGCGGAGGTCGACGTGTGCATGCATGGGGGGGTGGGGTATGGGGGCATTGAATGATGGGTGTGGGCACGGGCACACATGACCTCCCCACGCTCCCCGCACTTTTGGCACGCGACAGCAAAAAGGTTAGCCATCACTGCCCTATACTGTTTCAGAAAAGTGGCTGCCCACTTCTTTAAAGCCTCCATTGATGAAGCACCCACAATTTCTGAAGGCAAGCTGTTTCACTGGTTAATTGCTCTCACTGTTAGGAAGTTTCTCTTTAATTCCAGGTTGCTTCTCTCCTTGATGAGTTTCCATCCATTGTTTCTTGTCTTGTCTTCTGGTGCTATGGAAAATAAATTGACCCCCCCTTCTTTGTGGCAGCTTCTCAAAGACTGGAATACTGCTATCATGTCCCCCCTAGTCCTTCTTTTCTCTAGACTGGCCCTACCCAATTCCTGCAACCGTTCTTCGTATGTTTTAGTCTCCAGGCTTTTTAATCATCTTAGTTGGTCTTCTCTGCCCTTTTTCCAAAGTCTCAATATCTTTTTTTTTTTTGTAATATAGTGACCAAAACTGGATGCAGTATTTCAGTTGTGGCCTTATTAAGGATTTATAAAGCAGTACTAAATACTCCCATGTGATTTTGATTCTTTGCCTCTTATTTATACAAGCAAGGATTGTATTCACTTTTTGGGCTGCTGCAAAAAAAAAGGCAACTGGACTTTATTATTTTTTTTCTTTGAAGACCTTTCACTTCTCACCCAAGAAGCTTCTTCAGCTCTGACAGGATGATGGGGGGGTGGGGGAGGAGAAGTCAATGTAAAATACCCGTATGTTGTTATCCGTTATGGTCCAGCAACAAGCGCCGTTCCCCTCGCGCCCGCAGAACTCCCAGCATCTCCGAGCCTTTTCCTACTGACCGCTAGGGGGTACCCGCCGGTACGCTCTCTTGGAATCGCAGGTTTTCTGCTTTGTCCCTCTGCGGGCCCCCGTAGTTTCTTCTGCGCATGCTCTATCCGGGTTACCTCAGCGGCGGCTCCGGCTGTGGCGCCGCTGAGGTAAAAAAAAAAGATGTCGGGTCTCCAGGCGGTGCGGATCAGCATCGAGTCGGCCTGCGAGAAACATGTCCAGGAGGTCGGCCTGGATGGCAGCGAGAGCTACCTGCAGCCGCTGTCCATGTCGCAGAACCTGGCCCGCTTGGCGCAGCGCATCGATTTCAGCCAAGGCAGCTCCGGTTCCGAAGAGGACGAGCCCGCACCGGCCGGAGAGAGTCGCGAATGGCCCGGCAGGGACGAAGAAGAGGAGGAGGAAGGTGGGGAGAGAAGCAGGAGCAGCTGAGGAGGGGGGAGAAGTGGGAGGAGCTTCCTTGGGCGAGGAAGCTAAGCGGGGTCGGATCTGGTTGATGCTTGGATGGGGGACCACCAAGAGATCTCAGAAATGGGAAGTTCTTTTTTTAAAAAAAACCACCTCCATAACTGCAAAAATATTGCAAGGAGGCCCTCATCTCGGCTTGAAAGCACGTTTCCCTGATCTGGTTTAGGAGTAGCCTCCCTAATTTCAATTAATTACAGGATTATTCTTATAGCCCCCCCCCCTTCCAGACGAACCTGGGTGGCTTTTACTAAAAGGAAACGATTGGGGTAGGTTTAAATAGCATTTAGACTTATATGCCGCTTTACAGGCCTCTCTAAGCAGTTTACGGGGTCAGCCTATTACCCCCCAACAATCTGGGTCCTCATTTTACCGACTTCGGAAGGATGGAAGGCTGAGTCAACCTGGAGCCTGGTGAGATTCGAACTGTCAAATTGCAGGTACTCAGCAGAAGTAGCTTGCAGTACTGCACTCTAACCACTGCACCACCGTGGCTTTAAATCCTGACCTGAGAATGGACAGTGTATGTTGCTTTTCAGAGCTGCCCCCCCCCCAGGGAATCTTTTTGGAGGAACTGGGATTCTGCAAGGGTGGGTAGAAGTTGGATCTGAGTTTCTGCATGTGGATGGGAGACCATTAGGAGATCTCAATGCTTGGAAGTTGGAAAAAAAAGCTTTCTCGCGGGGAAAGTAGGAGGAGCTTCCTTCGGCAAGGAAGTTAAGCGGGATCGGATCTGGTCCATACTTGGATGGGGGACCACCAGGAGATTTCAGCAATGGGGAAGTTCTTTTTTAAAAAAAACTCCATACCTCTGCAAAAAACATTGCATGGGGGCACTCATCGAGGCCATCTTGGCTTAAAAGGAACTCTTCTGTGATCTTGTTTAGGAGCAGCTTGCCTAATTTCAATTAAATATAGGATAATTTTTGCCCCCCCACCTCCTAGATGACCCTGGGTGGTTTTTACTAAAAGAAAACGAGGTAGGTTTAAATAGCACTTAGCAATAGCACTTAGACTTATATGCCACTTTACAGTGCTTTACAGCCCCTCTAAGTGGTATACAGAGTCAGCCTATTGCCCCCAACAATATGGGTCCTCATTTTACCCACCTTGGAAGAATGGAAGGCTGAGGCAACCTGGAGCCTGGTGTGATTTAAACTGCTAAATTGCAGGCAGCCGGCAGTCAGCAGAAGTAGCTTGCAGTACTGCACTGTAACCACTGCACCACCGTGGCTTTAAATCCTGACCTGAGGATGGACAGTGTATGTTGCCTTTCAGAGCTGCCCCCAAGGGAATCTTTTTGGAGGAACTGGGATTCTGCAAGGGTAGGTAGAAGTTGGACCTGAGTTTCTGCATGTGGATGGGAGACCACTAGGAGATCTCAACGCTAGGAAGTCAGGGGAAAAAAACCTCCATAACTCTGCAAAAACATTGCATGGAGGCATTCAACAAGGCCATCTCGGCTTGAAAGCAGATGTTCCATGATCTTGTTTAGGAGTAGGCTCCCTAAATTCCATTAATTATACAATTTTTTTTAGCCACCCAGCTCCCAGATGACCCTGGGTGGCTTGACAAACTGAAAACAGAGGAAAATACAAAGGGAATTCTATGCAACATAAGGAAAAACCACCAGCTTTTTTCGGGGTGGGGGCAACAAAAAATACATGTTTTACCCACCACTAAAAGGAAACATTGTGGGTAGCTTTAAGTACATTTGCTTGAATTCTGACCTGAGGACGGACAGTATATGTTGCCTTTCAGAGCTGCCCCAAGGGAGTCTTTTTGGAGGAACTGGGATTCCACAAGGGTTGGTAGCAGTTGAATCCGAGTTTATGCATGTGGATGGGAGACCACTAGGAGATCTCAACACTCGGAAATTGGGAAAAAACCTCCATAACTCTATTCTTTTATTCTTGTTTTTCAGGCCTGATAAAATTCCAGCCTTCTCTCTGGCCTTGGGATTCAGTGAGGAATAACTTAAGGAGTGCTTTGACAGAGATGTGTGTGCTTTATGATGTTCTCAGCATAGTCAAAGATAAAAAGTTTATGACTCTAGACCCAGTTGTACAAGAACCACTTACTCAAAAGCAGGTACTAGGCATAATTTCTCTTTATTCTGTTCAAATATTTGTTCCACATTTCTCATCTTGGCTTGTAAAGAGTTACACTTTCCAAAGTGTAGGTGAAATCCCCTTTTTGGGCTATATGGATTTATTTGGTAGGTTTCTGTCCATTTTTTTTTATCACATCCCATATTCATACATTGTGTCTATTGTTTTTGAAGGAGTGGGTCCTGGTTTTTAACACTTTTTATTTGTAATCGCCCAGAGTCATTGGGACTGAAGCAGCATATACATTTAAATAGTATTACGCGGTGGCTCAGTGGCTAAAATGCTGAGCTTGTCGATCAAAAGGTTGGCAGTTCAGTATTTCGAATCCCTAGTGCCGCATAACGGTGTGAGCTCCCATTATTTGTCCCAGCTTCTGCCAACCTAGCAGTTCAAAAGCACGTTAAAAAATGCAAGTAGAAAAATAGGGATCACCT